TCGACTCCAAGTACATCTCATATGGGTCCGTCGCGACAACTGCGCCAATGGGAATTTCTCCTTCAACTGTGTTATGATAGAACACAGGCTCGGGCAATTCCTTAGCACTGACTAGGTTGTAGCTCAGTTCTCCATCCCAGATGTCTTCAACGACGCGGCCAGTTTCTTGAAGCATGGACTTCTGAACCGGTACTCGTTTCTTCGAAGAGTCCTTCAGAATGGAGTCGCGGACAGTTCCCGAAACTGCTAGGAGTTCACCCACAGTGACGTCGACTGACGCGTTTTTCATTTTGTCGTAGACTGCTTCTGCCACAGCCTTCTTTTGAATCGGTGCACGCAACTGGTATTTATCTGGAACGCGCGCTTTTGAAGAATGTACTGGTTCTTGTAGAACGGGCTTGACTTTCTCAAACGGTAGTTCCTTTCTCTTTTCGACGTTGTCGCGCACTGATTCCTCATCATCGTCGCTATCACTAACTTCTTCAATAGTCACAGGTTTTCTCGGTTTCTCTCGTTGCTCAGCTCGTTTATCATGGTCCTCAGAGGGCTTGGCTGAGTTTGTGGGTTTAGCCCCCTTCCTTGAACCATTTAGAAACCCGAGTTGTTATCGTCGCGCTCAGGTTGGCTATTCGCACCACGACGGGTTTGAATGAACTGCTCCTGAGTCTGAGGATAACCACTGTTCATGTTGTTGAAGTAGCCGGCCATGGCGTCGGTCATGGCTTTCTGCATGAATTGGCCCATGGCACTTTCTATTGCATTACTGGTAGAACCAGATGCAGCTCTTTGAGTCTTTGGCTCAGCGCGACTCTCTGGGGTTGGTCGCGACGACTTCCTCTCGTATTGGATGAGTTGACTTCGAAGGGAGCGTATCTCATCTGCCACTTCTTCAGGGTAGTCGGACATATCATCATTGTCGCGACTATCGAACTGGTCCAAGTAGTAGGAGTCTTGGAAGTTGACGGACTTGCCCTTCTTCTTCCAATAAGCCTCTACTCGTTGCCCCTGAGTCCCTTCTCCATTTGGTAAGAAGCTGTCGTCGAAGAGCCTCCACATCCCTTTGGTGTCGACTTTGAGAAGGTTTTTCTCAATGTGAGACCTCTTGAGCGGGCACTCGTTCGACCAGTGACCAGTTTGTCCGCAGTAGCGACAGTCGTCGTTCCGTGCGGCAGCTCCTCCTTGTGCGCGACTTTCAAAGTGGGGCACAGAAGAGTTGTTGCCTACTGGCCGCGACCGCTGTATAGGCGCTTCGCGAGCAGTCTGTACGAACGTCTTCAGCGCTTCCTGCAACTGAGTCTGTAACTCTTTTTGGTGTAGAAGAAATGAGTCCTTCAAGTTGGAAATCGAGTTTTCCAACTCCTCAACCTTAGCATGGTTGGGTGGACTAGTCTCATAGTCGAAGCGAACCTTGGGAGGTCGCGCGATTATGGGAATTTCGTCTTCGTTGCTCAACGTCGACGCCATTTCTTCCGCCATCGTCATTAATTCTTTCAGCTGGATGGGGTTGTCCTGCCGGTTGACTCCAGTCGCGGGGACATTAGCGTTTGCTATCCCGGCGCGAGTTTGGTAGCGTTTATTGAATACTTGACTCGTAGCCAAAGCGTTCCTCAAGACGGTACTGAACTCAGAGTCCAAAGTACGCATGTAGCGTTCACACGCGACTTTGTTGGTAATAATGGCAGGAGGGACTGACAGTCGCTTGTAGTGGCTATACATCTGAAGGCCGAAGCGCTTCAAATCTCCCTCATCCGTGATTTTGATTCCACGGTTCTCGCGACAGAGTCTATCTAGATCTGCCATGGTCCCCGTTTTTCGCTTGGATACCTCAGGGTATCCTTTTAATATTTCGGCCTCGAACTCCGCGACAGTTTTCGTGTCGTCGGAATAGGTATCGAGACCTTCCCATACGTCCATTACTTGCCGCGACGGCAGGTAACGAATGTACATGCTTTTTGCTTGTTTGGCATCTGTGATGCCACCATCCTCCACGATCTGCGCGCAGTGACGCAAATATGCCTCAATCGACAGGGGATCCTTTTCATCAAGTATAGGTCTACTTGTGTCCCAAGGTTGGGGGATTTTGAACCCAGTCTTTGGAGCCATAGTTGTCGCGACTGAAGTCACAGGGGAAGTAGGGATGTTGTTAGAATTCGTGTTTGTAGCGGTGACGCTACTAGACAATTCTGAGAGGGTTTGTGAGCTAGTCTGAGATCGACTGATTGTCGTCGAACTCGAAGTAGCTGCGTCTAAAGCTGGAAGCTTCGACGACGAATTCACTCCTTGTTTTCCTTTTGCCTTGGAAGGCAAGGGTGGTAGATACAAAGGTGTTTTATGTCTTGCAGACCTTCGTGGTTTTTCGAAAGGTCCTGAAGTTGAAGCGTTTCCTTCAGTCTCAATCTCCGCTTGGTCCTCAAGAGGTCGCGCAGGAGCTTGGGATCGAAATAAACTGCTTCGCGGGATAAACCCTTGGTCTCTATCCGACGTCGCGGTAAAGAATCCGGTTTATTGATTTTTAAAGTTTATGAAACTTTAGAAGCCCCTCGCGGTGGGCTCCAGATGAAATGCTGAGGGCGTGCTCACTAGTGAATCTACTATGAAAGTAAACCCAAATATAAACACGTTCACACTCCTCGTAATCAGCTTCTCAGTGTGTGAAAGATGCGAGGGCTTCGGGGTGGACAGAGCACCAGTATCACAACTCTCAATAGACGCAGATCCAATAGTCGCGGAGACGGAGTCGACGACAAGAATATATATATATAGCAAACAATGGTGTCTCAACTAATATCTTCTATACGACCACAACCAACACTAATCCAATCCACAACAACAATATAACAAGTCAGAGCTTAATACGAAGTATTAAGATCCCTTGTAGCGACAGCGTCCAGATGGTGACGCAAAGCCTAAATATCAAGTCGACGCACTGCCAACTGATACAACCAATATACTGAGTCGACGCACTGCCAACTAGTAGAACCAAAATGTCAAGTCGACGCACTGCCAACTGACACAACCAAAAGTACTGAGTCGACGCACTGCCAACTAGTAGAACCAAAATGCCGCGTCGACGTACTGCCAACTAACAGCCAATATCCAATGTCCAAAACCCGAGCACAACTTGTCGACGCACTGCCAAGCAAGGAGTGTGGAACCAAAGTTCTCAAGTCGACGCACTGCCAACTGACCAAAACAACCCGAGCACAACTAGTCGACGCACTGCCAAGCTAGAGGTGTGGAACGATCTCAACAAAGCCCGAAGGCGACGACACTAAATGCCGCGACAATACCAGATGCGGCGAACCCGACTTTCTGATATCTCAACTCAAACTCAAATCACAGTAGCTACAAGTGCTCAGGGAGCAGCTCGTCGCGACCGGGCAGGGATGGCAGAACTTCTTAGGGTGGAATCACGCGACACGCAAATTGTACAAAACAATCTGAAATGAGAGTGATTCACAGTCCGGGGGAAAGCTCCCCTAATACAAAGAGACGACGTGCTACTTATACTGTCTACGACGCTGCTTAGTAAAGTCCTGTACAACTGCATAGTAGCTACGCTATCTAAGATCGGTTGCCTTTTAGGGTAATTGAAAGTTGAACGATCGGACAGGTCCTGAGTGATCAGGACCCCGCCCCATTGTCCATATGATACTTTTGATGTGGGCCAACTCACCGCGTCATACTTTTGGAATACGACGTGCTGGATTGGCCAACGGGTATGTCTTGGCATGTGAGACCAACGTGGGCGCCCCAAGAAGCCGTATGGCTCTAGGCACGCCAATCGTCTCCCACATGGCTCGGTTCACGGATCTAGCCGTATCGATTTTAGTGTGTTTGAGTATGGGCGCGACTCGCCGTGACACTTGGAAGTGTCACCGCGACGCGTCCACAATGTCCCGTGATCGAATGGATCCTGACATGTGACAAGCCGCCGTCGTGGCATGATCTGAGGAAACGTCCAACTCCAAACCGGGAGTTGCCGCGACAAGATGGTTTAAGTCTCGTAACGCCAAGTCCTGTCCAGTAGTAGTTCTATTATTGAGAACGTCGCGCATTGCTCAGCCCTTCAGCCCAAGTTCCCATCTGCAGAGAATGACCCTTTTTGAGAAGTCGACGCAACGACAGATCCCCTTTCTGGGGAATGGTCGCGGTCCAAGCGTTCGTCACTAATGGCCCTGAGCCTGGTGTAGACTCATAAGACCAGTTCCACAGTAGTGGTCTGACTGCTTTGCTATCGTCGACACTATCCACAGTCGTCGACTGGGCAGTAGACCCATAAGTCCTACTGAGCGCAACACTGTTAACCGCGACACGATACACCGAGTGGTTCAAGAGTAAACTCTGTAAAAAGCGCAGAAATACGCCCTTACAGAGCTGGTGCAGAGCGCGTCTGGTAGCCAGCCTATCACCGGACTTCTCAGATCAGAAGTCCAGGCTCGAAGAACATTGTGCGGCCCGAGGATATGAGGTCATCTTTTTTCCAAAGTTTCATCCTGAATGCAACTTCATTGAACAGTGTTGGGGCTACGCAAAGCGAATCTATTGCATGTTTCCCATGTCCTCTACCGAGGACGACCTCGAACGCAATGCAAATGCCGCCCTTGATGCTGTGCCTCTAGACAGCATGCGAAAGTATGTGATTTCAGCCGCATTATTGCCATGGATTGGAATTTATTTGTTCTCAGATTTGCGACACGGTCGGAAAGGTTCATTGACGCGTACAAAAAGGGTTTGGATGGGAATCAAGCTGTCTGGGCAAGTAAGCGATACCGAGGTCACTGAGTCCTTCCCCGCAACATTATGTCTCTATTTGATAAGTTTGGACCTTCTAAAAAGACAGTAGATACTCAATAGACACCCAAATACCAACTCTGTTACTGTAGCTACGCATTATGAGGAAAATACAACTAGAGACCTTTGCGTCGAGATTTTTGCCGCGTGACATGTGACATGACACATATCACGTGCCCGCTCGATGGCAGTGACTGACGCCTATCTTAGAGGCGACTGGCAATCTCGCTACTGAGCCCGCGCTCGAGGAACTCGATGAGGATATTGTCTTGATCCCCCTTCTTATACTCGCCCTTGTCGTCGGTGGCGGTGTCCACATTGTACCCCGCATCCGAAGCCAGCATCTCGAAGTTGGAGATATAATCCGCAAAGGATCGTTTGTTCTGGCGCAGGGCCATGAGTCGAGAGGCGGCGACTTGCTCCGCGTTAGAATCCCCGAAGGCCCTCTGAAGCTCCTCCAAGAAGGTTGCCGAGGTGACCCCAGCCTTTATCCCGTTAAGGCTCTCGAAGTTGCGCTGTTTCCAGTTCATTGCCCATCTTGAGGCGGCGCAGCTTGTGCCAGCCTCGTTGCGGAGGTAGGAGAGGATGAACAGGATCTTCGTCTCATCCTGCGAGAATTCCGACCGGTATGCACCAATGTAGGTGGTGCATGAGTCCACGAAGCCCATGTACTTGGTTTTGTCCCCATCGAAGTAGGGGGGGTTGGCGGCGAGGGTGATGCGGTGATGACCTGACATGATAGGAGCAGGTGTGATAGGTGGGGGTGAGGGTGGTTGTTCGGAGGGCAATTCGTCGAGGTCAGGAATCTCGTCTTCAGGCGGCGGGAGGGCAAAGTAGGGATCGAAGGCCTTGGGTTGGTTTTGATGCGCCAGATCGGGCGACGATGGTATGAGGGGGGGAGGAGACGGACTCCCAGATGACGATGGGAATCGGTACGAAATGGTGAATTCGTGTGCTGTACAAGCACTCGAGGAGGGGTTCTTTTGCTAGCAAAAAGATCCCGGGCCTAGCTCTTCACGTGCCCAATGATCCCGAGGTGTGTTTTCCCGAAGGTCTCCGCAGCACTCCTTGTAGCTACCGTAAGGCTTGGGTCGGGCTCAACGTTACCCGTGGCCTGGTGCTGTTTGCTCGATATGAACCCTTCACTGCGATAGTGGAGGACGACTAGATGATTCGGTAAAAGGGTAAGTTGGTTGATAAGGGTTAAGAGGATATAGCGGGCGTAGCGGTGCGGGATGCAGGGTAAGAGGTATGAGGTAGGAGGGTATGAGGGGAGTCTTCGAATTATGTGACAATCAACCTAAAAACAAAGTCGAAAAGAGAAGTGAATTCGAAGACTGGAGAATACAACCAGGTAGCTACAGTATTTATACCCAAATCCAGTCTGAGTCATATCTACAACTAATGAGTCATAAGGCTATGTACCGCATGGAGCACTGGTCATGGGTTGTAGTAGAACCTTCCGGAGCATGTCGCGCAGCCTTGAATCGATAAGGATAATCCCTCGAACCCCTAGCCCGGGCCGTCTGATGCCGTGATCTGTGATAAGATAAGCCGTGCCGAGATAAGATAAGATCGTCGAAGATAAGATGAAAAAGTGGCCGAACTATGACACAAATCCAGCTTCCAGGCGGCTGCTCCAATCTTCTCCAAAATCTCATAGGGTCTTAGTCGTTTGTTGTTCATCTTCTTTGATGGTCTGTCCATCTCAATATTCCCTCCTTCTATGTACACCTTCATCCCAACCTTCAACTCCAGAACTTCTTTTCTTTGTTTATTGTAGTGTTTTTTTCATTTTTTCATTTGCTTTTTCTAGTGCTGTTTTTGCTTTGTCTTGTATTTCTTTTATTCTTTTTGTAAATTCCTCTGCTGACTCATTTCTTGATTCTATCCGCTGCTCTACTCCCTTCCGTGGATGATATCTGTGACACTGCAGGGGGACTTATTTTTTTCTGTGGAAAATGCGTGACAATCTAGAAGTCCAATTTTCACTGTTATGTTTTCAGACAAAAAATATATATTGAAAATAGATGTCAATTTACAGCTTGATTTTTACCATAAATAGACATCTATTCCTCCGGAAAACAGAACTGTGAATAGATCATCTTTTTTTTTGATCGACTCCCACTGGGAATAATTGTCGATTTTCACTGAAAATAGAGACAAAGAAAAGATGATCTTTTTTCACTGAAAACAGATTAAAACCACTGGAAGAATCTGTTGATTCCGGCCCCAATTCACATCACAAGTCCTGCAGCATGATTCCAACATGTTGTGAGTAGCATCCAGTAGCCTTTTGCAAGGCCAGGGATGCAAATTGGGGCCAGAATCAACAGATTCTTCCAGTGGTTTTAATCTGTTTTCAGTGAAAAAAGATCATCTTTTCTTTGTCTCCATTTTCAGTGAAAATCGACAATTATTCCCAGTGGGAATCAATCAAAAAAAAGATGATCTATTCACAGTTCTGTTTTCAGGAGGGATAGATGTCTATTCATGGTAAAAATCAAGCTGTAAATCGACATCTATTTTCAATATATATTTTTTGTCTGAAAACATAACAGTGAAAATTGGACTTCTAGATTGTCATGCATTTTCCACAGAAAAAAAATAAGTCCCCCCACAGTGTGATTTGCGTTAAACGGCAACACTTTGGTAGACATGTTCATTTTGTTGTTATATGCAAACTCCGCCATTCCCAGCCACTCCGACCAATCCGTCTGATGGTAATTGACATAGATCCAGAGATAGTGCTTGATTTCCTGATTCATGTGTTCCATCTGCCTATCTGTGATCAGGTGATATGCAGTCCTGGGGTTTATCTCCACTCCCAACATCCAATTTGTTTCCTTCATGAAGCCTTTGATGTACCAGGAGTCCCCATTGGTGATGATCTTGTGGGGGATCCCATGATAGTGGAAGACCTGGTCCTGAGTCAACCGTGCTACTCCTTCACTAGTGATGTCAGTACTGATTGGTTCCACGCAAATCATCTTTGTGAGGGTTTCACACCACACATGAATTGCATCATATCTGTTGCTGACCAGTAGAGGTCCAATTTGATCCATGGAAATGATCTCCCATGGAGCACTTGGTATCGCATGTGGATGCAGAGTCCCCGTCTTTGCCCTTTTGGTCTTTGTCTGCTGGCACGCCTTGCACGTCTGGATGTATTTTTGGATTTGATGCCCTATCCTTGGCCACCAGTAGTTCCTCTCGACCATCTCCTGCGTTTGGTTGATCCCCGCATGTCCTACCAATGGTGTGTTGTGGTGTAGTCCAATAATCTTGTTGTGACAATCAACAAGAAATAATGTCAAAAAGAGAAGTCAATTTGAAGACTGGAGAATACAACCAAGTAGCTACAGTATTTATACCCAAATCCAGTCTAAGTCATGTCTACAACTAATGAGTCATAAGGCTATGTACCGCATGGAGCACTGGTCATGGGTTGTAGTAGAACCTTCTGGAGCATACGTTGCACAGCCTTGAATTGATAAAGATAATCCCTGGAGCCCTTAGTCTGGACCGTCTGATGCCATGATCCGTGATAAGATAACCCACACCAAGATAAGATAAGATTGTTGATGATAAGATGAAAAAGTAGTCAAACTATGACACTTGTCCCACAACTCCTTGTCCCTTGGCACATAGAGCTTTCCATGATACGTAATGAGCCCATCCTCCTTTTTCCATCCAGCAAGAGATTTCTCCAATGCTGTCTTGACACTTCCATCAATCAATCAAATAGCCTTGATTTCATCAACCAGTTGCTGATCCTGTCTCTCAAATGTGACTTCTTGTGATTGGAACAGTTTGGGCTTAAGCAGGGTGATGTCCTTATTATCATTCTTACCCTGATTGTGATCTGCTCGTCAGGATAGGAGGTCAGCCTTGCAATTGAGCGCACCAGGCCGGTGTCATAAGGTGAAGTCAAACTTGGCCAACTTTGTGATCTATTGTGCTTGCCGTTGGTTGAGCTTCTGTGGCTTCTGGAAGTACTCAAGATTTTGATGATCAGTGAATATCTCAAATGTTTCCGTGGCTCCCAGTAGTAGCTGTCTCCATTTGTCCAATGATAGCATGATTACAAGCATTTCCTTGTTATAGATCTTGTAATTTTGCTCAGTTTTGGTCAATGCATGTGAAATGAACGCAATTGGGCGCCAAATGCCATCCTGATTTTGGCTCAAAACAGATCCTGTTGCCCCTCCCAAAGCATTGGCTTCCAGATGATATTGGCCAGCATCATTTGGCAGTGCTAGGACCACGTCCTCTACAATTCTCTTCTTTAATCCTTCAAACGCGGCATGCTCATTTTGTCCCCATGACCATCCTGCCTTGCCTGTCAGCTGTGTCAATGGCTTGGCTACCTTTGTATATCCCTGAACAAAGTGCCGATAGAAGTTGGTGAATCCTAAGAACACTTGCACTTGTTTTATGCTCTTTGGCTTGGTCCATTCCATCATGCCCCTGATCTTGATTGGGTCCATTTGCATTGATTTGTGCCCAATGATCATGCCCAAGTACTTGATTTCCCTGCGTTCAAATTCGCATTTTTTGGGTTTGAGGTATAACTTGTGCCTCTGCAGCAGTTCCCCATGGTCCCCGTTTTCCTCTTGAATACCTCAGGGTACCCTTTCAGGATTTTGGCCTCAAACTCTGCAACAGTTTTTGTATTGTCGGAATAGGTGTTGAGACCTTCCCATACATCCATTACTTGCTGCAACGGCAAATAATGAATGTACATGCTTTTTGCTTGTTTGACATCTGTGATGCCACCATCCTCTATGATCTGTGCACAGTGACGCAAGTATGCTTCTATCGACAAAGGATCCTTTTCATCAAGTATAGGTCTACTTGCGTCCCAAGGTTGAGGGATTTTGAACCCAGTCTTTGGAGCCATAGTTGTCGCGACTGAAGTCACAGGTGAAGTAGGGATGTTGTTAGAATTTGTGTCTGTAGCAGTGACACTACTAGACAATTCTAAGAGGGTTTGTGAGCTAGTCTGAGACCGACTGATTGTTGTTGAACTCAAAGTAGCCGCATCTAAAGCTGGGAGCTTTGACGTCAAATTCACTCTTTGTTTTCCTTTTGCCTTGAAATGCAAGGGTGGTAAATACAAAAGTGTTTTATGTCTTGCAGACCTTTGTGGTTTCTCAAAAGGTCTGGAGGTTGAAGCATCTCCTTCAGTCTCAATCTCTGCTTGGTTCTCTAGGGGTCACGCAGGAGCTTGGAATCAAAATAAACTGCTTCGCGGGATAAACCCTTGATCTCTATCCAACGTTGCAGTAAAGAATCCGGTTTATTGATTTTTAAAGTTTATGAAACTTTAGAAGCCCCTTGCGGTGGGCTCCAGATGAAATGCTGAGGGTGCGCTCACAGGTAAACCTACTGTGAAAGTAAACCCAAATATCAACATGTTCACACTCCTCATAATCAGCTTCTCAGTGTGTGAAAGATGCAAGGGCCCCAAGGTGAACAGAACACCAGTATCACAACTCTCAATAGATGTGGGATCCAATAGTCGCAGAAGACAAAGTCGACAACAAGAATTTACATATAGTAAACAATGGTGTCTCAACCAATATCTTCTATACAGCCAAAACCAACACTAATCCAACCATAACCAACAATATCACAAGTCAGAACTTAATACAGAGTATTAAGATCCCTTGTAGTGACAGCGTCCAGATAGCGATGCAAGGCCCAAAATATTGAGTCAACGCAGTGCCAACCAATACAACCAAGATACTAAGTCAATGCAATGCCAACTAGTAAAACCAAAATGCTGTGTCAATGCACTGCCAAAAGAAGTGTGGAACCAAAGTTCTCAAGTCAACACGCCAACTGACCAAAACTACCCGAGCACAACTAATTGATGCACTGCCAAACTAGAGGTGTGGAAACAATCTCAACAAAACCCAAAGTGACGACACAAAGTGCCACAACAGAACCAAAAGCAGCGAATCCGACTTTCTAATGTCTCAACTCAAAACTCAAATCACAGTAACTACAAGTGCTCAGGGAGCAACTTGTTGCGACCAGGCAGGGATAATAGAACTTCTTAAGGCAAAATCACGCAACACGCAAATTGTACAAAACAATCTGATATGGGTATGATTCACAGTCCGGAGGAAGGCTCCCAATACAAAGAAACGACATGCTACTTATACTGTCTACAACGGTGCTTAGTAAAGTCCTGTACAACTGCATAGTAGCTACGCTATCTAAGATTGGCTGCTTTTTATGGTAATGAAAAAAAAGTTGAACAATTGGACAGGTCCTGACTGATCAGGACCCTGCCCCATTGTCTATATGGTACTTTTGATGTGGGACAACCTGCTGTGTCATACTTTTGGAATACAACATGTTGGATTGGCCAACTGGTATGTCTTGGCAAGTGAGTCCAACGTGGGTGCCCCAAGAAGCCGTATGGCCCTAGGTATGCCAGACGTCCCTCACATGGTTTGGTTCACAGATCTAACCCGTGTTGCTCTTGGTGTGTTTGGGTATGGGTGCAACTCACTGTGACACTTAGAAGTGTCACCACAATGCGTCCACAATATCCTGTGATTGAGTAGAACATGACATGTGACAAGTCATTGTCGTGGCATGATCCGAGGAAACGTCCAACCCAAAGTTGGGAGTTGCTGTGACAAGATTGGTTCAATCTTGTAACACCAAGTCCTGTCTGGTATAGTTGTTATGTTGAGCATGTTGTGCATTGCTAGGTCCTCCAGCATGAGTTCCCATCTGCAGAGAATGGCCCTTTTGAGGAGTTTCTGCAACAAAGTATCCCTTTTGAGGATTTGTCGTGGTCTGGGTGTCTGTCACTAATAGCCCTGAGCCTGGTGTAGACCCATAAGACCAATTCCACAGTAGTGGTCTGACTGCCTTGCTATTGTCAACACTATCCACAGTCGTCGACTGGGCAGCAGACCCTCAAGTCCTACTGAGCGCAACACTGGCAACCGTGACACAATACACCAAGTGATTCAAGAGTAAACTCTGTAAAAGCGCAAAAATATGCCCTTATAGAGCTGGTGCAGAGCGCGTCTGGTAGCCAGCCTATCAGCGCAATGCCAAGCCAAGAGCACCAGCAGCATCAAGTGAACGTCCACCATGGCATGGCTTTCCCATGCATGACACGTTGTTCCGTGGAATAGGTGTTGCGACCCAAGCAGTGGCAAAACCGTCATTGAGAATGCTGTCAAAAGTGGCTGTATCAAATACCATGGTGGTGATGAATGCCCAATTGCTGTGGCTGCCGTGCAGGACCTGCCCAGGTGTACTGAACCAGGGGTTGGGCATGAGCTGTGGATGGCAGAGATACAGGCAGCAAGGGCGCCGTTGCTCAGTGTGCAATTGATGTGCCTCCTCTATCCCAACATGACCACAGCAAAGGCAGTCAGATGATCCATCACATCCTCTTCCTCCATCTCCTCTGCATCATTCATCCACATAAACATGTCTCCGTCCATCCTTTGCTCTGCAATATGGTGGGCCAAAGATCCAAGAGATTGATGTTTGCTCATGCATTGACATGTGATCTCCATCTAACTTACATCTGTAGTTTCAATTTGAATACATCTGGCTTCCGGGTCACTACATCCTGTAGACTCTAATATCACTTTGCTTATTTTGCATGATGGCACCACCCAATTCACAGGAAGTATCATCTGGGCTTATGGGAATTCACCCACTGTTTTAGAGCAACTGGACTAAAAAGATTTCGAACGGCCTGATTCATTACTTATTTGGAGTCAGTGTAACATTTGACCGCACTATCCGGGGTCCTGTGCTCCGTGTATCGCTTTTGGATTTGTTGGTCAGCATCGTGATCGTGGGACCGGGGTGGATACCGCAATTTTCACAGCCTTGGTTTCGACCATCACATAGACGACCCACTTTCTTCTTAAAAAAACTCTCTCTTTCCGTTTTTCATCGTAATATGTCAAATGGAACTGTAAATGCAACGACGGGGATTGAATCCCGTTTCGGTGCGTCGACTTTCAGCACTGGCCAGTCGCCCTGGGCGTTCGCTGACTGGCTTTCTTTTTTTTCGCAGCTGATCTTGGCCTGAACAAGTCCGCTTATGTTCCTCCGCACATGCGGAATATGCAGCAGCGGGCTGCTTCTTCCCCTTCTTCCCCTTCCCCTGCTCAAGGGTGAGTCTTTGTTTGACCCTGGCTTATCGCCCGTCTCACAACCATGATAGGAACGGCTGGGCTGATTCCCGCTCCTCGACCCCGTCTGCCCGGGGCAGCTTCGGTGGATCGAACGGCTATGGGAGCCGCACGACCTCTTTCAACAACTCTCGCGGAGGAGGCAACTGGGGTGGCAACCAGAGTCGCGGCGACTGGAACTCCCAGTCCGCCCCCCAGCAACGGGATAACTTTGGATACGGCTACTGGAAGGATGGCAAGCACGTCGTCGGCCAGCGCAACATGCGCATGGAGAAGGAGCTCTACGGCGAGCCGGACGACCCCTCAAAGCAGCACACTGGTATCAACTTCGAAAAGTATGATGACATTCCAGTGGAGGCGACCGGATCCCGAGTTCCGGAGCCGGTCAACGAGTTTGCATCCCCTCCTCTCGACCCGGTCCTTCTCGAGAACATCGGTTATGCTCGCTACACCAACCCTACTCCGGTCCAAAAGTACTCTATCCCTATCGTGGCAAACAACCGAGACTTGATGGCTTGTGCGCAGGTGTGTTTCGCTGCACATCGATCTCATCAGATTTAGGTTACTGATGGATATCTAGACTGGTTCCGGAAAGACCGGTGGATTTTTGTTCCCCATTCTCTCGGCCTCGTTCACCGCTGGTCCTCGTCCTCCCCCTGAGCAGCCCCAGCAGAGCGGATACCGTGCCCGCAAGGCCTACCCCACTGCGCTTATCCTTGCTCCCACCCGTGAGCTTGTGTCGCAGATTCACGAGGAGGCCCGCAAGTTCGCTTATCGGTCCTGGGTTCGGCCCGCCGTCGTCTACGGTGGAGCAGACATCAACCAACAGCTTCGCTTGATCGAGCGTGGTTGCGATCTGCTCAGTGCGACACCGGGTCGTCTGGTTGACTTGATCGAACGTGGTCGCATCAGTCTTGCCAATATCAAATACCTCGTGCTTGATGAGGCTGATCGTATGCTGGACATGGGTTTCGAGCCTCAAATCCGGCGCATCGTGCAGGGCGAAGACATGCCCGGCGTCCACGACCGTCAGACGCTCATGTTCAGTGCCACTTTCCCACGCGACATCCAGATGCTTGCCAAAGACTTCCTGAAGGACTACGTTTTCCTGAGCGTCGGACGTGTCGGCAGTACCTCGGAGAATATCACGCAGAAGATCGAGTACGTCGAGGACCAGGACAAGCGTAGCGTCCTCCTCGATATCCTCGCATTGGACGGCAAGGATATTGGCCTGACCCTGATCTTCGTCGAGACGAAGCGGATGGCTGACATGCTCAGCGACTTCTTGATGAACAACAACATCGCCGCAACCTCGATCCACGGTGACCGCACCCAGCGCGAGCGTGAGATGGCTCTGCAGACCTTCCGTAACGGCCGCACTCCCATCCTGGTTGCCACGGCTGTCGCCGCCCGTGGTTTGGACATCCCCAACGTGACCCACGTGGTAAACTACGATCTGCCCAGCGACATCGATGACTACGTGCACCGAATTGGTCGTACCGGTCGTGCGGGTAACACTGGTGAAAGCACGGCCTTCTTCAACCGCAACAACAGGAACATCGTGCGGGACCTGGTCGAGCTCTTGCGTGAGGCCAACCAGGATATTCCAGCCTGGCTGGAGGCCATCGCACACGAGGCCTCGTTCGGTGGCGGCTCTTACCGTGGCCGGGGCCGTGGTGGATCGCGCGGCTCCAGCCGTGGCGGTCGTGATTACCGGACTGGTGGAGGCGGAGGTGGCAACTACAGCAGCGGTGGCGGCGGAGGTTACGGTGGACGCGCTTCGTCGTACGGAGGCGCCTCTGCCTATGGCGGAGGTGGAGGAGGTGGAGGCTTTGGCGGCAACTCTGGCGGCAGCGGCGGGGGCTGGTGGTAGACGTCGACCGCAACACTCGACCGTGCCAAACTCCACCACGAACTACATGCCTTTTCTCCTCCATGTCCTATGCCTTCGCCCTCTACAGAACTTCTACACAGAAAATCCCCAAAAACACATACATAACGATCCTGCGTTTGGACCCACAACACGATCATGCCTGGTGCGCTACTTGTCACGTCTCGTCTCGACTATTGTTTCCTTGGAAGCTGTCCTCTCCTTCTCATCGTCTGCCCGCTACTTTATATGCACTCTAATCCTGCGATTGGACTACTGGGCGATATTTGGAGCACTGCCAGCCTGGCCAAGAGTCTGGCGTCAGTCATCGCGATACAACTTACCTTTGCTTACTGCTTTTGCTATACCCCAGATGTATTGCACTGTAGACTGATTCCCAACCACTCATAGACACGAACCGATACGAGACATTTCCATATTGCATTATACTAGTAGAGCATCTCACGCATAGCACCATCTTGTACTTTTAGGTCCACACGCATTTCTTCTCTTCTGTAGCAGGGTGTACTATACATGTTTTATAATCCATCCGATCCGTTTTCAATTCAGTAATTTGCAAGAACCGGTGCCTGCTTAATCCATACCCCAGCCTCCAACTCGTCCAACATCCAGTTTGCTATGCTACGCCGGCTGACCTGCAGACCACCCTGGAACTCCGGACCCAACAACCCCACTGCCAGCGGCAAATCCGCATCCTCGTCAGTCAGAATAGGCACCCTGAACACCGTCCAGTCGAGGTCATCGGCACGCGCCACCGTCTGCGCTATCTCGACCATCTCCGCATTTCCCTGCGGCGCCGCGATCTTGGGAAACATCCCGTAGAGCGACCATTTCAATGGGAGCAGCTCCGTGGCGGGCGGGGGCGGCGCGAAGGAGGGCGTCGAGAGCACGAGGATGCGCCGCACGCCCGATTCGCGCATGATGGAAAGGATCGTCGGGAAGCTGTCCGCGATGGGCTGCCGCATCGTCAGTCCCATTGAACGAGCAGTAGTGTCACGCAAGGCCCGATGCTCCAGCACTAGACATGCGGGCAGACGCTCACCGTGGTCTTGGTCCGGAGGAGGAACGCGCTGAGGGAAACATACGCCCCGAGGAAACTGACAACTGCGTCCACGCCGCCAGACACAGCTTCGCGCAGCATGTTCTCATCTGTGAGACCGCCTTCAACGATCCGCACGCGTTTTTCTTCGTCTGGGGACAGTTCCAGCTTGGCGCGCGAGCGGACGTAGAGCGTGAGCGCTGGAGGATCCGATCGCGCGAGAGCGATGCGAGTGAATGTACGCCCAGTTGCGCCTGTTGCACCAAAGACAAGAATGTGGCGTACCATAGCTTCCGGAGGGCCCAGAGAGGGCCGCCGCCGAGTTTAAAAGCCCCAGCATACACCGAAGCGTTCGGTCTCACTTACCCATCAGGGGCTGATTAGAGATTGGTGAGCGTTCTCGACTAATTCTGCAAAGGGAGGTCGCGTATCAGTAATCTTGAAGCGGGGAACTGGACAGAAGAAGCGAAGCCCACAGATGAATAGCTTGAAGTGTCGGAAACGATTGTGACAGACTGTGACAGGACGCGTTTAGACTCATCTCCCGCACGTCGGCCCCTTCTGTGGACCACACATCAGGAAATAATGTATACCCTCTCCCAGAGAACGCAATCGCAATATCGCCCAAGGCAACAGACAATCATCTATGCAAATCAACATTGATTCCGTTGCGAACAGGGCAGACATTTATGTAACATTATTTAACAACAAATCCAGTAGTCGTCAGTAAAAAAGAATAACGATCAGAACGCGGGATGCATCGCCAGCAATGCACGACGCGTCTAGCTGGTCACCGGGAGAGTGCTCCACGTACAGAACTGGCCTGGACTGGCATCCCCCGCATAAACAGTCTAATCGCTGTGCAGTGCAAAAAGCACAGCCGGATAAGAAGCACACAACCAGCCGGCGCTATATGCGTAGGCCAGACTGCGTCTACCAGTTGTTGAACTGCCAGGTGACGCTAGTGCGCCCAAGTGCCGGATCCGCAAGAGCCGCAAATGCAGCAGGCGTGAGATCGATGTCGTTGGGTTTGCAGCCAACGCATCGGTCGACGATTCGCACTTGAATGCTCTTGCTGCCGTGTGTGACGGTAGCAGTGAGGGGAACGTGGCACTGCACGTCGGCGGATCCGACGCAGTTGATCAGTCCGTCTCCGCCGACCTGAGCGAACCCAGGGACGGAAGACTTGATTGTGGTGGCCATCAGGCCCTGGGCGGTGAGGGCCTGACGACCGGGGACGAAAGGACCGCAAATGGGGTTACTGCACATGGTCAAAAAAGGGAATGATGTCAGCAGAGTGGAACGAACCGGTTCTGGGCACTGCCGTCAGCTCCTGGCCATGCGTCAAAGACGATCTCAGAGACAGCGGCGGTGAAAGACTCGTTGTCGTAGACGTCACCGCATGCTCCAAGACCTTGACCACTGGGTGACATGTCAGATCTGTATCAAGCGCAGCCGCACAAGGCGGTGAAGATTCGCCGTCCCGAAGAGAAACTCACTAATAGGTCATGTCACCACCAGTCTTCACCTCTGTGAACAGCGAGTTGCCCGAGTTGTCCATAGCCTCAGAGAGGGCTTTGAGGTAGGGATCGGAGGATGTGGCGACGGTGTATGACGGCTTGGCCCCGGCCTGGGTAACGGAGGGCCAATCGGAGGGCTTGACGGGAGCAAATTGACCAGCGGGCCCAGCTACTGTCGGCAAAGCACCACTTCCCCCTGCCTGCTTGGCGACGGTAGTGGCGGCTTGTGTCGAGGTTGTGGTAGGGGTAGCTTTGGTGTGGGTGGCCTGCTTGGTAGTAGTGGTGCTCGTCTCCGTGGTGTGTGCGTCCGTGGTCGAAGTGGTGGTCGGCGAGCCGCCAACATTGACGATACCAGCGGCGGCAGCGGAGGAGGAGGTGGGGGCGGATGAGGAGGAGAGAGCGCCCGATGACTTCGCCTTGCAGGCGCGACGGCGTGAGGCCACGGAGCGTGTAGGCGTAGCTAGCTCAGATACTCCGGCAGAAGCACGGGGGTTGAGATGGCGGCGACGCATATTTGCGAGGTGGGCGCCATGGTTCTGAGAGGCCTCCGTGAGAACAAGGAGGGCCAGGAAGAGCACTGAGGAAGGGAGCTGGAAAAGCATCTTGGAGGAAGGAGAGTGGAGGTGGGTCGCAGCGGAAGCACAGGGAAGGGAGCGTGAGGCTACGGCACTCTTTATAGGCCTTTACGGAAATGAAGGGAGGAGGAAAGACAAAGAAAATCAGGACAGCGGCAAAGACATCAAAACACACTCGATCGGTGATTGATCGGCGGCCCAGGCTGCTCCTCTGGGGCTTACGTATACCATAAGCGCACTCCGCCCTCGTTCCCCTGTTGCCGGTCTCGGAATCGGGCCTACTACGGTCCACCGGAACCCTTGACCTGTAACCTTAATCAACACGTTGGTCTGAAATACCACCGTTGATATGTCGACCGCATCCTCATGTTCTCCTCCTTTTCTTTTCATACACACACGCACACAAGGCTGCCGCCTCGTGGTTACTCCACCCAGCATCCGGCGAAACGTATAAACCGCGGGTGGATCGCAGGCACGCCGCGAACGCGCGGTGCAGTGACGCACACGCGGGCTGCTGGCCGGCGTCATCGCATATGCCTGATCAATCTTCATCGATCGCACATACTTTCGTGCTCCAGTCCGAGTCCGAGTCCGAGTCCGAACCTCGAATTGGAGCGCAGGTGGGGCATCCCCTCACGGACGGGAGCGGCGCCAGTTATTCGCGGCAAAACTATTCGCAGAACGGGCATGCCGAGGCTCCTCTAGCGCCGATACAACGCTTGCAGGCGGAAACTAGACTTCAGAATCAAAGCCATTTCTGTACGTGGAGTGCCTGAAGCGTCGGTTCCATCCCCGCTGTTCCCGCCCCATCGGAATACGCGCCAAGATAGCAGGAGCTCGGGAAGTCCGAGCTGAACTGATTAGAAGCATGGGTACGCGTTTCTTGAGGTCATCTCGCGTCAGATCAGATTCTTACAGTAACTCAGTTAAGATGAAACCACCCGACCCTGCAGGTACAGTCCGATCCAAACTCACTCTATGTCTGTGGGAAATCGGCAGGCCAATGCGTTGTTCTTTTACCTACGCCCAGTGTCCTCGAGGGCCCTTCGAAAACGACTAGCGTGGTCTTTTTCGTTGTCTTCTTTCTCATGTCCACCGATCCCTGCTTCCATCGGGATCGCACAATGATAGTCAGGGAACGTTCGAGCGAGGTGTCGGATGTAACTTTGGATCAAGAACTCTCCGGCACCAGTGCGCCCGATGAAGTATCGAGTTGGGGGAGCTTGTCTCCTACTTTCGACGTCCTGCGAAAGGAGTGACAGAGCATCCATGAAAGGCGTCCGCGAGCTCAGGATGTTCCGGAATCCTCTTCGATGGAGTGGCCATGTGCTGACAGAAGCACCTCGTGGACTCAAGTGAGGATCGATGTCATACAGATTACTTATTGATACATAACGTATGTATGTAGTAAGAAATTGTCTAATAGATGGTCTATGCTTGCTTGACCTTGACCTCCTTCTTCTTCTTATCTTTCGGCACTCGCCAGAACCAGTAGAAAGCTAATGCGGCAGCAGCGTTGAAGAGGATGAAGACCCAAATGAGCCCAAAATTCCTCCAGCGTTCAGAGTACTGCGGCCGATTTAGAATATTATGGAGAGTCAAAGAGTAAAAGACGCACATGGATGTTGCTCGCCGCAAGGAAGACATTGGTGTCGGAGATGCTGCAGAACTCGCATGCACTGGTCGCATTCGGATTCATGACCTGCCCACCCGCAACCTGCATATAGGGCGCGAAGTATTGGCCGCAGTTCAAGCCAGCTGTCGGATCCACATGGAGCAGCTCTATGGGGGAACATGTGACATTGGTATTGGCTAGACCCGTCGCAAGCATGCCGCCGACGAAGTAGCTGAACGGCGAAACGCGGTACATCCAGATCTGCGCAGTCATAAGCAGAAGCCACGAAGAAGTACAGCGGACAAGATACGTACCCACCAGCCCAGGGTGCTCGGCGGAGCAAGCACACCACAGAAAAGAAGCGTGAGCGAGAACAGAAGATTGCCCATATTCCCTGCAGCCTCGGCAGTTTCATTGCCCGCCACGAGCCATTGTGACAGCTGAGCGACATTTAGAAAAGGAAGATCGCACGGAAAGATCAAACACATACCGTGCTCGTGAACAGCATGAACTGTAGCAGATACAGGAACATCAAAGCACCTCGCTCGTGGACTGCACCGGTCGGGACCGCATTGTTGTAGAGACCGATGGGGTAGTACCAGGTCACGAAGCTGAGCACCGCCGCAAGAGTCTGCCACGGCAGCTCCACGACGATTTGAGCCAGCATGAAGGCGACCCAGGAGTATGCCTTCGAAGGTCGCTCCCGCGCTTCGTACAGGGCCCGCTGCTCGACGAAAAGCGGCATGATCTGCTGCGAAAGATTGCCGAACAACAGGAACAGCATAAACACAGCGAACTGCACGTCTGTCAGCACAGAGCATACGGTATCTTAAGAACTCCCACTCACCAGCTGATCCTGCAGACCTTGCAAGTTGTTCTTGGAGCGGTAGAACGTGAATCCAATGAAGATAGAGCACAAGCCGACGAGCACGAGCTTCGAGTAGATGTATGACGGAGTCCGCCAGTATTGGAACCAGACCCTTTTGAACACTTCGTTGAACTGGGTCCCGAGCGGAGTCGCGAACAGCTCGTAGCCCGCAGCGGAGTCGCCGCTGTCTTCGATCTGCGACAGCTCGGCAACCATCTGGTCAAACTCTTCCCGCACCTGGGCGCGTTCTTCGCTGGCCTTCCAGACCTCGGGCCAGTCTTGTGCAGACTTGTGGCCACGTGCGGCGCCGATGACTTCCAGCATCCATTCCGCGGGATTGGCCTCGGGGGGACAAGGACTTGCTCCGTACTTCTCAAAGTAGTTCGTCAGCACGCTCGAGTTTTCGCCGATCTCGCCAAAGTAAACCGTCCTGCCGCCACGAGCCAAGAAGAGCAGCCGATCAAATTCTTGCATGAGCACGGCACTCGCTGTAACAAATGTTCAATCCCTGTGCAGAAATAACATGGCAGGAGCACGAACGCTGATGGATGGTCGACAGGATGGCCTGACCGTGATTGGCAAGCTTGCGCATCAGTTGACAGATAGACCAGGCCGTTTGCGAGTCGAGACCACTCGTGGGCTCGTCGAAGAACACCAGAAGCTCCGGCTTGGCCACCAGTTCGACGGCGATGGTCAACCGCTTACGTTGCTCCACGTTCAGACCCTCGCCAGGGACACCGACCAGGGCAGCGGAATAGGACTCCATTTCCAGCAGCTCGATGACCTCATCCACGTACGCCAGCTTCTCAGCCTTGGGGATCGATTTGTGCTGACGGAGCATGGCGCTGAATTCGAGCGCCTCCCGGACAGTGGAAGTAGCCAGGTGCAGATCTTGCTGTTGGACATAGCCTGTCTTGCGTTGGAAAGACTGATCCCGTTCCCGGCCATTGACAAGCATCTCGCCCGACACGACTCCTATCGTAACACGAGTAGCGAGAACATCCAAGAGCGTCGTTTTCCCTGTAAAAGAAGTCAAAATGACGCACAAACAACGAACGCAAACACAAGACGCACCGGCACCACTGACTCCCATCAGCGCAGTCAGCGTCCCGGGCTTGACCCAACCATCGACGTGATCCAACAGCCGCCTGTCGGTGCCATCCTGCAGCTTGATGTCATAGCAGACGTCTTTCCACAAGAAGATCTTCTTCTGCGCGTGGATTTTCGGTTCCTCAGCAGACGACTTCCCGGCCTGCAGTCCAACCGTCTTCTCGCTCGAAGTCCCATCCTCGGCATCAGCGGCCCGACGCTTGGCAGGAAGGTGCCCGCGGAGGAAGACCAGAATTTCGCCCTTGGATTTGAGCGCAGAGATGTACTCGGTGGTAAGCAGATGGACACCACAGAAGACAACCTACGGGACGGAGCATTAGACCCTGAAGAACAGAAGGGGACGGAAAACTTACAATGAAGGCCAGAAGGATGCCAAAGTTGCGCCAGAGATGCCCGTGAACGTAACTGAACGAAGCCAGGAGGTAGTCTGAGCCCTCGACGTAAGGGAGCCCAGCGCGAGAGCCAGTGGTCGAACAGATTCGGTTGGCGTCCGAAACGTTGGCATACGCCGGACCTGCGGGCACAAAGTTGCCGCAAGGATAGCGCTGTCCAGAGAACTCGTTGACCATCACTGGTGGCACCATTAGTTCGAAACACAGTGAGATCAATGCAAGGTGAGACTCACATGCTTCAAATGCGTACCCGACCGGGTTGATATAATTGATCCAGCGAGACCAGCCATGCATGCTGGTCACCGGGATCGCAAAACCGGTGTACATGACCAGCCCCAGAATAAACAGGGCCGTGGGCGTCAGCGCCTGGATGAGAGACCGGGACATCGAGGCAATCGATCGGAAAATCATCGACATCACAAATGTACACGTAACCGAGAACAGATAGAAGATGAAGAACGCTCCAGGTTCTCGTCGAAGATTAGTCATGAAGTAAAGTGTAAGGTTGACGACTATGGCGGACTATGAGATCGCAGGCGCACATACGAGATATAAAACATACCGGTGGCGGTAATCATTTTGACTGGAATGTCGCATATCATAGACGAGATAGCCTCCGCAAATCTGTCCTAGGCTTAGAACGGGAAATGACGGTGGCAAGACGGCACCTACGGATGGTACAGAGCGTAGGCAGTGTGTTTCTCAACGATAGGTCGTTGACCGTAAAGTGTGAAGATCTGAGCACAACATGAGCTGAAGCGAGAGCCGCTAGAGCGAGGGCGTGCTCACCTCGAGGGCGCTGGCGAATGCATTGATTAAGGTGGCGTAAAACAGAAGTGCTCCTCTGCTGTAAAAGCTGGACGTCTGGTTCGTGAGATTATAGAAGACGCTAGAGATGATGAGGGTCATAATAAAGTTGCCGAATACCTATCGAAATGTCAACGGTGATGAACAAAAGAATAGACCCTAAATGCACTCACAGTGGTGTAAAAAGTGGTCATATCTCCGCGTAAGCGTTGCCATCCGCGCTCCATACACAGCGCAATTTGCCGACGAACAGAGATGGTATAGGGAGAGCCCTGCCGGATCGACTTGGACTGCTGCATTCGCCGCGATGCTCTGAAACGGGCCAGCTGCTCGCCACCGAGCGGATACTCGGCATTGTAGGCTTCAATGTCACGGAGGAGCGCTTGACGTTCCTCGCTCTCGTGCCAAACACGAGCAAAACCCTCGGCATCACGAGGAACCCGGGTCTCCCATCCGGGGGCAACGAGGCGTTCGGCGGGATTTGTCAAGGACGTCAAGAAGTCACCAGTAGTCTGACGAGGAGCGCAGATGAACCCGCGGCTAGTCCAGAACTCTTTCGCGTCCTCAGTCGAGCCGAAGTAGATTTGTCGTCCTTCGTAAAGCACGATGACTTTGTCAAACAGCTGCAGCAGGTGAGCACGGATACTTCGATGAATCTGTTAGTGACAAACATCATATGCGTCTTGAGATGCCTATTACAAAAGGTGAGGTCACGAGGGCGGTACGATTTCCTCGACAACGCACCTGATAGATGGCGACGAGAGCGGTGGAGCCGGTGACTTGCGTGGAAAGTCGCAACGTCCGAATGAAGTCGAGCGCTGTTGCACTGTCGAGACCACGCGTGCTGTTATCCCAGCATTGAAGTGGGGATCCTAGATGACAGTTCAGAGCGAGGCGTACAAAGAGAGCGCGTGAACAGCGCATACCGCTCAGAGTCGTCTCGGAAATACTGACACGTTTGCGCTCGCCGCCACTCACCCCACGAACGAAATCGTTGCCCACCTTGGTGTTCAGCGTGTGACTGAGCCCAAAGATAGACATAACGAGATCCCGCAAGTGAACAGCGTACGTCTCGCGCGAGACATCGCCGATGCGATTGCGAGGAACCCGGGCCTTGGCGGCGAACAAAAGAGTTTGTCCCACGGTCAAATGGGGGAAATGCACGTCCGTCTCCGCATTGTAGATGACTTCCCCGCGGAAGTCGTGGTGCATGATCTCCTTCGGGATTCCTTGATATTGGATGTCGGAGCTCTCCTCGACTGTGAAACCGTCGGTAAGGCCTAAAACGCGCATCAGACGATTGTGATTTATGCACGCGTGTGATGGTAGTAGACTGACCAGAGATGGTCTTTAGGAAGGTCGTGCAACCACTGTGAGAGTTCAGTAAGTTCCAGAGGTGTAGAAGCACCCGCACGCACCTTCCTGGTCGCCCAAGCACGATCAACAACTCTCCGGACTTGACCAAACCATCGAAATCTTGCAAGATTTCTGAAGCGCATGAGCACAGAAACAAAACAGAGACAGTGCCAAGGCTTACGGATCTTGCGCTTGCCGTTGTTGCCCAGACCAGTCCAACGGCGAACAGTCGATGCGACGCCCAACCAGACATTTGCAACAGTCTTCTGGTAATCCGTCGGACTGCCCACGCCATGTACATTAAGGTCGCGGAACGAAACTCCAGCGGTTCGTGTCTAAGGATGCGCGTGAGCGAAATGGGGATATAGTCATCAGGGCACGCACAGGGTAGTTTTCGGGGTCGCGAGAAACGATGAGCATCACAGACTTGAGCCAGGCTTGGATATCGAATTTCTCCGAGGTGGGATCGAGGGTTTCATCGCCATTGTGGGGGTCGAATGGGTTCACGATGGTGGATGTGCTGCTCTCGGACTCGGACAAGCGGGGGGGATGACGCTCTGTTTCGGAACGCGACATATGCCGTGCGAGAGCAGTGACGGTTTCCTTCTGTGCATCGCTGAGCTTGATGCTCCTGGGGGAGGATGGGGGCCCAGGATTCATAGTAGTGGAGAAAAGAGCAGGGTTGGGGACAGACGATGTCCTGGGTGTTTTAAATCGGCGGCCCGGGTTGACATTTGTGATAGCAGCTGATGCGAGATCCCGATTCAAAAACAATCATCTTTGCGCGGTTATTTTATGGCCTTGGGCGGCATAGAGCGGGTCATCGGCGACATAATCCGGTGTAAAAAGGATGCCGAAGAGGTTCGGCACTCAGAATTACGTCCTTTTCTGACGTTCCCATAAGATCGTCGTGCGTGTTTTCAGGAAGAAGAGATCCAGGGGCCAGGCCCGTTGAGTCAGTTCCGTTGACGTGATAATGGTCCATGGCCCCGTTGATGGCCGTTGACACATATATTGACACCATCATTGATGCCACATGCCAAGCCCCGGGATCTTGGCATGAGCGATCACTAGCGATCAGCGATGCAAAATATGATGACGTCAACGGGCCTGTCTCTCCTCCTCATTCATTGTAGGATGTCGGATTACATCCGGCGGCTCGTCTCAGGCGACAAGGCACGTTTCAAGGATGACTCACTGGACCTGGAACTGGACCTGGTTTACCTCACCGATCGGGTCATCATCATGGGATACCCGGCCGACGGATTCGAAAGTCTCTACCGCAACAAAAGGGATGACGCGAAGCGGTTCTTGGAGCACCGACACGGCAAGAATTTCTGGGTCTTCAACTTCTGCCCTTTACGGGAAAACTCGTATCCCGCAAGCTTCTTCGATGGGCGCGTCAGTCGATACCCGTTCCCCGACCATCAGTGGGTTTAATTCCGTGCGAATGTTGGATTCGGAGCGACAACGGAACATTCCAGCGCTCCACCTCTCGCGCTGTTACCTCTGGCTGCTCGGGAAATGACAGAATGGCTGGACGGGGCGCCTGAAAGAGTCATAGTTCTGCATTGCAAAGGTGAGTGTTCGAGATGGACGTGATCAGCGACATCCCACGGCATCTATCATTAGCGGGAAAAGGCCGATCAGGAACCCTCGCGTGCACATATCTCCTCGCCCAAGACATGAGGCCCGATCGGCCTCAGTCGGGACTGAACAGATCCGATGTCGCAAGCAGAGATGAATGGGCAAAGCTGAAGACTAGCGAAGTCATCGAAGCCATCGAACAGGACAGGGAACCCGTCGTGATCTCACCGTCTTCGCCCTCATCCTCTATTCACTCAGTTCCTCAAAACACCAGCGAATCTCCTCAAGCATTCCCTGATGCGCTTCATCGCGTCCTTGACTTACACACGGCGCGGCGCATGAAGGCGCCACAGCAGGATTCGAATGGAAAACAGCTCAAGAAGGGGAAACAAGGCGTCAGCATCCCCAGTCAGCGGCGTTGGCTCTACTACTGGGCGCGTCTGCTCAGCGGGCAATCGCCAAATGGGTTCTGGAGTTTGCCTTCCTCCATCTCAGCCTCATCGCCTCCCCGACGTTCTCACGTCCGCATCAACCACATCACGGTGCGCATGTATGAGCCGACGAGTCTCCGGCTCCGGATAGCCCGAACTGCGTCCGCTTTTATGGAACGTACGGCGAAGGGCAAAGCAAGAGCAGCACACGAGGAGACTACAGGCCCGGTGTGGATCTCTTTAGCCCGATACGATGACCAGTTCGTCGATCTGCTCGAACGGTGGGAAGCCCATACTCGCGACTCTCGCTTTCTGGCCTGCAGGCGTCCAAACACAAGCTCCCTCGACGGCGAGTCTCTACGAGAAGTATTCGACGATCGGGGACGATGGGACAAAGGAAAGATGGTGCGGAGCTTCGCCAGGCTCGGAAGCGCGCAAGACTCGGTCACCAAAACCGACACACCGGCGAGTCGCATGGCCCTTGCGGCCTCATCTGCATGTGCTGATGACGCTACAGGAGGGCAAAGTGATGCAATATACATTACGCCCCTTGTCGGATACTGCCTGGGTCGACGTCCGCGCCGCCATCGCTGAGTCGGCCGTGGACGTCCCCGCGGACGGGCCCGACATTCCCGGCTCGGAGTTTAGCTCCATCCCTAGCGACAGTCCGCAGCCACCGTCCTCCGAAGGTGTAGTGGTCGACGCTGACCGCGAGATCCGGGTGAAAGTCTACCTGGGCCAAGTGCGTTGTTGTTTTCTGCTCTCGTTCGACTCTCGTGCTGAGAGTGGCTTTCAGATCTTTCTGTGCTGGATCTGGCTGATCCCTTCGTTCCACCTCCCACCGCCCTCCGAGCTGCCGGGTAGCACGAAGCTCAAGCTAACGCGCAAAGAAACAGATTTCCCGATTGGGTTGGGCAGTACCCTCATCGACGTTGAAATCGACATGGAGTGGGTCGAGAATGGCGTTGTTAAAGCAACGGATTCGGGCGAAGATAGCGACGGGAACAAGGGTCTCACTCTCGCTACTGCGCTCGTTGGGAACGACATCCAATCAACTGTGCACATGGGACAAGCAACAGACTCGTAGACAATTCACGTTGGTTGGTCATACATGGTTAGATAGATCCTTTAAGTTAGAGCAAACACGGACGGCCGGGAATCACTCGCATGTGGAGGATTTCTTCTTGAACGATAGACCAGGGGGAATGCGTCGGTTTCCTGTGATCTCGCGGTTGCGCTCTTCGATCGAGCGGAAAGTGGGAAGCGTTCGGGGCGATTTGCGTCTTTCCTTGCGGTTCAACGCCTCTCTTCCGTGCAGCACAGACCAGAAGAGGTCGTCCGCGCCTTCACCCGTGATGTGAACTGGCAGCGGGGGCTGCTGCGGCGACGTGCATCGCTGCGAAGCCATGGACACACGGTTCCAACGCTCAAAAGGATAAGCGCACCCTGAGTTCGAATCTGCACATCTTGAACCCTGCCTTCCCTTCTTCCATCCATGCCTGCGATTCCCATGAGACGCACGAACCGGATTGAGCAGGAGAGACGCACTCGCACGACATCGTACAAACCGTCGTAGCGGTATCTAGTTTCCGTCAGTCTCAGGCCATCGAAAGGCTACACCTGAATGTACCCCTGTCGCGGGCACCACGCATCATTCCCATCGGGGCCGCGTATCACGCGAACGGGATTGCCGTACGTCATATTGTTCTGTCCCAGCCGCAAGTTCAATGGTTGCGCGAGGTGGAAACATGGAGTGAGACCGCCGGCACTGACCTTGAGCGCTGCGTTGCGGGTGGAGTTCATATCCTGGTCGCCTAACTGAACGTTCTTGTTCTTGGGCTGTGGGAACTGTTCAGCGGCGCTGATCAAAGAAACCAGAATGGCTCAAGTACAGCAGTTTCTTTTGGACCCCCTGGTTCCGGTTTGCCTTTACCTAGGCGAATGAGCCCAAGTCCCACAACCAAACCCGAGACATCGAGCAACTAGTTAGTTACCTTCCCCGGTATAAATGCTATCAAGTCGACATCGTCAGACCCCCTTCGCACAGCGCAGCGCACACGCACATTCGGTCCCCCTCGTCAACATCGTCCTCATACGCAGAGTTGAGCACGATGGAGAACGCGCCCTGGTCGTGCTTCGTGCCGAAGATGCCGGACTCCTTGGTGCCGTGCAGGCCCGACTCGTACAGATCGGCGCGGTCAGCGAACATCAGCCCGACGGGGAGATCGACGTCCACGATGTCCCCGTACTGTCTCCTGCGAGTGCGCGACGTGTTAAGAGACTCTCTAGCAAGGAAATTGGACCGGGATGACTGACGGATTGGGTCGGACCATGAGCAGATGATCGACGAGTCGCGTGGGTGGTGGTGAGTAGGATGAAAGAGTCACTTTGCGCAAGTGGACAGCCACGACGCGTGCAGTCACATGTGACGCCAATTAGACACGCGTCGGAACGCGCTTACACGTATATTCAGCGCGAGCAATTAGAGAGAGGACCGCTGTGGTCTCTAGTTACACGGGATGTATGTTTATATGTGTGTGGGTGTATACGGTGTGTGTGTGTGTCTAAGATACAGTGAGAGAGGTGGTTAGCCAAGATAGGAAAGAAGACAAGTCCGAGTGTCCAGTCGCTATCGCCAGCGCGACCGGCAGAAAGATACAATGTTTTGTCGGACACCCTTCAAGGAACCTGTGGTCGGTCGGTCAGTCAGTGTGGAGCCGTCTCCGTTCCAGGAGACTAGACGCACCGAATACGATGGCGGGGGCCCACGCATTGGTGAGGAGCACCACATGCTGCGTGCCAAATGGCGTCGGTGTGCTGCGGTGCTTCGCCACATCGATTATCGTCGACAGGCTCACGAACATGATGAATATCGGGAAGGATCTGCGCAACTATCAGGAATCCGCTGGCGTATGTGTCTACTGCCGCGGGCACTCACATCTGGAAGACGATGAGCCGGTGGATCTGCGGCGTCACTTGCGGCACAACAGCCATGTGCGAGATATCTATCGCACACACACACACACACACATTAGCACGCCCAGCGCCAGACTGCACGCCACTCACGAGTCGGGGTGGCCTCGCTGTCGATATAGCTGAGGTGGAAGGTCCCGTCGTCCTCCTGCGCCTGGTCGAGCGTCTTCAGGTCCTCCTGCGATCGGTCGTGCCCCGTGACACTCGTCGTCGCAGACGAGACGTGTCCGTCGTCTTCCCAGGGTCCGAGATCGCGCGACAGACGGTCCTGCTCCTCGTCCCGACTCCGCGTCGGAAACAGCTTGTCCTTCGGGTCGATCATCGGCGCGAACGTCGGAAAGCTCGAGGACGCCACACTATCCGTGTCTGCATCAGCAGGCCGCGGTGACGGCGACGGCAGTGGAGGTGACGGGTGGCCCGAGAACGTCTTCATGCGCCGGAAGAACGGCAGATGGAAGCCCATCCGCTGGTGGCTCGCTTGGACCGGGAATCTAGGATGCACTAGCTGTCTCCCGGGAGACGGCGGGAACATCTCCTCCGAGGGACACGGCGATGTTGGGCTCGAGCCTTTCAGCCCGAGGTGACGGTGCTCCCGGCGCATCTGGCGAGGAAGCTCGTGGTCGTCCTGCCGCGCGCGCTCGACGTGCTTCAGCGTGCGGATGACCCGGCGGATGGAGATGACGGACAGAACCGCCGACGGGAAGATGAGCACCACGGGGATCGCATGTCCAGTCAGCCGCACCCTGGATGCGGTCAGATCGCGCTGGAGAAGTAACTCGCGATAGCACTCACCAGAGCGGATTGGTCGCGTCGCAGTACATGTCGTTTGCCGCCTGGATCGCATTCGTCTTAAACGCCAAGGCCAGTTGTATGCCGGACGCGGCCAGTGGGTAGATGATCACGGGCAGCACATAAATCGATCTCCATTTGAACGACCTAAACGCCAAGTCAGAAACCGTAACCGCGCGTCCATGACCGATCCGCACGTCTGTATATTGCCCCACTTCTTCGGCTTGAGGATGTGCAAGCTCGTCGCGATGCACAGGGCCATGCAGATGCCGCCGAGGAAGAACATGGACACCTCCATGACGAGTGTTTGCGCTGGGGGCCAGTCAGAACTCGCAAGGGCTGTGACTTCGCACAGGGATTTCCATACCGATGCAGAAGGCTCTGGGCATGCTCGACGGATCCATTCGCCATATCATGCCTGCCGAGGTTAATAACGCGTCGCATCGCAGGGCCGCGCGTGCGCACCTAGGCAGAACATCCCTTCATACATTGTCACTGCGATGCAGAAACACAACGGCGCCCAGGTCGTGCCCATCAGCGATCCAAGGGCCATGAAGGCCGCCCACGACAGCACTGTGCCTGCGGGGGTATTAGGCAGGCAAACGTTGAGGCGCATGAGGAGGCGCACCGAGGAGGCACAGTATGCACCACACCAGCTTGAGCGCAAAGGGAAGCATGGCACAATCAAGGGGACGAAGGGGCGCCTGGCCCACTGGCAGCCCAGACGGTCCTCGCTGCTGGACACCGGTGCACAGGAAGCCACAGCAGCGGCAGAAGCAGGAAGAGGGGGAGGAGGGGGTCGAGGGAGACGGATGCAAGGGCCCAGTGCCGCGGCCGAGGGTTTTTATTTAAGTACGTCCGAAGGACAATGGGCGTGCCAGTGCTTCTGACAGGGATCAGTGATTGGCGAGGCGCTTCGAACTTCGGACGGAGTCGAGAATGAAACCACGTTTTGAGCCGCCGGCAGATAAGCGCACTCTTCCCGAGCGAGCAGTGCCTGGCCGGGCAGGTAATCAGGATTCAGCAGACGGTGCACGGCGCTCGGTGGGTCGCTGGTGCACGCGTCTCGACACTTGTACCGGTGTTCGACGGGAGGAGAATTACGTGTCCTGCGCGGTTTTGGAATTTGATATTGCGGACACGCCGGAAGATAGCGTGATGAACCGACGTTCGCGCGCCCTCGCGACAGTTGGAATGAAATGAGCATGAATGCCGTCTCGATGACTTGGCGGATAGAGATGAGTACGTAAGGAATAGTCGTATGCAAGGGGTGCTTGATCGAGGCAAAGCCGTACTTTGCTGCACAGGCACTGCGCCACTAGTGGGTAACATACAACGTGGCTAACCTGCGGAAGTCTAGATGATAGCATACGCTAGTTTATACTGCTACTACTAGTAATTGAAAACTCGAAAGCGGAGTCAGCCGTGGGAGTGGTATAGTGGGTGGTTGCCACAGCAACGACAGAGTCACGACCGACAGGGATCCGCACCTTGCCTGCAAGGGTCCAGGACAGGTTCAAGATTCAATATTCAATAATTCCAGACTCGAAGCTCGCAATGAGGCAGGCATGTCGAGCATCATGCATCTGGTCCCAACCAGCATGCAGGTTGGCAGTAACAAGTGAAGCGCCGTTCGAAAGGAATCAGAGATCAGCTGTTATTCGGCACGTGATTGGTAGAAGGTCAAAGCGCTCATCACACTCAATGACATCATTATCATCATTCGTGTAGCCCAATTGACCGCGGCGATAAATGTGAGGTCAGTGAAGTCTAGCTCCCAGGGCGCCCTTCTGAGAAACTTGTTCCTTACGACGCACATGCGTCCTCGAGACTCGCTCTCATGCGAAGCCGTGGAAGTGGTCAGGCGACGGCCGAGGTCACTCGGCTATTCGGGGCTATCTCGGACCGACGTCCATCAGTCACGTGTCATCATCCCCGCATTGGGCAGACAGCGTCTAGACTTGGTAGTTCATAAGTGTGCAGTCTTGATCGGCGACTTCCATGCGCATCGGACTCCGGGACGCAACCCCAAGAACAGAAAGGATCATCCATCCATTGCATAGCGACGAAAGTCTGCGCAGTGAGTCCACGCTCAAACGACGCGGTGTGTGTGACTCAAGTTGGCCCACAAGAGTTCCGTGCCAGATAATCCACCCGATTCAAAAGCCACGCATCGTCGAGAAAACGAAGCCCGTGAGGTGGGCTCGCACATAGCTCATAACCAGTGGGCGAAACATATAAGCTGGGCAGCTCGGTCGTGCGCTCTCCACCCGAAACTACGATGTCTGGTGACAGTGCGGTCGAAGATCTCAACCCTGGCGGGCGTCAGGTCATTTTCGTGGGTGAGGATGCATGATTCTCCTGTGCTCTCCGCGGGCTGAAGACGTCTGGAGTCGGGCTAGGGATGGTCGGCGTCGGTCAGTGGTACCCGGCTAACGTCATTCGAATCCGACTTGACGGCTCCACCGACAGCGTTCATCGAGAAACTTCTGGATCTGGACTCGGCTGCGAAGCGATATCTGGTGGTGACCTGTGGCGAAGAGCCCGTCTATGCGTACAATCGCGTTGGGTCAGCTGCACCCAGGACCGAACGTTCCAGCTGATTTCTGATCATACACTAGGCTAACCGAATACTTTGCTCATCGGAATGTGCGGCACGCCATGCGAACTGACCAAGTAGACGACCCGTGCTCACGCGACGAAACAGGTCGAGGATCTGTACATCCGGCCCCCGTCGTGGTATGCCGATCAGCAGCCCGACAGTTTCCGCTACTTCCTCGGCGAGACCGTGACGTCCATCAGCCCGGAGGAGCACGTCGTGACGACTTCGAAGGGGCGCGCGTTCAGGTACGACAAGTGCGTGCTCGCGACCGGCTCCAGCGCCGGACTGCCGCCGTATGTCTCGCACGACGAGATGCGGCGCACCAAAGGCGTGTTCGTGTACCGCAACATCTCGGACCTGGACGCCATCGTCGCCTACGCGGAGCAGGGAAACGTCGAACGGGCGCTCGTCGTCGGGGGCGGCCTGCTGGGTCTCGAGGCAGCGAAGGCCGTGTACGATCTGCCCAGGTAGATCCACGTCTCTCTCGTGCAGCCGAATTCATGACCCACCTTGGCTCCCAGTATACCACACGTGACCATCGTGCACCGGCAAGCGCATCTGCTCTCCCGGCAACTGGGCCCAGAAGCGGGGCTCATGGTCTTGCGGCGCGTGCAGGAAATGGGGGTCGAGGTGCTCGCTAACTGCACCCCGATCGGGCAGCTGAGCGAAGATGCCGCGTTTACCGGGCTCCAATTGCACGGCGGCGCGACCATCAAGGCAGGGCTGGTCGTGTACGCGATTGGGATCCAACCACGCGACGATCTGGCTGCGGAAAGCGGCATCCGCCGGGACAGTAAGGGCGGGATCGTCGTGGGCAACGACCTACAAACGACCGCGAAGGATGTGTTCGCCATTGGAGAATGCGCCAGCTGGCAGGGCCACACATATGGCCTCATCGGGCCCGGCAGTGCGTCATCCGCTCGCTCAGTCTCCGCCGTTTGATTGACCACTTTTACAGTCGAAATGGCGGACATCCTTGCGTTCAATCTGACGCAGACCGACCAGCACGCGCCGCGCGAAATGAATGCGCCCGATCTGAGCACGAAGCTCAAGCTCATGGGGATCGACGTTGCCTCCTTCGGAGACTACTTCGTCGACACCAAGCCGATCGAGGAGCAACAGCGAGCCGTGGCCCGCGTCCTACCCGCGAAGCGAGGCCGGGCGGCTGTCAGCATTGCCATCGAGCCGGACGACGGGCCCGCGAGCCCGATCCAGTGTCTGGTCTACAACGATCCATTCAGCTCGACGTACAAAAAGTACATATTCACCGCCGATGGCAAGTACCTGCTCGGCGGGCAGATGATAGGGGATGTGTCGGACTTTGCGAAGGTGGTCGCCATGGTCAAGAAGAAGGTGGGCGTACTCACCCAGCGCGTCTTCCGTTTCTTACTCGTGGTCTGCAGAAAGCTTTAGAGACTCCGCCGTCCCAACTGATCATCGGCAATAAAGGAGAAAGCTCATCGGATGATCTTGACGACGACGCCCAAGTTTGCAGCTGCCACGTGCGTGACGTCTGCGAGTGCATCAGGCCTATAGATGGCTCATGGTCGAGTCTAGAACGTCGATAAGGGCCGACTGGTTCGCACTGTGCGAGACGGGTGCACGTCCCTCGCAGATATCAAACAGAAGACGAGAGCGGGCACAGGGTGTGGCGGATGTGTCCCACTCGCAAGTCATCTTTCCACGTAGTGTCGTGCTGAATGTGACCGGTGTTTCCAGGTAACCAGCATCCTCAACGCCGAGCTGAAGAAACTGGGCGTCGCGGTGAACAACAACCTGTGTCCCCATTTCGCCCTGTCGCGCGCGGACTTGTTCGCCGTTGTCCGCGTGAAGCAGCTGCGCACCTTTGAAGAGGTGGTCGCGGCCTGCGGGGTCAGCAAGCAGTCGCTCGGCTGCGAGATCTGCAAGCCGACTATAGGCAGCATCCTCTCCAGTCTGTAAGCCGTCATATTACTACCTCCGGCGACTGTTTCTCGTTCTCAATCCCAACCAGGCACAACGAACACGTGATGGAGCCAGCGCACCACCAAAATCAGGACACCAACGACCGCTTCTTGGGGAACATCCAGCGGAACGGCACGTTCTCTGTCGTCCCGCGTATCGCGGCGGGGGAAATCACGCCGGACGGGCTGATCGCCATCGGATCCGTCGCGAAGAAATATGGCCTGTACACAAAGGTGCGCGCTCTCCGCTTTGTTTCCGCTTCGAGCCACAGGCCGAACTGCGCCCGGTGCAGATCACAGGCGGGCAGCGGATCGATCTGTTCGGCGCGCGCAAGGACGATCTGCCTGATATCTGGGAAGAGCTCAACAAGGCGGGATTCGAGAGCGGCCATGCGTACGGGAAGGCGCTGAGGACGGTCAAGTCCTGCGTGGGAACCACGTGTAGATTCCCATCTTATCTTATACTGCCGCTCGATTTCGCTGATGAGGATCTGCGCAGGGTGTCGGTTTGGGGTGGGCGATTCGGTGGCCATGGCCGTTCGGCTCGAGAATCGGTACAAAGGGATCCGCAGCCCGCATAAGTTCAAGGGCGGCGTGTCCGGCTGTGTCCGGGAGTGTGCGGAGGCGCAGAGCAAAGACTTTGGTGTCATCGCCACCGACAAAGGCTGGAACAGTGCGCGGACTCCGTATTTTTACATGGTCAGTGGCTGATTTAGTGGTCTACGCAGTCTTTGTCGGTGGAAACGGCGGGGCCACGCCGGTGGGTGATCCTCCTGGGCTGCATCGCATACGCACGGGCTGACTGACACCCGCGCGCACCAGCGACACGCGGATCTGTTTGCGAAGGACGTGCCTCCGAGCCAGGTCGTGCGGATCCTGGACCGGTATCTCGCATATTACATCATGACAGCCGACAGACTGCAGCGCACGGCGCGGTGGATCGAGGCCATCGGGCTCGAGAAGCTGCGGAGCGTCGTGCTGCGGGACGAGCTGGGGATCTGCGCCGATCTGGAAAGCTTCATGGACGGCATGGTCGGCACTTACGCAGACGAGTGGGCGCAGGCGGTCCAGGGTTTGCAGCGTACCTTTCCGTTAAGTTCCGGTCCTGACGCTCGATGAGCAGACCCGGCCAAGCGCCAGAAGTTTAGGCAGTTTGTCAACACGGAGGAGCGGCTGCCGTCCTCGGGAATGGTGCTTGAGCGCGGTCAGAAACGGCCTGCGGATTGGGCGGCGTCCTATCCCCCGTTTCTTCTCACCACGAACGACATCGCAGCACCCAAACCCGAATGGCAGTGGAAGAGTTTGCTGTCCAAGGCCGACCTGCGACCGACCAAAGCAGGGACCACCAGTGTTGTCGTCAAATATGGCGAAACTCAGCTCGCTGTGTTCCATGTCGCAGGCCGGGGCTACTTTGCTACACAACAGATGTAAGGGCTGGCTGCTCGTGTGCTCTCCCCAGCCGTCCCTGATTGCTTCCTTCCCCAGGTGTCCTCACAAACGGTGGCTCCTGTTGCTATAGTATTAACCCGTGTATCGCTCACTCGCCATCTCAGGACCTTTGTTCTCGATCAAGGAATTGTTGGAGAGTCTCCAGCTGGCGAACCAGTATGTCTCCCATTTCCTCTAGAAGCTTATCTTATCGTGCAACAGTACATTTCTTGCCCGATGCATAAACGCAACTACACTCTGGGAGCCGGCGACTGCCTGAACGATCCGGAGCTGCGCATCCTCACCTTCGAAGCGAGGGAAAATCCCGACTGCGAGGATGAGATCCAACTCTTGCTTCCCCAGGAGGAGGCTTTGGATGCAGTTTTGGGGACGGAGAAGTGGATGGTCCGCCAGGCGACGGCCGAGGCTCAAGAGTTGAATACGGCGACCGAGATCGAGGTCGTTGGGGTCACATGCCAGCGTCCTGAGCATGAGTGGTGACCATCACTACGCTTATATAATCTCAACTCTTCTCTCCCAAATAGTACACCCAGTTTCCATATCGGGAGGAACCGTTTCGCCCGCTACTCCTTCCCTCACATCTGCCTCTTGTCTTTCGAGTCCGTCGAAATCACAGCCTCGCCAGTGCTGGGAACGGATCATGCTACTTCATGCCCTCACTGTTCACCCTGACAAGCTGCCAAGCCTCTTGCCCAGTCTTGGCTTCACATTTCCAAGACTTTCCACTCGCTTCCTTGAAGCGATCTGAATTTAAGGGTCATATGAGTTTGCATCTGCTTACATCAACCTCTTTTTGCCCTCTTTGGTCCACGCTCTTTTCTCCCTCGCTCCTTCTCGCCACCACAATGCAAGCCCCCTCCTCCGCCTCGCGCATGGCCGCGCTCCTGCTCGCCGTCTCGCCATTCATGGGCGTCGTCGCGCAGCAGAGCACGTTCCCCGCGACGCCCCTCGTGTCCAAGCACTTTGCGTACCCCACCGGCATCGTGAGCGATCTGCTGCTACGCCCGCGCGATGCATTGCTCACCGGGCGTGTGCACAGCCGTACCAAGCCGATAGCGACAAGAACCTCATCCGTGGCGCGCAGAGCGGGTACAACCAGTGCAACTCGACCACGGAGGGCCAGGCGTCCCTGTGCCAGACCGGCTTCGTCAACTCCTTGGACGGTACGTGATCGCCGTGCGCCGTCGAGCGGGCGGATCTCTCACGCCGCGTGCACCCCCACACAGACTTCTGCCTGTGGGCGCCGTCGGCCCCCAACAGCCTGATCGCTGATACCGAGGGAGAGGAAGTCGCGTGGTGCACCAAGCCTGGGCGCGGCACGCGTCTGATCCCGGCGGGTGCCCTGAAGGGTCTGCAGTTCATGCGGACGCCCGACTACATCCAGGTCGTTGGGTTCATCGACCAGACCCAGATCAACATCCAAGCGGGCGACTTTGGTGGGGAATTGGATCCCCACGGTGCTGGTGCGTGTTTCGGAACGTTGTCAGTGACGATCCATGAAACGCTTTGACCAGATCTGCGTGGTAACCCCCTCGGAGGGCTGCTGTACTCCACGGCATGGAGCCAGGACAAGAACAACTTCCAGCAAGTTAGCGAGTGGCACAAGTGGGTCTTGTATTTACTTCCTCCCACTTCACGGTATTTATCGCTCTGCAGCTTCATGGGCGCCAACCAGTTCTGTTTCAAGGCCTGCGACCCTGCCGGCCCCAACGCCGCCAACTTCTGCCAGCACATTGTTCGTATCTTGTGTCCTTGCGTCGTCCTAGTCTAACCAAGTCGCTCTAGTACGACCGAATCGGCTTTGATTACAACTGCCCGAACGCTGCCAAGAACGGAACGTTCGAGTCTTGCCTCGGCGACAACCAGGACTTCCCCGGCGTGTACACGGGCACCGACGGCGCCGTGACGACCTACTCCCAGCCGCCCGAGAGCCTCGGCGCCATCTCGACGATGCCCTACCAGCCCCGGGTGCCCGCCAGCAGCAGCTGCACGCCGTTCCAGAGCGACTCGCTGTACGCCGCTTTGGCCTCGGTCGTCCCCAGCGCCGGCTCCAGCGCCGCGCCGCCCGCCAGCGCCACGGGATCTGCTGGCTCCAAGTCGCAGACCAGCGGTGGTGCGTCGCATGCGTCGACGGGCACTGCCACCCGGAGCTCGTCCTCCAGCCTGCCCAGCGCGACTGGCACCGGCGGCGCCACCGAGGCGCGCCTCGTTGGTGGCATGGCTACGGTGTTCGGTGTGGTGGCCGCTGTGGTCTTCCTGTCCTAATCTATCGAGCTGCACTGGACCTTTTACGGATAATTTCGCGCCCTGGAATCATGATATACCAGTCACATAATACAGGACTGCCGTCTCGTTTGAATACAAGTTCTGAACCACTCCCGAGACGCACTCCCCCGGTGTGCAGACGTATCCAAGGCTTACATAGGATCTAGAACACGGATGGCCTTGGCTCGGCCGGTGACATACGTCCGAGGCAGTGAAAAGTGCGGTCCTTGTCAGGCTCAGGAACAAACGTTCCCCGGTCCGCAGTCCTTTTTGTGCCATCATCGTCGGAACTTGGAGTGACGGATCGTTCATTGAGATCGGGAAACTCCGCCCCACTGGGCAGGCGAAACGTTCAACAGCAAAGCGTCGACGGTTGGAGATTGCATTGCATTGCCGCAGTTCCGCAGTCACGTCAACCATCAGAGAGGAGATCTGCACGTCCGCCGGCCAGCGTGAGATGTGCTGGGCAAGACGCTCAGTCATCGGACCACGAGAGCTCGAGCCACAGTAGAGACCACCAGTCCAAGATCAGCCAAGTAAAATGCTCTAGCCCGAGTCATTCCCAAGCCACTTCGGTTTCCATAGGTAACGCTGATCCCATTCTTGTTTACGGTCTTGCCAGGCCGAGTTCGATCGCAGCGGAAAAGGTGCAAACGAGCTCTTTCTTGGCTGCATCGGGCAGCATTCAACAAAGTCCAGGCGACTAGGAAAAGTATACACTTCATTTTCATGCTACTAGCTATAGCGTCTGTAGGAAATAGTAGGGAACACCGCATAAAGCAATGTTAAAACAATTGTACAGGATGAACACGGCAAAAAAAAAACAAATCGAGCAGACACACAGGAGAGCAGTGGATGGAATCTGGGAGAGAGGGAGGGATCGAGATGGAGAGCGAGAAAAAACGCGCACGATAGAGCGTGCAACGAGTCACGCGAGGAGTCGGAGGATAGGATGTCGGTCTGCTACTACTACTGTGCGGGGCGGTCTTGTTGTGGGCGAATAAACATATTGCAGGGTTGGGAAAGCTCGTGGGTACGATGTGCCGGATGCTGGGAGGAAGGATAGACGGTGATAGGTTGGTGGGTCATCACAGTTCGGCGTTTACTGGTGAGTAGATCGCAAACGGGAGTCCACTGCCGCCGTCGTAACCGATTCTCTAATTTTCCGTCGGCGCTCTGCTCGGTCACCCGACTCTCGTTCTAGTCGACGTTGCTCCTGCTCCAATCGAACCTCTTGGTAGATTCGCTCCTCTCGGATCTCATTGCGCAGTTGAGGCAAGGCTTGAGCAAGGTCCACAAGCGTCCCTTCTTCCCATCGCTCCTCCGCCCACTTACGCATGTAAACACTAGCCTAAGCAGCGCATGAGAACTGGCACATCATCCAGAGGCGGGGCTGTACAGACCTTGGCGAACTTCTTGCCAGCATACTTGTTGTAGAAGGCCTCATGTCTGACCGGTTTGAGGATGTAGTTCAGCATGAGATTGGCGGTAGGAAGCAGTGCGCTCTCCGGATAGGATGAGTAATGAGCCAGGTTCGATGTCTGACATATTGGAATGAGCATGACCTGCACAAGCACAACGAGAAGAGAAAACTAACCCAAGTCTCTTCGCCCAGTGTCAACCTCGCCAACCAGATTGCCGCGGCAGCAAGCAACGAAGGTGGAGCGGCGATCAAGCGCCATTCTAAGCAGGCGATCTCCAGCAGATACTTGCCCAGAGTGCGAGCTTGGAGATTGTAGTTATCCGCTTTGCTGACTCTCCGGAGGTAGTGAACAGGATTGGGGTAGCTGAGATTCCAATCCAGAGTTTTCAGGATGTATCGCTCCGCTTGCTTGATTTCATCTTCGGTGTAAGAAGAATCGGCACATTCGAGGAACTGTGTTACAGATGGAGCGAGGACTTCCTCAAATTTGGCCGCGATGAACATGCAGGTTACACCAACAAGCTGAAGCTTGGCCAGAGACACAACACGTGCCGAAAGGAATCGATCGATAATGTTGGTGCACAGGAATAGTGTCTCCGACAATAGCCGGAATCGGATGTGGAGTTGGATGAGCCAGTCATTGAGAACACCACGCATCTTCCAAGCGAGCTCAGTTTGGCTAGCCATGTAGTTCGGGTTAGGCATCGTTTGTAGCTGTCAATTTGTCAACTCTGAGCATAAAGGAAGACAGTAGAACGCGCTCGCACTTCAACTTGCTTGAGGTAGTTGAAGATGTCCACCACGTATTCGCTGACCATCACGGGATCGTCCGCATCGGCAGCGTCAAGGTCGTCCCATGGAGAATTCTCCGGGTCGGCTTCAGGTTCCTCGTTGGCATACTTTTCCATTTCAGCCGCAATGCGCTGCTGAATAATTTCTTCTTCAGCTTGCTCTCGAACGGCCTCCAACAGGGCGGTGTCCTCGACAGGAACATCTTCAGGTGGGTCTGAGGTCCGACGGCGCTTGTGGACACGAGTTTCGTCTTCTTCATCCTCCTCGAGTTCTTGTGCCTCCGGTTCGGCACGCGACGACTGTTTAGGTCGGCGGGATGCGGTGTTTGACTGACGAGTGGCGACAGCAGTGTTCTCCCTCGAGACGAGTGATTTACGGACGGCACCAACGGGAAGGACTGGCTGGGGAGGGAGATCGACGTGCATGGCGTTATCGTCTTGAGGAGCGTCGATTGGTTCCTCTTCCTTGGCATCATCGGCGATGTCTTCGACTTCGCCGGCGTTGTGACGAGTGCCAGCAACGGTACGCAACGGTTTGCGAGTGACTCGGACTGTGGTGGATTTGCCGGCCTTCAGCTCCTTCTTGACGACAACCTCCTTTTCTTTCCCTTTTCCAACCTGGGCCCTCAACGATCTCGCCGCAGCAGCATTCTCGCCAAGGAGCTCGCGCTTCCTCTTGCCGGCGAGAGGATCAGCTTTGGTGTCTTGGGCGCTGGGGCCCAACTTGGCCTTCGAAGCCGCAGTGGGGGCTGTCACTCGTGAGGACCCGCCATTCACGTTGGTGGCAATAGCAGCGCTTGTATTAGAAAGTGGCTTGGTGCGTGTGGTGATTCGGGAAGGGCGTGCATTGGCATTTTCGTTATCTTTGAGTGGATTCGCTCGAGTCGACCGAGCGGTGGTGCGACGCTATGCGTTGACCACGTCAGCCACGAGGAATAGGATGATGAGATGTGCGAGTTCACCTGAATGTTTGTAGACATTGCCAGTCACTGATATAGGCCTCGAGATTAAGGAAATATATGAGAAACTGTCGTAGAGGAAGAGAGGGAGGGGGTTGGTCCGTTTTGGGAACGACCGTGTATAAACAAGGCACGTGATCGCTGGAACAATAACGTCACACCATCAATCTCCAGGCAATAAGGTAGATCAAGGTGAGATAAAAGTTACTAGGTTTCAGTCTATGTTCCAGGTAAGACTATGCACATCAATAAAATTGAAACCACTTTCATGGTTCTCGAAAGCCCTAAAGCCCTTGCCCGGATACTATCCTAACTGGGCCACGCTGCCTCATGACACCTACCTCTGTCTCTGCCTCTATCTATCCCTGACAGTTCCACTACTGCCCAACCCTCCCAAATTCTCTAGATCCAACTTCGATAGGGTCATTGAACCTATCATTGGCCAAGGCGACTGCGGACTACAAGATTTATTGAGACCTCCGCGGCGCAGTACATGAGAGTTTTTCTTCATTGCCTTGAGAATTTGATAATGAAATAAAATCCTAGAGAGTCCAAATAGACTTCCTTGCAAGCCTCATTTCCATACTGGAGCGGGCTGCGGCGCACTCAAATTTGAACTCACAACAGCTCCATCACTATATCATGATGAACGTGTCAAACGCGCTGTGACATCATTGTGACACACGCGTTTTGCTCCAGTCAATTAAGTCCCACATGGCCCGTTCTAATGCTCGCTCTCAGAAGGCGCCGCGAGCCCCTCGAGCTGAACATAGGCAATCCCAGCGCTCTCATAGACCACGCGATCCTGTGCATGAGGATGACCAAGATGACGGTGAAGACGTCGATATGGACGAAGATCAGGATGGCGATGGGGAGGAGGGCGATGGCGACCAGGTACAATCTATCTATCGCGCGTTCTCTGTTATCATTCCGACGTTAAAACTCTCTCGAAGGCTTTGAAACGCGCGACACATGCACTTGTCCGCCTGGCTCTGTTCAACGAGCACAAGCGCCTACCACTTCGGCGCGACGAAATCTCGAAAAAAGGCTGGTGATTCCTCATGTTATTACAACGAATGCTAAATTTTGGGACTTGCCCTACAGCTCTGGGGTCCCGAACGCGATCGTTCGCTCTTGTTCTCGATAATGCTCAGAAGATTCTCCGAGATACTTTTGGGATGGAACTTGTGGAATTGGTTTCGCGGGCGGAGGGTGATAAAGACGAAGGTCTTGATGAAGCCCGAACAGTCACTGGAACAAAGAAGAAAGGCAGGCGTCCACATTGGACTATCTAACGGGATCTCAGCGACTGTTTTGCAGCTGCTGCCACGGGCACCAAAACCTTCATCGTACGCTCTGTCCTGAACCAAAGGCTTCTCGACCAGGCTTCTATCGTTCATGAAGATATTCTAGAGGAGGAAGCAGTGGATGGGCCCTCTGACGACGAGGAGGACGACTCAGGAAGCCGCTCGGGAACCATCATCTCTTGGGCCCAGGCAGACCAAGTTGGTCCTCTGGGGATTCTTTATACCATACTTTCACTAGTCCTTGTGAACGGGCGCGTCGTGGGTGATCGTAAGTACAGCTTTTTTCGCGCTGGAGATACTGATTGTTCGCACAGAGGATCTACGTACCCAGTTGCGCCGACTCGGACTGACCGCCGGCGGGAAGATCCGATTCTCCGCCCTCTCGACTCATCGGGAGATGACTCTCGATGAATACCTGACTCTCATCGTACGACAGGGCTATCTGGAGCGCATTCAGGTCGGCGAAACAGGGAAGAAGAGCAAAGGCAAGCGAGGACGGGTAACTCAGGATGAAGAATCCGGCCAGGCTTATGAGTGGCGCTGGGGTCCTCGTGCCCATGGTGAAGTCGGAGAGAAAGCGATCGCAGCATTTGTCGCTCGAGTCATGGTCCAGGGGCCTGCCAGTGCAGAGGACGAAGACGAAGACGGACCGAGTCCCCAGCAGGCAAACAAGTTGGAGAAGATGGTGAAGGGAGTCGAGCGTGCGGCCGGTGGCAATTTGGCCGACGTTTCATAGTCAGCGGGAATACAGCGATGAGATGATTGTTAGCATAACATTATGCCATAGTACAGTTGTGCTGATATACATATGTTACATGTGACAATACCCATTTGGAAATTCTGCGTTCCGCGTAGTTCACTCTTTGGCTTGAAGGCGACATGCAGTTTTGTGTTTTCTGTGAGCGGGTCAGAGATTTCAATCGCTGGCTGGTCTATCTGACACGCACGCCTTCCAGTCTAGTTTTTGACATTCAGCCCCGCAGTCTACAAATGTTTGAATAAATAACGGTTTCGAAAATATGGCACTACTCACAGGTCACTTGTTTGCACCCTCCGCATCGTTTGTATCCGACCCCTCGTTTGCCGCACCCTTCTCTTCCACAGGGATCGGTTGAAACAGTGAACGTGTTCTGGGGCTCAAGGGTACCGTCTTCGGCGACGCGCGAGTTCCTCAATTCGAGGACCTCTTTCCGCCCGCTGTGCTCACCTGCCAGCAGCGCATCTCTGCTGACAAGGATGGCAAGGTTGTCTTTCATCTGCTTGACGTTGAACGCGACCGCACAATCGAGATTGGTCTCGGGCGTGCTTTCCCCGGTAAAAGTCGGATAGGCGGCAGCAGCGTCGAGGGATTCTTTATAGCGTTTTGCGGCGGTCGGGCGGTCGCCCTTTTCCCATGCCATGAGGCCCAGCGTCAGGCCTGCGATGATCTGCATAGCCTTCAGCAATTTCAACTTGGCCGGGGAGCCTTTGAAGTTGGGGTGTGAGGACAGTGTGGAAGTCGGACGATATGCATAGATCAGTTCATAGGCTTCCGGGTAATTTTCTGGAAAGGCACAAGAAGAAGTTGTTGGCTAACTTGTTTCCATACGTATATACCTTGCGTGAACCCTTCGTGCGCGGAGCGGTTGAAGAAGGAAACCATGTTCTGCCAGATAAAGACGAGCAGCTCGGAGGCATGCGTCGGAGGGAGCTGATTCCCCACTTGCTGATGGATGTTCTCGTTCGCTACGATTTGGATGACCGCTCTTCTGTAGCAGTCGATGGTTTCGCGGATCCGGCCGGCAGCGAAGTGATCATAAGCCTCATTGTAGAGCATGATACCAGATTGGCGAGCCATGGCGATGGACGATGTAGAAATGAACTGTGGATTCGAATAAGTAAGACTGATTTATGTAGACATGGTAGTAACCCACGAACGCTGTCGGCAGATGCCGCAGACACGCTTCGTCACAATAAGTCACACAAGACTTCGTTTTCACACAAATCCATGTTTCTATGACTGCTTGGGCTTCTTCACGATGCAAGAAGCTCTTGCCGCGGATACTGGGACAGAATAGACGGAATAATTCGTCGTGCGCCGATATACACGCGTTCTCTGACTCTCTCCTGCTCCCGAAGACCAACTTCGCGCTGAGACCGAATGTCTCTGAAATCGAGTCGCGCGTCAGAGACAGGACCTGTTCAGACCTTTACAAATGGCAGGTTCGTGTGCGAATAGAGGATTCCAGGCATCCGCTCAATCTGCGTTAGGTGGACCAAAAGCAGAGGCCAGAGTTCGTGCTGCATGATGGACCTCCATATGCGAATGGGGAATTACATATGGGCAAGTGCTTGTACGCATCGGACTGAGAAATTCTCTTGCTCAGACTCATTACAGGACATGCATTGAATAAGATAACTAAGGATATCATCAATCGTTTCCAACTATTGCGAGGCTCTCGCATCAGGTGTGTACTTCCTACGCCTCTGCCTGTATTTCTCTCTTCATACATGCAGGTACATTCCAGGATGGGACTGTCACGGACTTCCCATTGAGAATAAGGCTCTGATAGAACTCGGAGTGCGTTCATCCGTCTGCCGGCCATTTCAGCTCTGATGTGTGTCAAGGCAGATTCGACCTCCCTCTCAACACTTGCGATCCGGAAGGCAGCACGCAAAACAGCACTGCGAGAGATTGAAGTCCAAAAGACTCAGTTCCAGAGACTAGGAATAATGGCGGATTGGGGTGACGAAAATACCTATCGGACGATCGGTACGCGTCCAGCTCTCATCCCTCCACTGCATTGACAGCTCGAAGACCATTCTTATCAGATGCGGCAACTACGCATCTTTCAAAGCATGGTCGAAAACGAGTTGATCTATCGTCGATACCGTCCTGTCTACTTCTCTCCGTCGTCCAGATCAGCGTTGGCTGAGGCCGAACTTGTCTATAAGGACGACCATGTCTCTCATTCCGTATACGTGACCTTCAGGATTGATTCTCAGAGTTGTGCCAGACTCGCTGTGGACAGTGCTGAATTGTTGGTTTGGACGACAACTCCATGGACGCTGACGGCAAATATGGTTGGCCTTCCATCTTTTCTAGGCTCATGAACCGTTGAACGGGTTTCTTTATCAGGGCATCGCCGTCAACCCGGAATTGGCCTACGCTGTGGTCAAGCGCATGGACGAGGGCCCCCTCCTGGTCATTGCTAAGGATCGTTTGGACGCCCTTTCGAATGTCGTGGGTCAAGTCGAGATTGTCAAAGAAATTCAGGGCATGCAGTTTCCCTCTAAAACTCCATATATGACTGAGTTTTCGCTAGGATCGGAATTGGCCGGGATATCCTACATGCCTATATTCTCGCCGGATCTACCAGCGCTCCAAATTATCCCCGCCTCGCATGTCACAGCAAGCTCAGGGACTGGCTTGGTCCATTGCGCTCCTGCTCACGGTGCCGAGGACTACCATTCATTCCGAGAACTTGGGCTGTTGCGCGGTGAATCAGATATCGTCTGTCATGTGGGCAGCGCTGGAGAATTCACCGCGCAAGTGAAAGAAGTTGTCGGTGCCGCCGGAGATGCGCTGATTGGTGAACCCGTTCTCGACGGTGGGTCACGGAAGGTCGTCGAGCTATTGAGAGAAGCCGGTGCGCTCCTCAAGATACAGCGGTATAAGCATCGTTATCCCTACGATTGGAGGACGGGTATGCCAGTTATCACGACATCAACCTCGCAATGGTTTGCAAATCTGGATGCCATCAAGGAGGACTCGTTGCGAGCTTTGCAAGACGTTGAATTTGTACCCGAAATCTGTGCGTCCTCACGCAGCCTAGCATGCGCACTCATTCACATCTCGTCGAGCTCGTTCCCGTTTGATGGCTTTCATCAACCTCCGTTCTGAATGGTGCATATCTCGGCAACGTGTCTGGGGTGTGCCGATTCCTGCTCTACACCATATGTCGACCGACAAGGCCGTTCTCGACTCGGCGACGTTGGATCACATCCTATCCGTGCTGGATAAAAAGGGCATTGAATACTGGTGGGAGGGTCCTGTTGATGAGTTTGTTCCTCCAGCTTTGCAGGAAGACGGTGTGCCAGCCGCTCAGGTGTGGCGCAAGGGCACCGACACGATGGACGTCTGGTTTGACAGCGGTGCTGCCTGGTCTATGCTGCCTGTGCGGAAGGAAGGGTCGATTCCTCGGGCGGACGTGTGCTTGGAAGGCTCGGACCAACACCGGGGCTGGTTCCAGAGTCAACTTCTGACAGCCATAGCCTCGGCTCCATCGGAGGATAAGCGTGTCAGCCCATACAGAACGCTCATCACGCACGGCATGGTTCTGGATCAGCATGGCAGGAAGATGAGCAAGTCCCTTGGCAACGTCATGAGCCCTATGGCTGTCGTCAAAGGCGGTGTCAATTTGAAGAAGGAGCCCGCGTATGGTGCGGACGTCCTGCGGTTCTGGGTCGGAACTGTGGATTACCGTAACGATGTTGCTCTGGGTCCCACTGTCCTTGCGCAAGCCGCAGAGGCAGTGCGTAAGATCCGCAACTCGGCCCGCTTCATTTTGGGCAACATCGGGAGTCTTGAAGACAGAGCTGGAATGGACCGGGTTCGGAGGGAAGACCTTCCGTTAGTAAGTCTCCCAAGTTTTCTCTGCCGCAGGTATTTATAGTGTGCAGATGGAGCGTTATGTCATGCACAAGCTGTATCTCATGGAGCAAACAGCTGTCGAGGGCTATTCAGAGTACAATTTTGCGAAAGGTAAGTCCACATTGATTAGGCTCGTTCTTCCCGTCAACCGATTTTGTAGTGGTGGCTACACTTACCGACTTTGCTAACGTCACTCTCTCATCCCTCTACTTCGACATCTCTAAAGACGGCCTGTACGCGAACGCCCTGAACAGCTTCGAGCGCTGTGCGACTGTCACGGTCCTGGAACAGGTCGAGTCTGAGTTTGTGTGCTTTCTGGCCTTTCTCTGACATCAACCAGGTCCTGTCGACGATGACTTACATCATGGCTCCTATCGTTCCCCATCTCGCCGAGGAGATCCATGAAGAGTTGACGGCAAACACGACGTCTGTATTCAAGACCTGCTGGAGATCCCTCGTCAGTTGACCGGCCTCATTCTCTGTGTTGGACTCACTCATTCCGTCAGACTCCAGACTGGTTAGACCCTGTGGCCGGCTCGGAGGTGGCCCAACTCTTGAAATTAAGAAGTGATGTTCTTGCTGCTCTCGAAAAGGCGCGAGGAGACAAGTCAGTTTATGCCTAACATTGGAATAGCCCGCTTATATTTCCATTGTCTAGGAATATCAAGAGCTCCCTCGAGGCTGAAGTAGAGATCCTGATTCCTGAAGACGCTCAACCTGCGGCTTTTCTAGAACTGCTGCGTCGGGAGGAGCCTTTCTTGAAGACACTTTTCATCACTTCGGATGCAAGCTTGGTCGATGAAGGATCTCTGGGTACTAGCACCCCAGACTGGGTTTATCTCTCTGCTTTCAACATTCCCGGTGCGTCCTCTGCTCAAGCCATGTGCAATTCTGAACATCATTCCAGGTTCGGATGAACAATTGACGATCCGTGTCCGGCCTGCACAGCTTGAGAAGTGCTCCCGATGCTGGACATTCACTCGACCCGCCGGCGATGTGCTGTGTCCGAGATGTTTATCTGTCGTAAAAGTAGACGTCTAAATTTAGATAATTTGTCGGATTGATCTCCATCCCCTCTCCAACTATTCTACCATGGCCGCACACACCCAGGACCTCGAGTGGAGGGCCCAAATAAGAGAGGAGTTCCACGCAGAGACTATGCATAACGTGCAACCTCCGAGGGACATCTTACCCCGCCTTAGCCCCGAAATCCGACAGTTCATCGAAGCGGCAGGGGAGGTATGATGATGTAATTGTGCTTCAACCTCAGGAAAACGCTCATCACCAGCGCAGACCGAAGAGGACCTCGTGCAGCGGCCGGTGGTGAAGCCACCGCCCGTCGACGGCTCGTTCCCCCTCACTCACTACTTCATCTCGTATGTGTTGGTGGTTCTCGCATCTCAGAGCCCTCCGCTCAACGCCACAGCTCGTCGCACAACACCTATCTGCTGTCTCGCCAACTCATCGGGCGTGCGTCTGCCTCGTGCTACGACCATGTGCTGTCCCGCAACGCGCGCTGCGTCGAGATCGACGTGTGGCCGTCGAAGAAGGGCCTCATCGTCACGCACGGATACACGTTCAGCAAGTCCGTGACGTTCGAGAGCGTGTGCATCGCGATCGGCGAATCGATCGCGGAGGACGACTGGCCTGTGATGGTCAGCCTGGAGTGCCATGTCGATCCCAAGGGCCAGGAGGAGCTCGTGCACACGATGAGGAAGACGTGGGGGCGCAAACTCGTTGATAGGAAGCTCGAGCATGTTGAGGACTCGGCGGCGGCGCCCAAGGATTTCATGGGACGCATCCTACTTATGGTGGGCTGGTCGTGTTCTGGTGCTGCTAGCGCCCAGGCTGATGATTCTCTCGCGTTTTCAGGTAGAATACTACGCCGCTCCGATGCAAGGCACCGGTGCCACTGCCCAAGAGGAGGCTGATTCGGGCCCCAATTCTGAGGCCGATGAAGCAGTAGAAGAAGACGGGGAGATGATCATCAAGATAGGCAAAGTCGAGAAAGAGAAGATTTCTGCTGAACTGGCGGGACTCGGGTTCTATGCTCGCAGCATGAAGCCCTCCACGGGCTGGCTCACAGAGTGTATGCCATCCGCCTTCATGCCGCCAGTCCGCTAATGCGTCGGCCCAGTCATCGAAGACCCCCTCCACGTCCTGATCAACATATCCGAGTCGACGTGCGGGAAGCTGATTCCGCACTCTGCCGCCGAACTCGTCGAGCACAGTCTAGTGCACATGCGCAGGATTTTCCCCAAGGGCACGCGGATCGCGTCGGGCAATATGGACCCTCTCAAGTTCTGGCGCACAGGCGCCAACATCGCCTCTCTGAACTGGCAGACTTACGACAGCGGGATGCAGCTCAACGAAGCCATGTTCGTTGGAACTCCCGGCTGGGTCGTCAAGCCCTCTCGCCTGAGGGGTTTCGAAACGGTCGATGGCGGCCGCTACAGGCTGTCTGCGGAGATTGTTGGGATCAGCTCTCGTGGGTGCTCAATGCTGCCATGGTAAACCGTGCGCTCAAACCCCGTCAGTGCCCCCTCCGAACAAACGCCAGGACAAGTCCTACTCCGCCTATGTGTACGCCGAACTGCTCCACTCGCAGCAAGACCAGAAATGGCAAAGCAAGACCGTCAAGACCGAGGATGTCCCTGGCTCCGGGGCGGATATCATGTGGAACGAGCGGTTCGAGATGGAATACGACGCCGATGAATTGGCTTTCCTGCGGTCCGTTTGTTTCGTCCGATCTCGTCGCGCTTCTTCTCATGCTCGTGCGATCCAGCCTCACTGTATTCCAAAGTGAGTTTGGGCGCGACGACAAGATTGTTGTTTTCTGTGCGCGGTTGGACCAATTGCAACAGGTAATGGTTATTCTTACTTTGATTATTCAACACAGGCTCATTGACGGCTCAGGGATTGCGTCTCGTGCGTATGTTCGATTCGAAGGGCAAAAACTCGGGTGCCACGCTACTCGTCAACTTTTCAATTTCCCGGGCGGAGTAGATACGGACCGCTTGAGGAAGCAGGATATCTGCATCTATCTTATCATGTAAACTGAATCGAATTCAAGTACTTATCACACCGTCCTTGACTGACTCCAACCTTGTCGGATAGGAGACCATAATTCGACGGTCCGATGCCGGTCCGGGTCAATAATCGGAAGCCCGGTCCGATCAACTTCCTTTCCAGGCCGGTATCCTGATCCCTGAAAAACATGACTCATGATGTTCCCAGTTCTGCAAGTGACCTGCAGCTACCCAGCTCACGTTCTTTTCTGCTTCTCCGCATGAGTGCTGCTGCTGCTCCCTGCAGAGAACACGGAAGCCGCCAACGTACATTACGCATGAGGCATGCCTTACTTTTGTTCGTAAGATGCGAGCCTCTTTCGCCAATCTGGGCTGAGAATCTCTTTGTGTGAAACGCGCATGGCCGGCCGCGGATAGCCGAGGGACTAGATCCGAAAACCCTCAAAACAATCTGTGTTTTTTGGCAGAGCTTCTTCTGTTGTAGAGTATTCTCCCCCTCTCCTCTCCTCCTCTCCTCCTCTCCCTTCCTCCTCCCCGCACCGCACCGCACGCACACCATGGTCGCTGCAGGGCGACTGATCTGGATCTCCCTCCGGCCGCTGCTCAGGCTGTGAATCCTATTCCTGGCTTATACCCGATGCTGGAGCACTAACTGGGGCTCATCCTCGTCCCCTCCCTGCGCTAGGATCATCACCGTCAGCTGCGGCTTCGCCATCACGAAAGCGGACATCTTCCCGGCCGTGGCCGCTCGCGGAGTCGGGCAAATCCTGCTGGTGCGTTTTTGCGGGTTGTGGCAGCCCTGGGCTGGGATGGGATAGGACGGCGTTGGCTGAAGTCGCACGGCAGAACATCACACTCCCGAGCCTCATGTTCTCCAAGATCGTTCCCGCGTTCACTTCGAGTAACATCAACGCTCTGGGTGTGTGTCTCGAACCGCCGACGGGGCTCCGTATTGACATCTAATCTCCGGCATTCAGGTCCCCTGGTCCTGGTCGCCGTGATCTACGAGTCGATGGGGATGGTCATGGCCTGGATCATCCGGTACTTTTTCTGGGTGCCCCATCGCTTCCGGTGGGGCATCCTCGTCGCAGGCGGCTGGGGGAACTACGGAGACATCCGTGCGTAGCCCTCCTCGCTGCTCGGTTTTACGGGATGCGCCAACCTGGATTTCGCAGCCACGGCGGTCGTTATGAGCATCACGGGCGCCGCCCCGTTCAAAGGCGCGGGCGATCAGACGCTCAGCGTTGCGTACATCTCCGGGTTCATTTTGGTCTACATGGTACGTCCGGCTCTTCTGCGCGCGAGGGGATGGTCACGCTGAATGAGGACGGCAGATCACCTTTTTCCCCATGGGCGGGAGCAGTATGGTTGGGCTCGACTACATCGGGCCCGACGTCGAAGACGACGAGATCCGGGAGCAAGTGCGGCTGCGACGCCGAGCTATTTTCTCTGGCGTCGTGCATTGTCTGCCCAGATCTCTGCGTCGCCGGCGTACAATTCACGAATTTGACGACTTAGTAGAGGAGAAGAAGCCCTCGGTCGAAGATGGGATCGCGCCTCATGACACCCCGATGACCTTGTCGAAGCACGTTTCGTTCGAGAGCGAGCAGCCCCGCGCCCACTCGGAGCACAACATGATGGCCCTGGCCTCGACCATGGCTTCCCCGGCGCCCACTGTCACGGCAGTCGACACGGATGTCCTGCCAACCATCCACGAGCGACAAGACGCCCCGAAAGGACGGCCCAGCCCTCCTTCGTTCTACGCCAAGCACAAACCGCATCTGCGGCAGTTCATCAAGAATCTGCTGATGCCAGGCTCGGCTGCGATTATCATTTCGTTCATCATCGCACTGGTGCCCGACCTCAAAGCGCTGTTCGTGCCCAACGTCCCGGGGACCCACATCCCCAACGCACCCGACGACCAGCCGCCGCTGGCGTTCATCCTCGATGCCGCCACCTTCATCGGCGCGGCGTCCGTCCCGATCGGCCTGGTGAGCCTCGGGGCCGCCTTGGCGCGGCTGCGGATCCCGGCGGGGGCGTGGAAGACGCTCCCGAGCGGCGCGATCCTCGCGCTCGCGTTCTGCAAGATGCTGCTGTCGCCGGTGCTGGGCGTGCTCATCTGCAACGGACTGACGCGCGTCGGCGTCATCTCGGCCAGCGACAAGGTGCTGCAGTTTGTGTGCATGTGCGTGGTGGCGTTCCTGATCGGTCCAGTGTGTAATGGTCTGCTGACGACACTCTCTGTCTCTCTCTGTGTATTCCAGATTTTTCTCCTGTCTGCCCACGGCTACGACGCAAGTATTTGTCACGCAGGTGGCCAGCGGCACGGGCAGTGCGGAGCCCCTTTCTGCGTTCCTCATCCCGCAATATGCTCTCATGCTCCCTGCTATGACAGGCCTGATTGCGTATACGCTGCAGGCCTTGTTCTGATTTTATAGACTGTTCAACGCGATTAGATGGAGTGTATTCATAATAGTACAATTCAACGCGTTTATGACACAGTCACTGGAGCATTTTTGCGGCCAGTCTCTCCAATCCGACCCCCAACGCCCCAAGGCCTATGACGGCCCACAACCAGGTGTTCCTCCACTCGCCTATCCTCGGCCAGAAGCTGTTCTTCTCGGCCTTGTACTTCTGCAGCTGTCTGTATCTGACCGGGTTCTCCGTCGCGTATTTTTCCGCGTATGCCTCGCTCTGGCGGTCCCCACCCACGAGCCGGAGGAACGCGTAGTTGGCCAGCGGACCCAGCACCGCGAGCGGGCTCAGCAGCCGCGCGCTGTACAGCAGGACGGGGAACGACAAGTGGCACAGCGCATCGCCGAGATAGTTCGGGTGCCGGACGATGCTCCACACGCCCCCGCGACACAGCTGCGACCTCCCGTATCCGGGTTGCTGGTCCTGGTGCGCCGCGAGCTGCGCGTCCGCCAGCGTCTCGAGCGCGAAACCCGCGGAGAACAGGAACACCGCGAGCGCGCGGAAATACCCCACGCTGCCGGCCGGCGCGCCGAGCACCACCGCCGCCTGCGGGCCGCGGAACGGCAGCACGAGCGGGAGCGAGACGAGCGTCTGCGCGAGCGCCTCGGGCAGGAACAGCGTGAACAGCGCGGCGTTCCAGAACCCGGGTGCCTTGCGCGGCCCCGGGCCGTCGACGTAGCGGGGGTCGTCCGCCCCGCGCGCGATGCTGCGCGACACGACGTGGTACGCGAGCCGCGCGCCCCACGCGCTGGCGCCGACCAGCAGCAGGCGCAGCGGGTAGCTGAGCGCGGCCCAGGCGGCGGAGACGGACACGCCCTGCAGCACGACGCGGCGCCCGAGCGCGCTCCACCAGGCGTTGGCGACCTGGCCCGTCATCCACACCCAATCCTTGGCGTCCGCGCGATCCGTGTAGCGTGCGACGCTGTATGCGAGGGTGTTGAGGCCCGCGTGGAATGCGAAGGACGGCAGGACCGCGTGTCGGATCAGGCCGAGCGTCGTGGCTGGGCCGCCGGCGTAGAAGTGGTCGGTGGTAGGGTGGATGTTTTGTGCATGGACACCTGGGCCCGACATAGTGGCATGCTCGAGAAATGCAATGCAAGGTGATCATATGTTATATGGTGGGCACGGAATGACGTCTGCGAGTGTCTTCATGTCGGCGTCATGCTCGCACAGTGCAAGTGCCTCGAAATCACGTCATCCCGAAATGGAAACTGATATGCCTCTTAAGGAAGGTGAATGGACGATCATTTCTAATTCTAGCCACAAGAGCTCTATCTAGACTGTTCGACGTTTACCGCCTGTAGACATCGAGGAAAGGGCGACCATTGGGGTCGAGAGGAGCCCGTCCGTAGGGAGGCTGTCAAGAACATATCTCGTCAGCGAAAGCAGGAGAGGGACGAATCTGGTACGAACGTTAGCCTCGGGCTGGTTCTGGAGAATCTCCTCGATCTCATCCAGGTGCTTCTCAGTCAGCTTCGGGAGAAGCTTGAGCGCCTCCAAGTTCTGCATGAGTTGGGGAACGGAGGTGACTCCGAGGATGATGGTGGACGTGTTTGGGTTCTTGGCAAGCCAGGCGAGGGCGAGAGCAGTCGGCGTCGAGTCCAAGCCTGTGACACGATAAAAATCAGTATCAAGAGCAAGGAAAGGAAACCAAATGGATTCACTTTCGGCGATCTTGGTGAGCTGCTTGACCTTCTCAATCTGTGCAAGACCCTCGTTCTTTTGGAGATTGTCCACCCGGTTCTGGAACATGGACTCGCGAGCGAATCGCGAATCAGGAGGGATGCCGTTGTTGTACTTTGAGAAAAGGTTTGGACCAAGATCGAAGGAGATAGACGCAGAATACGCACTTTGCCAGTGAGCAGACCAGATGCGAGAGGCGACCAGATGGTGGTGCCGTACTGGTACTTGCGGTAGAGGCCACTGAATCGCATTACAGACTTGTAAGGAAAAAAGTCGGGGAACAACCCACGCGAATTCCTTCTCCGGGCGCTCACGGTGGAACATACTAGCAACGTTAAGGAACATCAATAAACTCAAGATGGAGTCAACCTACTTGTGCTGCAGTTGTTCGGCAATGGGCGCGATGAGATTCAGCTTCGAAGCCACATCTGAAAACCAGCTCAGGATCAGGACACTCTCGAATCGAATCATGCGCACGGTAAGCTTCCTCGATCTCGCCAGCACTCCATTCGGAGGTACCCCAGTAGAACGCCCACCCCTTTTCGATGACGTAGTTGAACGCGCGCACGGTCTCCTCCATCGGAACTGAGCACAAGATCCACTTCAATACGGGCTACACGCGTGAGGCGGTCCTGGGGTACACACCAGTGCGGTCGGGACGGTGGGCGAAGACGATGTCGACGTAGTCCATCTGCAGCCGCGCGAGCGACTCCTGCATGCCCTCGATGATGCTGCCGAGCCGTCAGTCGCGGGGAGCCCGAGAAAAGACGGAGGGGCGCGCGTACTGCTTGCGGGAAAGCCCGTTGTCGTTCGGGCCGCCGCGCGCTCCCCAGTAGAGCTTAGTGGAGATGATGAGATCAGACCGCTTGTACCCGAGCTCCTTGAACACGCGTCCCCTGCCGAGTGATGATGATGATTCAGATTCGCGCGAGCCCAGAAACAAGAAACCCAAAGCCCGGAGGGGAGGGGGGGAGACGCACATTTCCAGCTCGGATTTGCCCCTGGCGTAGACCTCGGCGGTGTCGAACATATTGATGCCATTCTCAAACGCCGTCTGGATGATCTCCTGCCAAAGCGCGCCATGGGAAGTAAGCAACACAACACGTCAAGCCATACATAGCCCAGCCCAGCCAGTGCGGAAGGGCCGCCGTACCTTGACCGGATCTCCCGTCACGGAACCCCCGATGGTGAGCCCTGGCGTGCGGAGGAGATGAGGAGAAATGCTAGCGGATCAGAGTTGGCAGTGGGTGGGTGACGCACATCCGCCGAGCGAGAGAAGGGGGACACGGAGGCCACTGGGGCCGAGCTTGCGGAAGGGCATGCCCTTGGTTTCGAACGGGGGGTACTCTGTCTGGGCCATGGTTGAGAGTCGGTGCGAGAATCGAAGTGGGTTGGGCAGGCACGATCGCCGCCTTATGACGTTCGAAAGCATAGTAGTTTAGTCAGCGGCAGCTTTCATTTCCTTTATCGATGAACTCATGCCGCGGCAAAAAGCGGCTTGCCATTTCTAAGCTGTCCGATTGCTATTTCCGATTTCATGACAGAGGATTTCCGTATGCGGTATTTTACTTCAGAGAGCAAGAACAGGATCGCGCACACTTGCAGGGAGGGTGAACAATTTATCAGCCAATTTCTTGGACAGACTCTGCCGGTCATGACGCTGAACAATCTGAGTGAGCGCATCCGCCATCGTCTCGGAATTCTGCTGCAGATCATCGAGGCCAGAAATGATCTTCCGATGGTGGCTGGCATATTGTTCTTCCAGGTCAACGAGGGTATTGAAGTGTTTTTCGCTACGCAGACGAGGTGATTTGACATGCAGAAGGCAATCAAGAGGTTTGTCCACACCTTTCAGCACACATGTGTTGCAGGTTCTCCGCCGCCGTGCCCAAAATATTGTCCCGTCCGAGCCGAACATCGCGGCGCACTCCTTCGAAACGAGCAGCAATCTTCTCAACCATGACTGCTTGCATCTCGTGCAGGATCTGCCCGCAATCCAGACTCGGTTGAACATAAGCAGCAGGGGCTTCTCTCACCTCGAGGATGCCTTGCATAGGATCTTGAGTGCGTCTCGACAATCCGAGTCGCTCCTTGGACGACCGGACCGCCGCCGGGGCAGACTCTACTTGAAGCGGGAATCGTTCTGAATCATGCGATCAGCTTGATTTCTCCTTCTGAACAGAACTCACCAAAACTGGTTTCCAGCTTCCGCCGCTGTCCGAGATCAAACGCACGCGGCTTGAGAGGCGACGGAGAAACAACCGAGGGAGTTCTCGACTTGGACTTGAGCAGCAATGAGTCATCACTAACGGAAGGCTCCCGGGGCGGAGGAATTTGACGCGGCAGAACAGGGAGATGCTCGAGCTTTCGGACTTTCGACGGACTGGCAGGTTTTGCGGTTGAGCGAGAGACAAGCGATTGCTCGTTTGGGACAGTGGCAAGTGAAATGGATTTGAGTTCACGAGGTGCGGTTGAGGAAGCAGGAGCATCAAGGGTTGGTTGCCGAGCGTTCTTGAATTCAGAGATAGCAGGAATGACAGCAGGATCGTTGACAGAAGCAGTAACTCGAGGCACTCCGGGCAAATTGAGTGTTGTTTCGCCTTCAAAATCACAAGTCTTGACGCTTGAAGATGTTGCAGTAGTCTTGAGCGGATCTTCGAGCATGACAATGTCCTCATCGGTGGCAGTCAGGCCCTGCATAAAACAAATTAAGGAAGTCTAGAGGAAGAGTTACGCAACTGTTATCGCGCACCTTGATCGGGACCTCGTAATCATAATCTCCTACCACTGGATCTGTGGTTACGCCGACTATAACAACATCGCTATTCATCCCTTCTGCAACAGCATCTGTGCTCTGCATATCGTCACTACTGTCGCGGAGATACATGTCCTCCCAGGGCGCCTTTCGGGGCTTATCGTGCTTCGCCTTAGGTTTGGGCTTCGGTCGGGCATCCTGAGTAATCTAAGCAAGGACGCGGCTTCGAGATCAAGAGACCTCACGCTGCGTGGCTTCACAGGTTGGATCGACATGTCGGCTGTCTCTACCTTCACATCGGCATCGTTCTGGAATGCTTGATTCTTGACGCGAGCGTGAAGAGTAGAACGCACCTTGATATGTTCCGCTTTCACTTTGGCCTTCTTCATGGCTTTAACCTTGGGCCCGCCCTTGCCTTTCGTTGCGCCGATGCGTTTCTTCGGCTCTTGCTTGACAGCGACAGGGGCAGCGGGCACAGGCACGTCGGGCAGTTCGTCGAAGTCGACAGCCACGCCTTCAGGGACAGGCGAAGACGTGCGTCCTTTCTTACCTCCATACCGCTTCATGGCCGGAGCAGGGACCCCAACGCCGAAAATTGCAGCAGAGCCGCTGTGTGTGATATCCGAGTCTCCGCCCTTCGCACGTTTCATAGATCGACTTTGCTCGTTGCTGTCTTCCGCAGCACGTTTGATCCCGTGTTTCGCTTCGACGACCTGGTTGTTCTTGCCTTTCATTTTGTTTTTGGTCGAATCCACGTTCATAACTTTGTTTGCCGCAGGAAGATTCGTGCTCTTCTTCTTCTTACCTGCTTCGCGTCAATGGCTTCGCGTCAAGTTCATCCCGTGAGTACCCACCAGCAATAGACTTCTCTTCCTTTTCTGTCTCGTCCTCATCGGCCGACAACGTCAAGTGATCGTTCTTCTTGGTACCAGCAGCAACGGGAGGTCTCTTGGCCGCCCCTCGAGTGACTCGAACAGGAGGGGGAGGTAGATCCGGTGACGGTTGTGTCGGCACGAAGTCTTCGTCCTGTGCAACGCCCAGCTCGAGACTGGAACTCGGCTGGCTAAAGTTCTTGATCTCGTCCTCGTCCTCCACATCGTCGGAAAAGGCCACAGCTTTCTTTCCTGAAATTGCTCTGCTTTGCGACTTGCGAGTGGCTTCGATATCGACTGCCATGAGCTCCTCATCGCCATCGTCCGAGTCCAGCGCGGGACGTGCAGTTTTCTCTTTCCGAATTTGTGACACCGGCTTTGACTTAGGTCGAGCGTCTGTAAGGGACACGGCCTTGGACTTCATCTTCCTCTCCATGTCTGACTCGATTTCCGACAAGTCTTGACCAGATATGGCTTCATGATGAGTGTCCAATGCTGGTTCCTTCGTAGATCGCCCCAGCAGTGGAGATGTCGGCTCGCCATGACTGGAATCCATTTCGCCCTGCTCCCATACTGCGATTTGCTCAGCGAGAGAATTGAGGATGGCTACGAACACAAACATTTTTCAACCTGCGCAACTTTTTCTTGCTTGAGATCAATCAGCCAGGGATCCTAGCGATGGGCCAATGATGACGGACCTGTGTCGCGGGCTTATGTATACTTGACGGGGTGACAAACTCCAAGCTCAGGCCCTCAGATAGGACGGAGATCTTGCGTCCGGCATTAGCTGAACTGCCGTCTTTGACTAGTTTGCCCTGATTCACGACATTCAGAGAAACTTGGAGGGTCCACCACAAAGGACTCACGATCCCCCTCGCTCGCAGCGCATCCAGAAACCTTTCCTTATCGAAGCTCTTGAGCCGGAAATCGATCTTGCAGTTCTTTTTCTCCTCTTGACCTTTTCCAGAGCCAATCAGCGGCGGCGAGTTCAGGTGTACTGTCACGGGGAGGTATTCGTCCGGGTCATCAACGCCCAAGGCTATGTCGACGATACTCGAAAAGGGGACTTGGTACACATCAAGCATCCCGTCGTCCTGCACTCATCAGGAGCGGAAAGCAGAGCCGCTGTTAGCGACATACCGATTCTGTCTCCATGAACAGCCGCTTGTTGTCGATGTAGAGTGGATCGACTATGTTGGGCGCCACTGTCGTCGTGTGGAACTGCTTGATATAGAAGGGTTGCGGACTGCAGTCGATCAGCGCCATCTCCCCACGACGAATGATGGGTTGGGAACGCACAAAGAGATGTGGGTTTTCGCAAAGCACTGCGTCAGAATCTGCGTCGAAACAGGGTCCCATTCTGTTCCAGATGCAGCGATGAGGCTCTTGATACGGGCGTGGCATGGAAACAGAGCTGGAGTGAAGATGGCATTGACGAATTCGACACGTTTTGAGGAGGCAGATCGTGCAGGTAGGAGAACACCAATGAGTCGCAGCAGAGAATCGAGCTCGAAGTACTCTGGAAGTTGATGGTGAGTGGAGCCTGTATAGACGAGGGTAGGAGGTAACAGTACCTCGACTTTGAGACAGAGATATACCGATTCGTTTGCTGCCAGACATTGTCAACTGAATCTATAGCCATTGGAGACTCGGAGAAAGATTATTCACGTGCCAAGAATCCCTTCGCTCCGCAAGTTGCTCTGATTCTCTGCGTGATCAAGGGCGGTGGCTAGCAAGAATTCGTTGACCTAGGACTTCACCGTCAGGAATGCAACGCATATATGCGGTTTGCGACGCACGTTGAAGATGATATTAGGATTAATGCACTTGTTTGCCCCCGAAGTGGGGTAGAATATGTCACAGAGATTGGGGTAGAGAGCCGTCGCAGCGGCGGACTTGTTCTCCTCTTCATTAATGTATCAGATCAGAGAAATGGGATCTTGAACCATTGGATACACACTGGTAGGGTATTCGTCGACAAAATCCTGGTCCAGTTAAAGAAAGTTCATACGACCTGGGTGGTACGACTGGACTTACGAAAGCACTATCGACAACGCTCTTCTGCACAATCTCCCATCCGTTCTGAAGCTCGAAATTCTTTCTCTGGATTGCTGGTCGAATCTTTTCCGCGAACACAGCGTCGATGACCGCAGCGCAAAACTGTAGCATTAACTTTGGGTGTGCAGAGAACGTGTCTTGAATGTTGTCTTTGTCAAAGTGCTGCGAAATATCATTGCGAACATTGTCTGAGGACGATGAGAGTTTCTGTGCGGAGGGTATCAGGGATGGCAATTGGATTATTGTATGCAGGACGATGTGTACTGACGAGGAGAGTTAGAATGGAGCTGAGTTGTCCGACAACAGTCTGGATAGAGGCCGATTTACTCTTGGATGCCGCTTTCTTGAGAGCGTTGAACGCAGCAGAGAGCTTTTCCATCGTGCGCCCAGGTAGATGAGTCCAACAGAGCTAAACCCGGAATTGAGCAGTGGTAAACGGTCACTACCATGTGATGTGACATTTCGCGATCCGTTACACCATGACATCGGGTCACCTCCTGTTGTGCTCGAGCGGAATCGCACTACCAGGCTCCAGCCAAAACGTTTGGGTGGTAATCGATGAGCATACTCTCCACTTCATTATCTTCGGACTTGTTGATCCGAGCAGTCCACCCGGATTCTCTTCCATTGGACCAATATTGCATGCAACCGCGAACGCGTGAACTAGAAGAACCTTCTCGCTGAATTTTCGGATCATTCTACCCGTGTTCCAACAACTAGCGCGATGCAGGACTTCTGCTGAGCACCCGGCTGTGCGATCGCCAAGGGGAAAACTGCTTGAAGAAAACGACCTGTAATTCCCAAAGCAGTAACCGCATCTTGATGGCGGGTGATAACACCGGCTGCCGACGACAGGTAACTACGTCACTGTGGGTCTTCGTTAGCACGACGTCATCATCGTCCAAGGCTGACCTGCTCAAGGCGGGATTATTTGCACTGAGGCGCGCGCCGGAGAGTACATAATAGTCCCAGAAAGAAGAATTCTAGGTGCCTAAACGCGTCTTTCTATCCAAGGAGGAGACGCATCGGCACAATGGCTCTTGAGCTCTCCTTACTACCAAGAAACCGGCGAACAATTTATGTCAAAAACCGTTGCTTATCCACGTGGCACAAGTTCCCTATTTAAGGAGAGCCATCGAGCATTCCGTTACCATCTTTTCCCCGCCCATCTTCGAACTTCTTCCCCACACTTCCAGGACCATCGCTCAATATGCCTCAAGGAACCATGAGAGCCCTTTGGTACAACGCTGTGAGTGGACGATACGCTTGCATACATCCATCCCTATCATGATCTTAACGAGCGCGACAGCCCAAAGACTTCGAGGTGAAAGAAGTCCCTATTCCGCAAGTCGGCGACAACGACATCCTGCTCAAAGGTTGGAATCTGATTCTCCTCCTACTCCCACAATCCTGATTTGCGTCTCTTCAGTGAGCTGCTGCGGTGTCTGCGGTACCGGTATGTTGTGTCTCTTCTCACAGAAACAATCGCTTACACGATCTAGACGGCCACATTCATGAAGGTATGTGACCAGCATCCATGTAACAGAACAAGATAGCCGACCGCCTTCTCAGGAGAATTCATCTCCAAGTTCCCTGTACGTAGATGTTCGTGCGAACGCCCTGGTAAGCTAACTGGTGGAGCAGCTTATCCCGGGACATGAAGCTGTGGGAAGCATCGTCGAGATGGGCAAGAACGTCAAAGGGTTCTCCGTTGGCGATCGCTGTGTGGCCGATGTCGGCATCACCGTGAGTGCCCAGGCTATCTCATCCGTGACGCGCTGAACCAGTTCTAGTGCGATAACTGCTTCTATTGCCGACGAGGCCAATCCCTGCTGTGCGAGAACTTCGCTTCGTGCGGTGTGACGCAGGATGGCGGATTCGCCGAGTACGTGCTGTACCAGCAGCACAAAGTGTACAAGATCAAGAACCTGTCCGACGAGGAAGCGACCCTGCTTGAACCAGCCGCATGCGCTATCCACGGTCTCGACAAGCTGTCACCTCCTGTCGGCGTCGATGTTTTGCTGCTTGGTGCCGGCCCGACTGGGCTCATTCTCGCGCAACTCCTGAAGCTCAATGGAGCCGCGAAGATTGTTATCGCCGCCAACAAGGGTATCAAGATGGACATCGCGAAGAAGTTGAATGCTGCAGACGAATACATCGAACTTGATCGGCAAGACCCGGAGCCACAGGTCGGTGATGCTCTTACGTCCGCTTCCTGCTCTGGGACTTAGTTTCCGTCTAGTGGAAGAAATTGCGGGAGGACAACCCGTACGGCTTCGACGTTGTCGTCGAGGCGACTGGTGTGGAGAAGTTGGCCAACGAGAGTATCAACTATGTCCGACGGGGCGGTACGCTCATGGTGTATGGGGTTTACGAGAACAAGGCTCTTGTGCACTGGCCGCCCTCAAAGGTACGTGACCTATGTTATCACCTTGCCAATCTGACGCATCTTGTTCACAGATCTTTGGCGACGAAATCAAGGCGAGTGCAACCATGTGTTTTCCGTTATCTCCGTTGACCGAGATCCAGATCATTGGCTCCTTCTCGCAGACGTACTGCTTCCCGCGAGCAGTCGCATACTTGGACAGCGGGAAAATCAACGTATCTGGAATGGTGACGGACACGTTCCGCTTGGAGGACTACCAGGGAGCATTGGACAAGATGAATAGCCGCGGTGCGCTGAAAATCTGCATCAAGCCGTGAGCTCGTGGGCTATCTTCGGAGAGATGAAAGCATGAACGAATTCGATCAATTCTGTATGTATCACTAGCACGACGTCGTCTGATCAATGAAATCAGGGTTTTTGCATTATTGGACGAGCAAAGTATATCGCAGGCTTACCCTGCTCAAATTATCACACTCACCGCGCAATGTGACACTCAGGGTTGGCCAGATTCAAGCCGGCCAAAGAGGTCAGTGCTATGGCCGCCTGATACTTGATAGGATACTATTTTTCTCGGAACTCCGGTAGGTTTGAAGCTTGTCACGAAAGATACAGATGGACACGCTCACATTGTCCAGAATGTAGATATAGAGTGACCCAGTCCCAACGAAATGCTGGGCGGCGATAACTCGATTCAACGAGAGAGAGAAAGGGGGCGAAGAACAGGACATCTATCCACAAACGTTCCTCTACGAATTAGCCAGTGGACGAGGTCGCGGGCTACCTTCGGGCTCGGAAAACGCGGTCACCTGACAGAAAGATGAATGCAAGAGGTATTGAGGTAATGCCAGTGTGAGTGATGCAAGTCCGTGGATGTACATGATGTAGATAAGATGGAAACCATTCTATCATAGAGCAGCGGACAGAACAGCCAAAGCTGCTGCCGCAACGCTCCAGGTCCATGGCCCCGCAGCAGCGACAGCGATCGCGCCGCTCGCCCCGCCTGCCGCACTCGACGTTGTCGAGTTGACCAGTGTCTCGGCGGGGGTGTTCAGGCCGATCAGCGTATCCCACTTGTACGTGTCCGCGAGGGACGTCCCGTTCTGCTGCACGCTGATGACGTCGAACTGCATGCTCGCCCCGTACTCTTCCGTGATCTCGGCGGTGTAGAAGTTGTACCCGGCGACGGAGGGGATGCTCGAGTTGAGCTTGAGATCGGTCGTCCCGTTGACGGCGATGAAGTTTTTGGTGGCGCGCCCGATCCAGTCGACATACACGCGGGAGGGCGTGCTCGTGCTCTTCACCGCAGCAGCGATAAATACACCATTGGAGCCGGACAGCACAGCCTTCGGACGGCTCTGGCTGGGGACGAAGAGGACGGCGTCTTGGTCGATGTTGTAGAACGCGCCGTTATTGTTGGCCACCGTGGTCGTTCCGTTGCCGTAGTCGATCTCGAACCAGAACTTGGAGATGCTCTGGTTCGCAGCCAGGGGCACGACAAACTGATACTTCTGCAGAGTGAGGTTCATCGTGGTCGAGAAAGGCGAAGACACCGGCGCAGACGTGCTGGGCGCAGTGAACCGCTTCAACTTGGAGGCACAGTTCGCGCCCGATCCGTAGCGGTCGCACCAGTACATCGTCACCGTCGTATGGTTGCTCGAAAGCTGCAGCCGCACGTTGGCCTGGAACTGGAGCTCGGGGCTCCCGATCGTGAGTTGCACGCCAGTCACTTTGACCGGCACGAGATCGATGTTGTCAGTGAGATTGACTGTCGAGGGGACGGTCCGGAACATCTTTTGGAAGATGGTTGAACAGGTCGACGAGAACGCTTGCTCGCTGTTCATGCTATTTGCAGAGAGTCGGCACATGTACATCGATAGATGACGGAACTCTACCTTTGCATCGTGACGTTGTTGTCGGCAGAGAAAACGAGGAGGTCAGACGCAGCAGACGCATTTGCAACAATCAGCGGGTCCCGAGTCGAGCCGTCGAGATATTGAGAGATGCTAACAAGTGCTTTGAGCAAGAAATGGGAAAGGGCCGGTAATATACCGCACGCACATGCTATGATCGAACCGCTGCGTGTCATCGAACAGCTGCACGACAGTCTGCGTGCCAGAGCCCGGCACAACGTTCGGGAAGTCGGGATACCGCACACCGCCCAAGGTGTGTCCACACGCGACGAGCTGGATCATCTCAGACACATTGAAGCCCTGGTGCGCGAATGTGCCCTTCAGCGAGTCGAGCGAGTCGGTGATGTTCGGGACACCGTACGGCCCAGCAACGTTCGCGTCGATCCGCCCACCCTGTATCGGAATAGCCGGTCCGCCGCAGGTGGCGACCGCCATGACAGTTCCGAGCACGATTACATCCGCGCCTGGGAGGACCGTTAGCGACAGATAACGTTAGAGCCTGGCGGAAGCCTTACGGCTGACGTATTTGCTCGGATAAACAGAAAAATCGTTCAAGGTGTTGTTCATGCCCGCGCCGTTGTTCTGCACAGTGCTCAGTTTTGTTGCTACGCGAAATCGCGTGCGCACGCGCGCGGCTTACCTCTGTCCGGTCGGTTTCGAAAAAGATGGAACCATCGAGGCCGCCGGACCCGTCAGCAATCTGATGTGTCGCAGCGTCGTGGTAGACCTGTAAAACAGCAGCACATGAGGGCGGTAGTCACTTCCGTAGCGGTTCGTACCCACCAGACGGACCCACTCCGCTGCTACAGTGGTGTTCGTGGCTCCCCTTAGCCTGCAGGGAGACACAAGTGCGCCGAGACTCGACCCATCCGGGCGTCCTCCCTCGTACAGAAAATCCTCCAGAGCATCGTATTGCGGTGAAGGCCATTGGTAGCCGGCGGCGGCGGCGGCTCTCGTCAGTGCGAGAGTCGAGAGTAAGAGATTAAGCATCAATATGAGTAGAGTGGTTGAATGAGCGTGGTTTGTCGTGAGATGGTATGTGCTCGAGGACAAGAAGATGGTGGAAGCCTTGGAGCAAGGGGAAGTGTGCGGTGATCGGACGCGCACATGTCCTAAAATTGACATCTGAGGCTATGCATTTCGTTTATTTATATGCCCAGGCCAGCCAAGGCTGGGCAAGGCCTTCGGTTTTCGGACTTCGGCGATTATTTAAAGTGAAGCTGTCTCATTAGAGCTGTCCAGCAGAAGCTAAAAACGATTTTTTTTCATAAGAAGAATCTCGTTGCGGAGTATTTTTTGCTCACTGAAATCTGTTTAGTGGAGCTATGAGTAAACTGAATTGGGACAAGGAGCCTCCGAAATTGTGTCCAAAATTGGCAACTAGAGCGCCGACTACGTCGGCAGAAGCCTTGCTTACATGCTGATCATTGACTCACAATTTTTGGGCCTGCACATGATATATTAGAAGCTCGACGCAGTATCATTGTAAATAAATGTGAGAGGGCATAGTTAGGTTCGAACGCGTGACCGCACGGATTGCCTACGGAAGAAAACGGAGAGTCGGCAGAAACCGCGTGACACGGAATCAGGACAATTATGAGGGTGGAGAAGCCTTGACAAGCAAGGCAATTCGCGGTCCGTGCGATCAGCGTTCTGACCCGGAAGACATCTGTGGACAGGGCACTCTGCACTGTCAAGCTTGTCGACTGCCTCTTGACCTTACGCTTGCATACTACACCCCCGTACTTCTGGGACCGCTCCAATGCGCATCATTGTGACGTAGGGAGATGTAGAACGATCCCACTGGTGGCTCCATGTAGCGGAGGAGAAGTGCGTGAGAGTCGCTTCAGGCCTGTGTTCCGTGTTCGGGGTGTCACATGATCGCGGTGGAGCACAACCTTGGAGGTCGTTTCTCATTTATATTTCGATTAGGCTCTAACAAATTTGGATAAGATCTAAATAAGAAAAGAGCTCCAAGTGTTCTGCTGGACAGCTCTATTGGCGACTATGTTTAGTCAAAAACTCTGGCAAATATGTCTCGAGTGAGTAAGATTTCAGTGGTCATAACCTCGGTCAGACTCAGCAATGGGCCGAGTCTGAGGGCACAGGCTGGCTCAGAGAAACAAATCGGCATTCCATTCACATGTTCACAGAAGTGATCTACATCTCCATCTTCTCATTCTCCGTCTCCCAGCCGGGGTTTTTCTGCAAAATGACGAATCCTTCGAGGACCGGGCTGAAGGGAATGAACTCTTCCGTCGCAAGCTCTGCCCTGTCCGTGGTGGCTAGCCTGACAGGAGTTTGATGTGTCTGGAAACCAGAAATCGTTCTTGGCTTGCCGGCTTGGCCAACGACATCGAGAGCCTGCGAAACGTGTCAAGATCGCGTGCGCACATAACATTAGAGGTGGACTTGCCTGGCCAACTCGGACGGTGACGGGCTTCGCGTTCAGCTCCTCGTCCAGTGTAATCAAGAAGCGAGGATACATTGCTGGTGTCAAGAAGAACAGCATCCAATGATACTTGTCCAGAATAACTGTAGAGAGACAGAGAGATGATCAGTCATTGAAATGAAACCAGACAAAGACATACAGCTCTTGGCATCCGTGAAAGCAGTGATCGTGGCCAACAATCCAGCCATAGCAGCGCGGCTCATGATAGTCCTGTCAGCGAAGAACGGATGCAGCCCAATGGTGCCTTTGCCCATATGCACCAGGCCTTGGGCAACTCGGACCATAAACAAGCAGTCAGGCTCCTTGTAGTAGTACCCTGCCAACTGCCGCAGCATTTGGGCTAACCGAGCGTTGTTTGTGCCGGCACCGACCAAACCCATGGCAAAGATGGCGTTGAGCGCGACAGCCAGGTCGTTGTCATGACTGTATTTGGACAGCGTGTCGAGGATGGGCAGCTGGGGGTTCGAGGCACTGACTAGACCCATCGCTAGTGGAACTGCTTTCCGAATGACAGGTTCACCGTAGTGCATCTGCAGCATACTCGTCAGGAGCGTGAATGACAGAGATATCGTCAAACGGCGCACCAAATGATGGAACTGACGCAAAGACATCTCAGCACCGATGTCCTCGCCCATGGCAATCAAGGCGACGGCAATCACAGCAAAGGCCTGGAAAGAGTCATCCGGTTTCTCTTCCTTGGTCTCCTCTTTGTTCTCGCCCTCCTTCTTGTCATCTTTTTCGCCCTCTTTCGGGACGATGTGCTCATCGCACTGATGCAACATCTCCTGAACCTTGAGGACGTTTCCACTACCCGCGAACGCACACGCTTCTACGATGATCTGCGCTGTCTTCGACACTGGGTGCTCAATGACTTTAAGTGTCTCCAGAGTGGTATCAGACGAGTCTTGCAAACCTGAGCCGACGTGAGGACTGGACGGAAATTGAGGGAAACAAACCGCGCCCACCAAGATACAGCAATCCCAAACCGAGAGCCATGAACCGACTCCACTTCTCGCCCAGTCCAGCATCGTCTCTCTCGGCCTTCTCCATCAATAGTTGCAAGATAGTCCCCGTGATTTCTCCGTTCTCGCTTCCAGTGAAGATGAAACCCAGAGCCAGCACGGCTAGACTTGCAATTTCCATCGTCACATCGTCTGACACAAGAGGGAGCAATAGCTGCAGCAGATCCTCGCGATGGGAGCCGATGTACGCCAAACCCAAACCGATGATTGCACTTGTCTTGAGCGGCACCGACTTGTTCTCGACGTATTCCCCAATCAGACCCTTGGCGACATCGGCTTCAGTACGGACCCCACAGTTCAGGATGCCGGTTGCCAGTAACGCTCCAGCTTTGATGTATTCTTCAGGGGAGTATGTGTACTTGTCGACGTGGCTGAGACCCATGTCCGTGTCCCAAAGAAGACTTAGCCCCAGCGACGCGGTTGCACTGAGCATGCCTGAGATCCTGGGTCAGTGAAATGACGACCCTGAACGATCTCACGAACCATGTTCTTTGTTCTTGTACACCCAGCTGTTGCCTTCCTCTGCTTCGACCATCAGCTTGTCGTTTCCAAAACCAGCATTGACGAAAGCGTTGACAAAAGTGCCGGCCAAGTTGCCCCGAGCGGAATCGACGTTTGCTAATGCGTTCGGTCCTGGGAAAAATGTCAGAAAGGCTCAGAGATATTTATAGGCAATTCGCACGGGTGTTTTCGAGGTGAGACTTGTACACATCCTCCAAGCTTTTAGGATCCGTCACGCCGAGTTCTTTGCCAAACTCGCGGAAGTGTCCGCTGATTCGAGTGTTGCAGAGACACTCCTTCAGGTCTTCAGAAAATGAGTCCAAGATGTCGGCGTCCTCGTCAACCTCCTCTGTGGAGCTTCGGAGCCACTCCAGCGGAACCTGAGCGCGAGCGATGATGAACGCCAGTTGTCGCTGCATTAGTCTACAGTCCCAAATTAAGATGGACTGCGTATGGCGGGCCTGTCTGTACTCACGGATTAGCGGGAGCGTTGAAGTCTTCCCTAACGAGTTCCGGGTCGCCCAGTCGGATGGCCAAAGCCAGAGCTTCAGGAAATTTATCGAACTTGACGTAGATCTTGTGCGTAGTTCGCAGGAAGGAGATGTCATCGGGAGGCGGCAAGAGGTTCACACAACTAGTATCTGATCAGACTGAATTGCCGTAAAGATAGGGAATGAGCATACCGAACCATGTATTGGCAGACCCGCGTGAAAGTGTCCTTGTCTACCAGGTTGGCGATCTCGTCCACAATCTCCATCTCCTCCAAGAGGTCTACCGCATCCGGCTCTGCGTTGTGCATGATCAGGAAGACGGAACACTCCTTGGCCAGGCTCCGAAGCTCTTCGATAGTGCCGATGGGCTGAGGTTTATCGGCGGAGACCTCCGATGCGTCTTCTTGCTCGCGGATGTTGTACTCCTCTCCCAGCTCTGCAGCGAGATGGCGCACGTATTCGTGGCCCCAGCTTCCCGGATCCGCAAGCGGAGCACCCGCAGGTCGCATAGAAGACGCGAGAAGGCGGTAACGCAGTGTTCCACGCGGCTGCGTGTCGGAATATGTCATGGCCAAGACGGAGAGGATATCGGCGAAAAGCGACTACCAAATTGGATTGAAGTAGAGTAACAGGATGGAAAAAACCAACCGACCTTGTTCTCTGATACTGGCCATGTCTCGTAAAGTGCTTGAAGGTCGGGATATAGCGGTCGCAAGAACTTCAAAGGTTTGGGGACTGAGGTCATAGAGGAGGTGGATGTTCTTATGAGCGTCCGTAAGGTTTCTAGGGCCGGTCCGTATAAGTCAGTATTCGATTCCTGATCACAGTGTGATCAGTATTCGTAGACTTAATGACGCATGGAGAACATACCTTCAACCGTTCAGCAAGCATCTCCAGCTCGTTCCTCAGCTGAAGGTCCTCTTCTGACTTGGAGAAACAACCCTCAGCATCGTGCCTGCAGGAGAAAGTAGAGAGAACACACGAGCTCTTCACTGTCCCCTTCAGCATCCTTGCCATCCGCTTTTTTCTCTTTGCCGTCCTTAGACAGCTTCGATGATCCCTCCTCCTTGTCCTTCTCGTTCTTCTTCTTAGGATCCTCGGAGGGGACTTCGATCGCGTATTCAGTAGAGTCGGGCATGATGGTTAAATGAACGGACGAAACAACGCGACGCGCGTCCAGCGCTAGTCACTGATTCGTCACGTCACTCATCAACACCGCCACTCTCAGGTTGAGTACAACTACTGCGTGGATTGGTCAACGATGAAGGTCAGATCACGGATATGTACACAAGATCGATTCAGTCGCTAGACGATTATCCAGAAGCTGGGGATATTCATGACCATCGCATCAACATACCACAACAAACCTTGCCCGTTTGTGGATTCCGCGTCCGGAGATACTCGAGCAAGCTGCACCCAACGACCGCGTATTCCCATCCCGACAGCTTGCTCTAGAACGGTCGCATTCTCTGAGCCATCTTCGATATGGACAAGCACTGTGATGTGGTCTCGACTCATGTCGTGACCTTGCGCATCCCCAGAGGACGTCGGCAGCATCTGAGGCGACCCCCGTTCTTCGTCAGAATCCCAATCAGGCCAGGGAGCGAGGACGAGTTGGTGCAATTTTGATTTGAGAAACGACTCGACTGGGTCGCCGCCAGGGGTGCTGTCGTATCTGGGAGCAGAGAAAGAGACAATCCGCCGCATGCTATACTCGACTAGCCCTGGTGAATGTGTGTTGCTCAGCGCAAGAGGTCCAAAAAGACCGAGAAGTGTGGGTCGCGGATCAACCACAGGCTTGGGCTCGACGATGGACCCCCATGATGGTGCAGAGTCAGCCCATCCAGAATCCGTCCCCCCACCCCAGCCGCCGCTTCCTCCCCAGCCGCCTGCATCGGCGCCCCAGCCAGACGGGTCCCCCGTGGAATCCTGAGCCTCCTCTGTCCGTATCTTATCCTCTTGCATATCCCAATCCTGATCTTGATCCACACCGAACTTGAGGGTCTCCTGCTTCGTGCCCCAGTGCATCTGACATGCCTCCCCGAATGCGTCTGGCAGAGCGTGAGCCACAACTTTCAACAAAGCGAGCTCCTTCCCCGCTCTGTCAATGACTGGTAGAGCCGCGCGCAGATTCTCGACGCGTTCCGGCCCAGTGACTTGATTCCGAATGAGAAAGAACACAAAAATTCGCAGGATGTGCGGGGCAGCTTTGCATGCTATCGGGCTCCTGACAGGGAATTTAAGAGACCAAAATCGGACGCAACTTTACTGCACCTACCACAAGTGACCCAAATTGTGCATCTCCGAAGACAGGAAAGTCTGGATACTGCGTCTGGGATCATCAATGAGCGCTTGCAATTTGGGGTCTTGAACATCCTCGATCTTAGCAGTGGTGCTGTCCCCCGACATCAGATCGTGGGCCACCCCTTCGAAATGTGGAATGGGAAACGGGACTGGTGATTCGCCACTGAGCCCCGTCGGATCGAGGTCAGATTCGGTAGTCATTAGGAAATCGTTGGTTTCTTCATCGTCGAAGTAGATATCGTCTTCATGGTCATCAACAGTTTTAGGCCCAGTCAAGGTTCGATTCTCGACTCCAATGAACATTTTGAACTAGATTGCAGATGTTAATGGATGCAGTCTTCCTTCGATGACTCGACTTACGTGACGCCAGATGGTATGGCTCTGAGTGATTTCATCCATTATGACTCCATATGTCCTGCAAGTGGAGACGATCAACGGAGATGAAGCACTGGTGATTGCTCTGCACTTACTTTCCAAAGTCTTCGATAGCCTGATGAACTCGATCCAAAGTTGTTGATATCCTGCCATGGTCAACTTACTGGAGAGCAGGTAGATGGCATACATAGGAACTCACGCGCGGTAATCGATTCTCGTCCCCTGTACTTCGTTCTCCTTTTCGTACTCGGTCCACCACGGTCCTTTGCGGACGCCGATTCCCTTATTCTTCTTCTTTTTGCTTTTGCGCTTCAGTCCGTCAGACCTGGTCGTCGCCAACAGAATTGTGGGTATTCCCAATCCGTCTCGCTCAATACCATCTTCGCCGCGAGTGATTTGGGTCCCGCACTCTACAAACGCTTTGAATGGGGTAATCACGATACCCGTGGGAGGCTCTGGGAAAGGCGGAAAGTTGTATGCATGTGTGGAATCTGGAGCAGACATCGAGGACGAAACGAATGGCAGGTTTCAGAGGATGCACGTCGGATTCAACTATGCCTATTCCCACGAGAAATTTGTCAGTGACTTTTCTCAGCGAGGGATGTGTAACACCAAAAAAGAGCCTCCCTGATCCATTCAAGGGTGATCAAAGTTAAAAGCTAAACGCGTGCGGTCACCAATCCGGACTGCCGCGTGACACACTCAGTGACTCTATTCTAATGACAGGGTTGTCCTTGCGACCAGCTCTCACGCATGTCGATCTCCTCGAGTCTCTTCTCAAATGTCTCTTTAGTTCCGCATGAGATTGGAAAGAACGTTTAGTGACGGATTCATAGCTCAGAAATCTGAGCAGCTATCGGGGATTATCGATCATTGCTGCTTCGCAATCTTATCTAACCGACGGCAGGGTAACCGGATCCACGCCAAGCGATGCTTCCTCGAAGTGGAAGATAAATCAGCGCTTGATCTCTTCAGAATGACGATCTTGAGATCCTAAACTCACAAAAATCCACAGGAGAAAGAGCGGGGAGACTCTTCCCGGCATCGGAGACTCAGTGTATGCGCGTCGGCCGTATCATCATTGTGATCTTTGAGGCGACGATATATGCTATTCCACTCCATGCTGGGTGGTCCGTATATGTATCGTCTCAAAGCATACTGAGGATAGAGTCGCTCACTCTTTAGACCTCGTCGACGGTCAGGATCACAGTAACATGCGGATCCGTCTGACTTTGCCACCTCCAGCTCAAGAGCATTCATGATGAGAGTCAAAGCATAATTAAAGCATGATTGGAACACGGGTAAGCATTTGAAGCTAGAGAGATCCACGCCGTATATCCTCGCTCATCCATTCTTTCTCTCCTTTGATTTGTCGGCGCACTCTGCCATGCGTACTGAGAGACAATATCCATGCAATAACAGGGACCTACCTTCATTCGGCCTCTCTTCAAGATTCAACTTCCGAACCGTCGGGAAGGCCAGCTCTCGACATGCTGCACGACGCCAGCTGAGCAAAAGTCCATCAAATCGCGTTCAGATGCAGGGAGCTGATGAAGACTCACGCAAGTTGCAAGGGAAGTGTTCTGTCTCTCCTGATCATATCTTGCATACGTTCGCGCACTATTATTGTGAACTGATTATCAGGGGCCATGGTGGATGAGGAAGAAGCGATCTCCGTGCCTCTGGGGGACATTACTTCCATCACGTGCCGATCACATGGGCGCGATAAGTGGCGAAGAAGCACGCTGAAGAAAGGTCAGCACTGTGACAGTCTTACCCTCTTCATCATGTCGCCTCCCGCAATACGTACGCCCGTAGAGGTCAGCTACCGTCTTGCTCTCCTCAGCGCATACACTGAACGCGTGTAAAGCTCTGGAATCTGATCGTCAAAGAGCTGATCGAGGACTGCCCCCTGGCGGTCCTCCAATTGGCTCGCACCTGCGCATATATCCGGGCTGCTATCCTCGATGAGCGTTGGAAAGATATATTCCGCACGTGGTTCAAAGAAGACGCGGAGATGGCCAAGGGGAAGTGGCGCGCAGCTGTGTGTGCCAATGGAGGCATCTTGGCTGACTCCGTGCTCGAGATCGCAGCCATGCTGATTTCAGACTATTCTTTTCATCCTTTGGTCAAGTATGTGGTTCACTCCCAGTGAGCTCATAGATCTTACCTCCGAGTCTTCGCAGTTACATCGAAGAAGACATTCTTCAGCATCTCCAGCGCAAATTGCCTGTGAACTCATCGACCATCTCCCGGAGTCTCCTGATCAAGGCCACACAACGCGCTGCGCCGTATTTCTCAATTCAAGCGTCCGAGATGGGGGATTCCTGGCCCGATAAGATCTTCTACCGTAAAAAAGTTCGATGCCGTCTACTCGTCCGCCACGATTCGACCCCGGCTCCTCTTCCCGACACCGGATACTCAGCAATCGCAGGCCTGTATGTGATGTCTGTCAGGGGTCAATACAGAACAGGGTTTTTTGAGGATTTGTTCTTGATCCACAAGGTCGGGATGGAGAATCTGCTGAGGTCCTACCACGAGACGGCACCAGTCGTTCCATTTTGTTTACCGTGCATGAAGACGTTGAAGAGCAACGATCTCTCTGCGGTGATGCAGATGGACATCGGGTCGTTCAAGGCAACGAAGAACCACCCCAGTGGTCGCGCAATGCAAGGCCAGGGATTGTACGACAGACCAAACAACCTTCGCGGTCCGAGCCACCTGTGGTCTCTGTTACAGACACCGAACGTATCCAACGTCCTCATTCTTTTCTTCCACCCGTCGTGCGATTTCCTCGAAAGCATTCTCGACTGGGCTCCTCTTGCGACCGGGCTGAGCGATGGTTCGGCGCTGGGCTATGCGTTTACGTGAGTGCGGCAGCGTCAGTCACTCGCACTTGCAGTGGGGCTGATTCTCCGGCAGCGCAGACATGTCGATCCTGAACGGCTGGGACCGGAATCTCTTCGGTCGCGACTCTATCGACTACATCATCGCAGTTCGAATGAAGACTATCCGCTTGGTCGCTGCTTCGACGGACTCGGCGGGACTGGATGCGCGCTTCAAGGAGGGGAGCTTGGCTCCATGGCTCCAGAGCCTGGGGGTTGACGACGACGAGGTCCAGCGCTTTCTTGCAGTGATTGCGCGCACCGAGAATTATCGCGGGAAGGTAACGGGTCCGTTATCGTTTTTGGATGGGAGTCCGCGTACGAAATTGATAATCGGTGATTCGGTCGCCTTGCGATACAAGCAAGACGCCGCGCTTTTGGAGCCTTTGTGATGATCGAACTCTTGCTCTTTTTGTTGCTTTGCTGTATGATTAGGATTTGTGTCAACGGAATGGAGTCATAATACACAGGATGTCCACATGAAGAGCTGAGCTTCAAACGTCTCCCTTGCGCTGGCTAACCAAGTGTTTGCGGCTGGAATGCGCAGCCGAGAGCTTGGGTTTCCTCCAGAGAGAACCAGAGCTGAAATCTCTAATCCGGTAACAGCGGTTTTTTGAAAGAACCTCAATGACACGAACACCCGATAATGTGAAATAGGTCTTGAAATCGTGCATGACAGCGTATCTTTAGCCGCAGCGGACATAGACTCGAGCAAGCTGCGAGATGATCTGAAGGTCCCCGTGCCTGCCCACTGCAAAGTTGTGACGCGCTTCCTGCTCTCTACGCACTGTCTCTCTGTCGAGTTATTGCGTTACGACGAGAGATTCCGAAAGCGCACCCCGAGAGAATGAAGACTTTGCTGTTTGTGTGGAAGGGACGAGTGGAGACGGGTGGCCCATGCCGCCCTGGCTTGCATGGGGCCGTCAGATTTGCTGTAACTCGACAAGATTTCCTCGTTGATGCCCTCCTCATCACGCACGGCACAGCGAGAACTGCGAGTTTCCCCGTGCAGTTTCTAGCGTTGCTGATCCGTGGAAGGGATTTTGACCTCATACAGCGCGGTCGCCTAACTCGTATTCCAAGTTCAGAAGTAGAGCGTACGACGGAGCTTTATCGGCCGGCACCTGACCTGTCTGCTCTGGCCCAACGACTAATGGAAACGGTCGGGCCGCTGTCTGAATCGCGCCATCATCTCGACCTCTGCAGACCTCTCGGAATATCTGGACTGCTTACAGCGGGTTGCTGGGGCACAACAACACAGAGTGGGTGCTACTTTGGGTGCTCGAGGAGGAAAAGTTGATCGGATGCCCGGTAGGCTGTAGCATACACCTGATGCATGTTTGTAGCACGGACCCTGGCGGCTCCTTGTTGGGACCGCGCCGGTCATCAATCTACCAAAATCTACTATATTACTTACGGTAAACTGATGATTGGTTGGTCTGCAGCTTCAACGCGATCACCTAACCATCAACGACCATCCTCACGACGACACGAAATCATCGCACGTCCCATTTGAACGTGCTTGTGACCAAGACTCAGGTTCAAGTATCTATCACATCCAAGATCACTTGATTGGATTTCATCCATTCTGAAACAAACTAGGAGGAGTGAATGATCAACAAGTCCAACTCGCCTGGTGAATCGAATCAGAAAAAGTACGATCAGCAATAGCAAGAAGCTGCTCGTGACGTACATCAGGGGTCTGAGGTGTTCCAACGCTATGGTATGGCGCCAGTCCCAAGCATGTCGCGAGAGTCACAAGCTCGTAACCCGCCGCCTGCAGTTTCTTGATAGCATATGGAAGAACTTGATGCGCGGTCGTTTCTGAAGCAGGCATGAGCATCAAAGACCGGTCCGGGTTGCAAATTGCTTCACCGTAAGTCTCGTGGTTGAGGGCAAGGATGTTGCTCGGATGCGCGGCAACGACCTGGTCGTAGACAGCTTCGCTCTGCGCGACGGTGGATCCCGTGGAGTCCCCAGAACTGCGCTCAATCAACCAAACAGATCATCCCTGAGTCGTCGAAACTCACTCAAAGTCCCAGATAACTAGGCTTTGGTTTCGGATGAAGGCAGCTTCCCGAACGAGATCGTTGTAGTTCCCGTAAGCTGATTTACGTCAGCTTGAACCACCCGAGTAGCTAAATAGAGACTAGACTTACGCGGTCTCATGAATGCGGGTGTGACGCCGATAATCCGGGACAAAGCGACTGACGGGGGTCAGGTAAGTGGCACTCTGATGGTGTTTACGAGAAGCTTTTACGTTCGACGCGCCACATCTCATCGTGGACTGGAACGATGAGTTGGATACCTAAGAACAGAAAGATAAGACAAAACTGACTCTGGTCCCAAGTGAGCGTCGACAGATCCAAATGCGCCCAGGTGTGCGAGCCAATCATGTGGCCGTGGTCATAGGCGTACTTGACGCGTTTCTGCTCGTCAGCGTCGTAAATGCACGCGTCTATGTAACCGAAGAAGATCAGATTCAAACGCGGAAGTATGTGCGCAGAAGGGCCAATTTACAGTTATTCCCGTCTGGAATTCCGATGAGAAAGATCGAAGGTGCACACGAAAAAATAGCCGCTTACTGAAGAAAAAAGTGCCCACAGCGCCGGCAGCGACAAGTGCCTTGCTGACATCGTATCTTCAGTGCATTGATTGAGTACGAATCGGAGAGTGTAAGCGACATGTCACTCACAGATAGACCCACGGTCCATCATCCTACATGGAAAATTTCAGCGTGCGGACAGCCGAGCAACATACAGCTCAAGGCGACGCACGAAAGTGAGGGCGACCTGGTTCTTGTTCTTGCACGCCGAGTAGACATTAGCTTTCGGGCCTCCCTGTCTTCGCCCGATGTCTTCCTGCTCAGGAGCCGCAAGCGCGACAGCAGCAAACAGCGCAGTGGCAAGGACGGAGAACAGCATGTTCGCGATGGAAGAGTGCACGAGAATAAGCTCAACGCGTCTGCCTTTTTATGTGTCCGCGAAGCCGGGAGTGATGGCAGAGCCCCCGATCAGCCATGAGTCCATGACAGGGGGGAGACTCTCAGTTAATGCGGGGCAAGAAGAAGACACATCGGGGCTTGGCGGGATCTGCGAATGAATAGACGGAGCCGCACTGGACTCGGATTGCCATCTCCATGGCCCAGCCGCTGGACGGCACGGCGGCAGACGCTATCCTAATATCGACCGCGCACCGCAAACTATATTGCCGGCCATACCAGCCCAACCTATCATACCTCGCCCACATAGCCATGAAAGATCGCAGGGTCCGGTGACAGAGCGTTGCGCCGATAGTAGCGGCGGGGAGACTCGCCCGTGTCAGCTCCTGGTCAGGTCAGCAGACACCGCGCCATAGAATGAGCGAGCCACATTCCATTTCCATTCTCCTCGATGTCTGAACTCGACATGTGGAACGCCTCTCTGTACAGCCTGCATTGAAGGGGCACTGCCGGCCAGCCGATGAGTTGTCGTTCCTGACTCTATCATCTCCACAAGCTCGACGCGGGCAAATGTCGGTGCCGCGGGGAAACTGAGGGGAGAGCCGAGCAGAGATTAGGACGTGCATTTGGTGCGAATCTCCAGCCCCACTCGAGACCCTGAACCGAGGTCGACTAGTAGAGCAGCACGCAGCCGCACCAAGAGCGATGACATTTACGGCACGCAACGGCGCTAGATAGATGTAGACGGATGTCATCGCCTACCTCCGCAACTGTCTTATTCCACGAATTGGGTGGGTTTTGAGCGCGATCGTTCGAAGACATTTGCGCCAGACTGCAGAACCAGAAAGCAGATCACAAGCACAGCTACACACATGTGCCGTAGTAGAGGCCGAGCGTGGGACCCCCTTCGGATCAATCAAAATTCCTGCGGCGGGGGCTCCTAGTCCAAGTAGTCCACGAAGGGCAGATCTTGCAGTTATCCAACGCCGAAGGCCACTTTGATCACGCTCCAATCGGCCGTGCGTTATGAACTTCCACGAGAGTTTTGTTTACGTTTCCCCATCTCCGGAGACCCCGCATATATGTACATAGCAGGAGGTAATTGTGATTGGTTCATTTACTCGGAAGACTTGGAAGAACCTCATTGACTCACATCTACGCTCATGACATAGACTTACGATCCCCTTATGGTTGTCTGAACGATTCGGAACGACCTTATCACTGCTTGCAAGCCCCTGGTATGCATAAGCAGACCACAAGGCCACCAGTGAAAATAGTTCCGCCCGACAAATTCGCGGACGAATGAGCAGTACTGAGGATCATCAGATACCAGAGATTTCGCACGTGCTATTAGCCCCGTCTCCCTGAAGTCGAAATAGCGTCATACAACTCTCATTGACCTGTGCACCAGAACTGCATCACAAAATAGACCGACAAGTCACCAATCAACTATCGTCTTCCCAATCATCCGGCACCGGCGAGTTTAGGCTGCTGCCGCCGTGATCGACCGCCGCGGGCACTGCACTGGGAACGACCGGCGGAGTCTGCCTTGGAACATGCACTTGCGAGACAGGACTTTGCACACTCGCCCATCCCCGGGCCATCGCTGCACTAGGGGGGACGGCAATCGGCGCAGGGGGCTTGGCCACGGAGCGCCAGGCACCGCTCGAGCTGGGCGTAGCAGCAATCTTCAGATCTGCGAGTTTCCCGAGGCTGGAGGGTGGCCCTGCGACTGAGATAGCGGCGCTCAGCAGCGGCGTCGGCATCTTGGTATCGAAGCGTCTGATGAGCTGGAGGCTGCGATGGGGCTCCTGATCGACCATCTGTGTGTCCATCCGATAAACAGTCGCGATATCATGTGCAAATTTGCGTCGATCTGGTGGCATGTGGGGCAGGACCTGTGTCTTCTTGTCGCTATTGACGAAGCTGGATCTAATCAGAACATAATCGGAGAGGCTGACGAACTAAAATACTCACTCTGCGAAGGCCTTTTCAACGACACCCACAAATCTCGGGTTCACTCGTCCGAATGAAAGTACATCGTCAGGCCACGTGACAGCAGCTTGCTTCTCCCTGCTCTCGCTCGTGATACCCAGGGCGTCAGCGAGTCGGGCGTTGCGCTTCGCGACAAGACAGTCGTTGGTGCATTTCAGCTGCTGGCCCTCCCGCCCCGCACTCATCGAGCTTTTGCCGCACTGCACTTGCTGACGAATGCGACCGCAGCTACAAACGAGTGTGATGGTGGAAGAGCAGGGACTCGATTCGTCGCAAGATGAAGGTGCGTGGCACGGGAGAGTGCATCCGTGAATAAGAGGAAGGCTGTTAAGAATTAAGCATGTTCCACTCGAATGACTGAGCCAGAACGCACCAAAGTTTCCGTGGTTTCCCACAGTTGGATGTGCAGGCGCCACATCCTTCCTCCGACGAGTGGCACAGCCGCTCACAGTGGTGATAGCCACACCCGAGCAACTTGCCACAGACATTGCCACAGGCAACACGTTCCTGGGAGCAGCGGACGTTTCCCACCTCCTTCTTCCCACACATACAGGTCTTGGTCGTCAAAAACGGACAGGGCGGGCAGGCCTGAGTCGTCGAGTGACACAGATGCGATGTTCGTGGATGCCCGCACGGCGGAGCTGGCAGCGGGCATTGGTACGAGCATTGAATGAGGGTGCCACACGGAATGGGAGGTTCGAGCACTGTCCGACCGCAGGGACAAATAAGCTGTGGATGTCATTAGCTTATCTTTCACAGGAATATGCAAGCAGGAATACCTCTTCAAAGCTGCTCATCAAACAGGGAGCACAGGGTCCTTTGTGGTCCTTCATTTCGCAGCGATGAAGACCACACCCAAGCACTTTCCCGCACACGATATCACACTCGTGCAGTCCACCGACCTCTTCGCCCAGTCCTTCTTGAGCTGCAGCAGCGCGATGGCGCTTGGACTTGTTTTTCTGCTGCTGCAATACAGCCACACTTGCCAGGGGACAGCAAATCCGACCGCATCGATGACGGCCACATGCTCTGAGTGCAGCACACGGTTTCTCGCACAGAATGTCTGTTTCGTGCTCCTGGCCACAGAAGAGCTGCTTGACAGTCGATCCGCAGCGACACGGTCTGGACACCCGCTCAGAACACGGCGGACACGGGCCTTGATGACACTTAGCGGTGCATGCGTGCCCGCATCCGGATAACACCTTGCCACAAGCAGAGTCGCACGTCGGGATCGGCGCACTGCAATTGTCGCGAGGCGGAAACGCATTGCTGCTGTCGGCTCCGATCGGCCGACGACCGCAGGGACAGCTCTTGACAAGCTCAGGCGACCGGGGGCATCTTGCAGCTGGGCCGCTGAACGGATGGCACGGCTGGCTGCAGCGGTGGATGCCACAGTCGAAGACGCGCTCGCACTGGCCGTCGCAGGAAAATCGACCAGACCACGACTCGTCGCCGCGCGAACAGAACACCGCAGATCCTTCTCCGCAGGCGACCACCTTGTCCTCCTTCCCACAGTAGCAGCGCACAGTTTCGAGTTCAGGGCAGACGTCACATGCATCGGTATGGCATGTTCTCTTGCACGTGTGCTGTGGATTCCCACATGCCAAAGGTCGGGCGCATATACTGCCACAGCTGATGTCCTCGTCCGTCGCACACCGCAGCGCCAGGACGACGCCCTTGGGACACCCACAGCGCACCTCCGTCGTGATCCGACACGGCGGGCATGGCCCGGGGTGACACAAGAGCGGGCATGTGTGCGCGCACGTCGAGCGCGCCCGGCTGCACGGCGACGCGCACGAGTGCGGTGTCGACACTCGGCCCGGACTCGGCGATCCTTGCGCGCCGCAAAAACACCGGTACTCCTTCGGCACCGGCGCCCGCCGCGCCTGGCAACCCGGGCAGCGCCACTCCCCGCCGCGCTCGGGCTCCCCCCGGGCTGCCCAGGCATCGGCTACATCTTTAACTGATTTGGCCGCCCAGGATCGGATGCATTTGAGGTGGAAGGTGGTCCAGCAGTACTGCTGCTTCCCCGACTCCATGATCGCGATCGACGGCGAACAGGACCACGTGGGCTGTGCGGGGTGGATCGCAGAGAAGCAGATCGCGCAGTCCGGGTACGGCGGCGTGCTCAACGCCGCGGTCAGGATAGAGGTCAGGTCATCCGCAACTGAGGCCAGTGCAGGTTTGGCCTTGGGAGCAGGCCTCGCATGTGCGCTGGGTGCATCAGAGGTAAGACCCGCGTTGAACCGAGCCGCCCGCCCACGTCTCGACGGTCCGTCAGCATCACGCGCGCGCCAGTTGTTGGATGGGCTATCATGATGCTGATGCTCGCCAGCGACAGGTGGGCGCGCGTTCCCTCCACCTCCGCCACCGCCCCGCGCACGTCTCTGACCTTGCCCTTGCCCTTGGCCCTGACGCGGCGCATCGGCGGGGCGGCCCTCATTCCCGTTCCCATTCCCATTCCCGCCACCAGTCCCACCGCCGTTGCGATTCGGCCGCTTCGTTCGCGTGCGGTGGTTCGGTCTACGCTCGACGCCGGGAGCAGGTCCCGCGGAGCTCGTAGCAGGGGTGTTCTGAGGGCGCTGATTGGCCACGTTATCAGGACCGTCCATGCGCTGGGGGGTCGCGTTCGGGGGTGGGGATGCCGTTCCTGTCGTTATCGGTGACCTTATCGTTATTGGCTGAAAAAGTGAGCTCGAAACCAGTAGAACAGAGAAAGTGGCTCACAGTGAGCGACTGGGAGACGATTAGTATTGGATTACTGGGTTGCACTGATTTCGAGCAATCTGTCAGCCTGGCTGGGGTGTGAGGCAAGCAGACCAGCACGTACGTACGTAAGATATGCTACAAAGAGGACTTGCACAAGGTCTTGCGAAGTGACTATGAACTTGCGATGAGCGTTCCCCGCCCTTGGGCTAGAAGTACAACTGAGAAGAAGCGGGTTCGGTTTCGTTGGACAAAGAAGAGATTTGCAAGGCCGTATATAGGACGGCACAGCCACATACGCAGCCACATCTTAGTGATAGATCTCCGCTATCGAAGGACCCGGAAGGTTCGAATCATTCTGACTCTCTCAGCATCAAAGTGTGACTCGATTCTACGGCCATGCCGGACCCGCCTGTAACGCTACCCCCGAAACGCACTCTCTGTAACATTGGGAACTCAACAGCGTTCGAAAACCTTGTACAACTCTGGTAGACTTGCGATCTGCACGACGTCCCTGTCCAAGAGCGTCTTCGGTGCAATCAGATACCTGCGCAGACCGGGAAACACGACGTGCTGGATCTGCCAGCGCTCGGCTTTCTCCTGCTCTTCTCTGGTCTTGGCGTCGGGAGAGTCGTCGTCCGGGAAGTCTACCAGAGGGCCAGGCACATAGAAGTACGCCAGCTCGCGCAAGAAGGTTTCGAAACACTCTGCTTCGGACGTCCAATTGACCTTCAGAGTTGCCTTGAGCCGGCATCACCGTACTTGGCAGCAAGCAGACTCACCTGCGGCCCAAGACGCATGAGAAAACTGGGCAGCTTGTCCAGATTGGGGGAGTAGTCCCTCAGCAAGAGAGGAAGACTTTCTATGAGCCCCGATGCCGACACGTTAAAAGAGAAGTACTCGGACAGCATATCACGCCGAGCCATGATAGTATCCACGATTCTCTAGAGGATCTTGAGCATTCTGTACAGAAACCGAGCTGCTCTTTGGCAACGCACCCCAACGATCTCAACCTTGCTCAACTCACTCGCAGACGTATCCTCGACCTCCACCGCAATCTCAATGAGCGTCCGCAGCGGTGGCGGTGGATCCAACTTCAGCCGATTGAAGTTCCCGAACTGCCGCAGGCCCAGCTGATAGAACAGCTCCTCGCTCAGCGCGCCGTGGTTGACGAGATACAGCTTGGTCGCGTGCTGGATCAGAGATAGGCATTTGTCCAGCGCCACGATGCCGACGAAGGTGTGTTTCTCCAGGATCTCAGTGAGCTCTAGGAGGTCTCAGTGCACGCAACGACCTGTCCCTGGAACACTCCACGCACGGCGATGTTTCCCTTTCGTCAACGCCTGGCGCAGCGAGGCTACGCTCGTCAACGTGCACTCCGACTCTTTGATCTCCCTCGCCCTCGTCGTATTCGGCGTCGCAGGCGCTTGCGAATCGGAGTCCCTGCTTCCTGATGCGATTTGCGACGGGTTCGCGACAGGAAACATCGACTCGAGCGTGCGGTCTTGCATCGACGTCCGTACTTTATATTGAGACGACGTCTTCTTCGGCGCTGTGACTGCTTAGTGCCAGGACGCTGATGATGAAAGGTAACACACGCGTCGGAATGTCCTGTTCCTCTTCCTGAGCAGAGCGCTCTTTCCCTTTCCTCTGCTTCGATTCTGGCTCAGCAATACCGCCAGTAAGGAGTGTCTGTGTTTCGCGTTAGAATGAGCTGGACTGACCAACGACGCGTCGCTTCCGCACCTGGTACTCAAACACCCTCGATTGGCTCTTCTCAGCCAGGCCGCGTTGCAGCCCATTAGCAATCTGCTCGATGATGGCGTCCTCGTTCAGAAAATGGACTTCCTTCTTCGTCGGATGCACATTCACATCCACATCCCGGGGGTTGATGTCCAGTCTATTGCAGTTCGAGAGCAAGGTCGTCGCACAGAGAGTCGGATCCATACCGGAGATAGATGAATGGAGCTGTGCCCTTGGGCAAGATCCCGCTATACACTGCTTCTAGGGACCTTTTCATCCTCGCGGATTCCACCAGCCGGTCTGCGGAGTTGATGTGAGCCATAGACACAAAGCATCGACTGCTTACTGTTGATGAACAGAAGGAAGATCGTCTTCTTCGACTGATAGTTCGCATTGGTGAAGAAGGACTCGGCCTTCCAGGACTCCTTTTCGTCAGTGGGTTGAATGACGCTATGCAACAGGTCCTTTGCTATCGAATGTCCGTACAAGAGCCGGATCGACTGCCGAACATCGGAAGACGTCGGCGTAGACAGATCAGGCGATGGGGACCCAGCCTGTAGACAGAATGAAAAATCAGCGCAGAGGACGTGTCAAACTAAATGACAGGACCTTCTTGCACAGGAAAGAAACGGCTGGATTATGGACCGCATACTTCGTCATCACGTCCAGCAGCCTCGAGTACTCTTCAGAGGTGCTTCTCAACGCTGCGAGTCGCGTCGGTGTGTTGTAGAACAAGTCTTCGATCTTGAGAGTTGTCAGAGCACATTCACGTTTGGCAAGCTACACACAATGATCGTCGTCCCGTCGTTCCCTGCACACGGCTTTGGCTCTGTCGATTGTCCAGGCTTACCTTCCGTCAAGCGACCGTCCGCGTAGTGCGCCCTACACACTGCTTAACCCTAAGAAGCGAGGAGTAGAATCAGCAACACGCACTTCCAGGCACAACTCTCCGTCTTAGTCTTCGTGACGACTGAAAGCCGTGCAACGTGCGATATTGAAGCCAGCGCTTCTCCGCCTTTCCCGAAATTCAGAGCCCGCGCGTCATGTCATACAGCGTATCCACCCACGGAAACCGTACGTCTGGATCCGCGCCAGGTCGGAGAACGTGGTGAGTTTTGAGGTCGTGAATCGCTCCGCGAGGATGGGCAGGTCCGCTTTCTAGAGCACAAAAAATGCTCGTTAGTCTATGCCCTGCCAGCGAGCAGCCGCCACGCACGCGGATCCCCGACCCGTTGTCCTGGATCTGCAACAGCTTCATGCCCCCGTCCTTGACCGTCACGCGGATCGTCGTCGACCCAGCGTCGAGGCAGTTCTCCAAGAGCTCTTTGAGGGCAGAGGCGGGGCGATGGATGATCTAATGAGGGGGAGGTCAGACTATTCCTGGTGTAAGTACTAGCAGCCGGAGGAGCGACTGACTTCGCCTGCTGCGATGCGGTTTATGAGCGACTCTTGTAGTCGTTTTATAGGGAGAGGTTCGCTTGGAAGACATTCCGGGTCGTCCATGACAGTACAGCCTAATGGATTTGCACAACCAGGTAGTATAATGGGAAGAGCAGCGACGCGATCACATGACCCTGACGCGATCAATGAGATGACAGGTTGAGTGCGACCTCAGGGAAGGAAGTCCAATAAATCGGAAAGGCAATCGCAAGTACATACACGATCAGAGATAGATATGCGAAAAGGGATACATAGGAAAATTATGAAGCAATCCCAATGTCAAGAAAATGGAAAATAGAACAGTGGTTCAAAGAGACAAGGGAACAGTGATTGAAGACGAGCAAAAATGAGCCACACCTGCAGGGGAATCAGCGAAATTCGGAAGCCAAGAGAGATGACGAACTCCTATTTACCGGGTGTAAGATCGCACGAAGAGTTCGTGGGTGAGTGAAGTTCCAGATGAACTTGGCGCCGGTTTTTATGGCGAGCGCGGCGACCCACACGACTACGATGGCCGATGGGTTGTACACTCAAAAAAGGACAAGAAAATGTGACGAACACTAGCGAACAGGCGGACCATTCCGGGGGGACACCATCGTGGACCATATGCGAGGGGCAAACACCTGGAGAATGCAGACTACACGCGAGCGCCGAGGAGACCCGATCACATGTTCATCGCCGGCGCCCTGCTCGCAAGTGCGCGTTCATCTTCGCATTCTCGAAGCAGACGCGGCCAGAGACGATGGGGCGGCTGGATCCGGAGACCCGATTCTCGTCTTCTTCCACCCACTCGGTCTGGTCTCAAACATACGAACTGACGGTTAACTTCACGCGCAGAGCGATAAACTGTGGCTGAGCACTGGCAGGCACGCGCTGTGAAGCACCAGCAAGACGACCATCTGGAGTGCAGCAGAGATCAGTCTCAGTGGTACTGGAAATCTTCAAACGAACAAGAGGTGCGAGAACAAACGCAATGCCGTCCTTGCTGAGCAGATGGGTGGTTTGGACTCTGGAGATAAATAAAGACCATCCTTGCAAGGAAAAGACGTAGGTGAAGCGAAGTGACCTCAAGTCCAAGACGACACGGAAGGACACGCAGACCATAGGTTGTGCCGACGCTGAGCGCCCATTCCACATCCCATCTTTTCCTCGAGAGACAGTAGCCGGTGAAAGACCGGAAGATTGTGAAAATACCCGGCCCCAGTTGATCTGCCCCTCCGGCGATGAGATATCTCCTGAGCTGCCTTCTCGCGGCTCGTTTAGGGAGCGCTCGAGGTCCTTCCCTTCCTTTGTGCTAAATTCGAGCGATTCAGCGTTGACAGCCCACGAAGCTGCACTGTTTCCACTTCGCTGCCAGAGGTCTGCGCGTGCCGAAATTCCGCACACATGTGCATCCAGGGTCGATGAAGGCAGGGACCGGCATGCTGAAACATGATCGCAGGCTTGCAAACACATTCGACAAGGCAGCTTAGGGCAAGTGCATAGACCAGCACGGTCCAGGATACAAGAGTAGAACCGACACTTTTCACAGTCGCCAATTCGTAGAAAATTCAGGGTCCAGAGACTGCCATGACATAACCCCCGAGGGGAGGTGTCATGCACCGCCAGTTCGCTGTAGAACTTGCTGCAGGGACGATGCTTCGCCCAAAGGATTCGCTCAGAAGAAGGACAGGACATCCTTCACGCGACGTCGGGAGTCCTCGTCGCCTCTTTCGTCTGGGTGCCAGAGCGACGGCTCGCCCAAGAACGTAAATCGGCAGCAGGAACACCCATAACCGCCGTTTCAGGCAGGCTTTGTGACAGCACACGATGTCACAACTGTGCTTCCCGTGGGTCACTCGGCTATCTCCTTGAACCGGACGCAAACAATCTAACTTGCTTTGGTCGGTTTTCCAAATGCAACAGTTAAAACCACCAGCAATGCGGGCCCAGGAATTATTCCTTGTCCTCCGCCCCCCTCTCTTATGATGTCCACTGCACCTGCCTTCGTAGCCCGCGACCCGCTGGGTTTCCTGCATCCCTCACCCACCTTTTCCAACTGGAGCGTGGACGCTATGACGGACTGCGCGCCCCCGCCGGACTGGCGTACGCTTTATAGACTGTGGTCGCTGCCGCTGGAGATCGGGACTGGTCTCATGGACGCAATGCTCAATAGTTCCACCTTGTTTGAACCTGGCATGTGTCTGCAGCCCAGTGCGCCAAGTTACCCCTCCTCCCCCTCGTGCGCCACCGCGCCACATCTCCCCTTCGAGAAGCCCCATCCGGTGTCCGAGTCCCCGTTGTCCGATTGGGAAAGTGGAAGTGGCCACTCGTCGCTTATGTCCACGCCATCGTGCCAGCTGTCTCCGCTGCCTGACCTGGACGAAACGGCTTTTCTATTCCACTCGCCACCGCCACGGAAATCCGCGCCGCTTCCCGGACCACTAGCCTCAGCCGACATCGCCCCCAGCTCCACACACGACTCGGCGGAACTGGCCTGCCGAGTCCTGCTCTCCGCCGGCGTCTTCTCGGCGCCCTCCCTCCCCCACACCGATCCTGCACCGGGCGCCAACGCTCCCCGCGCCTGCGCCGCGCCCTTCCCCGGTGCAGCCGCCCCATCGGCGCCCCGGCTGAAAACGAGCAGCCCGACGGAGCGCCGGTATCGCTCGAACCTGCACGCGCGCATCCTCGCCCTGCGCGCTGCCGTGCCGGCGCTGCGCGTCCTGGACCGCCGTGCGCTTTCCGACCCGTCCTCCTCTGCGCCCGTCGACCTCACGGATATGGACGTGATCGACGCGGAGGGGATGGTGGACGGCGTTAAGGTCGCGCGGAAGAACTCAAAGGCGGCCGTGCTGCTCAAGGCCACGGAGTACATCCACGTACTCAAGAGCCGCGAGAAGCGGTACGAGCGGGAGGTCGCCGGGCTCAAGGCGCTCGTGCGCTTGGCCGTCGGCGGCGGCGATGCGGGCGACCGCGTGGTCGAGGCGTGGGAGTCTGAGTGGGTCGCTCGCGGAGACGACCCGGCGGTGTCCGGTGCGGGTGAGGACGAGGGCGAGGACGAGGGCGAGGATAGTGATGACGTAGTAGGGGCGAGGAAAAAACCCAGAACGGACGCACTCAGGCCTCTATCCGCGTGCCCTCCCCAGGTGACGAGGAAACGCGGCCGACCCCGAAAAACAGCCCCATGTCCTCCACCGTTCCATTCTACAGAGACAAGCCCCAATGCAGCTGTTCATTGAATGGGGATCTGTGTCTAGCATTGAAATCGATTGTAGGAATGTATATTTTATGAATTGGTCTGCACTTGAAACTCTATTTAGGGTTGTTTGTTTAGGGAAAACATGGTTTCTCTCTCGAGACAAACGCATGTCCAGTAAGATCGCGTGTCCGCATTGTTCAATGAGGATCACTCACCTCATATATCGTATATATGTGGATCTTAATCAACCTAGGCTCACTTTTCGAGATAAAAGTTGATCAGATGGTCCATAGGGAGAGGCACAATAACACAATCACGTGGCTTACCTACAACAGCACACGCGACGCGTCTATATTCTGCCCCACATTGCCGCGCGCCAGTTCCTTGCTCCATTCGCGCAGAACATGTTTCTGAACCTTCCCACTCGCCGTTTTATGAAAGCTCCGACTCAACACCGTCATCGCTGACAAAGAAGATCCACCCAGGCGCATTCTGTTCGAGAGTACATGAGAATGCTGCACAACCAGACAGCCAGAGGACCGCTTTTTCGCTCGGCCCACCTGAGGATTGATGGATTTCACACCAGTGTCCCCGATTTCTTCGCGGGAAGTCGACGTCTTCTTCCACCCCGTGATTCGTTAAGATCGCCTTTCAGAGACGGTGAGCCTATGCAAAAGGACAGTTTCTCTCGAGCCCACGTTTTCGATCTACACAGGAAATAGATTCTGAAGAGAATGTCGGTCATTCCTCTGAGAACCTGAGACACGACGCTACCTCTCCTCCGCGGATGATTAGATCCTGCGAACGAGTTAATCCCATATCCGGTATTCAAATCCGAGCGACAAGCCTTCATCCTACCGACAACTGTGTAATCTTGTTTCAGATTCAGCATTTCGAGAGAATCAAAGAGACTTTACTCCGGAGGTACTCTTCCTCGTCCATGATGGCCTCGTCTCCCGTATGCATCCACAACGTCCGCTCTTCGTCCGTCTTCGTGACCTCCTTCGCCCGTTCGTGTCCCGCCAGTACCTACTCAGCCGCACCAGCGGACCACTCAAATCCCACGACCAGCAGGCTCGGCTGACCTCCTCTGTTCTGCAGCAGATACCCCGCAACGCACAGCTCCCCCGGCGTCCCGACTCCCGACAGAAACGACCTGGCCGTCCGGATCAACCAGCTTCGCTCTGACGTGGGGCTGCACCTCTCCGACGGCCTCGACGCGTTTGTCAAGCGCGTCTCCGGTGATTCGTTGAAACAAAACCGGGCTGTCAGTGGTTCGGTCATCTGTATCGTCGGCCCGCAGCGGGCCGTCCAAAGATCAAAGACTGAACATAGATTACGGTCCACGAAATGATGGGTAGAACATGATATGTAGAACTCGGTGGGTACAGGATAGATTGTGACAACGATGATACAAGAGTCCACTAACGGAAAGAGGGCGGCTACGAGGCGGAATGTGTTTGAGCAGCAGCTCTGCGACGGCGGAGCGGAATAGATTCCGGCTCTGGTGGCACGCGATTATGCGCCTCCTTGGCAATCTGAGTAAGGGATCAGTACAAAACAGCAGTCTGCGTAGCAGGACACGCAGATGTACCTCAGCGCGAGTTCGGAAGACTTCGATTGCGCGTCGGCAGAGAACGAGTCTGATGGGGCCTCCCTTCATTAGGTAGAGGACACTGCTCTGGTAAGAGAGACAGCTCTTGAGATACTCCTCCCTGAGCACCGATGCTGTGGTGCGTAGTCTGCAAGACGCTGTCAGGGAAGTACTCTCTGTAGACACACATGCAAGCACTCACTGTTCGAGTTCCTCAGCCATCTCTCCACGAAACTGTACAGCCCCCGACTCGGCGGCATCACAGAACTCTCCATCGGCTTGTTCGACGGCGGACACCATTGCACGAGAGACCCTTCCTGGCGCGACCCAGAGGACAAATGCGGTGAATATCGCGCAGAGAGAGAGCGTGAGACCAATTTCAGGCAGTGACAACAGAGTGACGGTGTTGGTGATCGATGATGCAAGATCAGGCGCACTTGGGTCCGGGAGAACATGCTCGAGGCGCGATCCGTCGCTGCTGAGAGGCCCAGGGCTTGTTTGTGAGTTCTCGTAGGTGGGATCCATTGCAGAAGTGCAGGGGATGAGAAGCGGGTTGTGCGGTATATATACGAGAAAGAGAAAGATCCATGATGCATTGCAAGTACAAGTGTGCGGGGGCTGAAGTGAGGCTCACCGGATAACTCGATGTAGCAGTGAATCCCTCGCAGGCAGAAGGTTTGTTTGTTTGTTTGTTTGTTTGTATCCAAGCCTCCTTCTGACGATCATTTTAGCATAGCGTCAGAGGAGCGTGTAGTCCGTGCTATCCTTGACTGTGAATGAGGAGCCATGGGTGAGAGTGTCACAGGTAGATACTGGCCAATAGCCGGATTTACACATATAGCTGTGTTTGATCCTGCTCGGCTAGCTAAGCGAGCACAACAGGCACGAGCGAAGCCCACTTGACAGCTTCTCCAGGGTCCTCCAGCTTCTGTAGGAACCTGTGAGAATCGGTGGCTATAGAGGATCTAGGGACTACTGGAGATCTTGAACTATGGAGGCCTGCAACAGCATGCTGATACGCGAGGACGTGGCAAGTGGGATCATTGATTGGGGATCTGCGTTTCGTCACATGTTCAGTAATCTCGGCTCCAGATGTTCCCGGGTGATCAGATCAAAGATCTGGGGCGGATCGATCAAGAAACCGAGCCCACATCACCCTGGGAACTGCACCGTGATTTCCCATCATTTCTGCCTCGGATCATGTCTATGTATTCCGATAACCGCATTTGGCCTCTGCGCTACCTACGTCTGGCCAACGAGACCACATGTTCAGGAACTAGAAAGCGTTGGCTATGCCAACATTATGCCTTGCTTGCTGATTAAATCCATATGATCAAATTTATATACAATAAAATTCGCACCAGTATGGGAGCGCGATCGAGCGGGGGACCTGATGTGGATGGGAAGTGTGTCTTCAAAACCGCGCCTCGCAATCTGTGGACCCTACGTCCATTGTAGAGGATCAAGCACCCAGTCATGTCATTGACTACATTCTTGGGCTCGAGAGCTGGTGCGCAGAAACGTGTGTCGTCGTGTTTCCCTATTTCAATGAGCGATACGATCCTGCCTGCTGGACACTTTCAGTTCACCAGGTGAAAATGCTGTACGCAGGACGCCGTTTGTGGGCACAAGGGACCGCAGACAATGTTCTCGAAGAGAAGAGGGCTGTCCCGCATACGTACATAGCCCCAGCAGCAGAAAACACTATTGACCCTATACCGTCGCGCAACACGTGATGATGACACATCCCTGATGGGCGGCTTTCCCGCGCGATTTGTACCCTATACAGTGTCATCGTCGCGAGGACTTGTGCGTTTTGAGCGCAACAGAGTGTAGATTAGGTATCTAGACTGGAGATAAGAAAAGATAATGATTAGTAATCCCCACGTGATCTGTCTTTGTTGATATCTACCAAAATAGCTTGATGCATTGGAGGAACATGGCCGGAAATTCGTTGAAGACATGCGTCGAGCCGCAGACATAGTTGAAGGTCAACTTGGTAATGTCGAGGGCTCCCAGATCCTTCTGCGCAGTCTTAAAAGGCGGAAGATCGGGAATGACGTAGGTAAATTTATTACTGACTTCCGGCACTCAAACGAGACTGGACGTGTGAGGCGGTTGGTCTGGGGGATCAATGGGAATGCAGCCGAAAGGCGCTAGCGGCTACAGCAATAATACCATGGGCGCCAGTCAATCTTAATCATAACAATTATTTATCTTGTAATTGATCTTATCTATCTCTTATCCACACTCTGTTGCGCTCAAAACGCACAAGTCCTCGCGACGATGACACTGTATAGGGTACAAATCGCGCGGGAAAGCCGCCCATCAGGGATGTGTCATCATCACGTGTTGCGCGACGGTATAGGGTCAATAGTGTTTTCTCAGTGCAAAACAGCAGTCTGCGTAGCAGGACACGCAGATGTACCTCAGTGCGAGTTCGGAAGACTTGGATGGCGCGTTGGCAGAGAATGAGTCTGATGGGGCCTCCCTTCAATAGGTAGAGGACACTGCTCTGGTACGAGAGACAGCTCTTGAGATACTCCTCCCGGAGCTCCGATGCCCTGGTGCATAGTCTGCAACGAGCTGTCAGGGAAGTACTCTCTGTAAACACACTTGCAAGCACTCACTGTTCGAGTTCATTGGCCATCTCTCCAAGAAACTGTACTGCACCCAACTCGGCGGCGTCGCAGATCTCCAGTGGAGATCTGGATTCTCCACTGGCCTGTTCGACTTCGAAGCTACCGGCGACATAGCTCTCGGGATCTACCGTGCTTCGAAGACATGCTTCGAAGCTACCGGGGACATAGCTCTCGGGATCTACCGTGCTTCGAGGATGTCAAGCTGTACATAGTCCTGGGTTTTCATCACACATGCGGACATTGGATCAATTCGTTTCACATTATCACACGTGGGAACTTGGCTTCCGAGTCGAAGCACGGTAGATCCCGAGAGCTATGTCGCCGGTAGCTTCGAAGCATGTCTTCGAAGCACCCTCGTCCGACTCGGTGAGTTGCGCGAAGCCAACTGACTCCGCCACGAGCTGCGCCGTCAGGTTCTGTATCTCGTCAGCCGGGTATAATTGCAGCTCACCACCATAGCGAGAACAGGACCTCTGCGCAGGGCGCGGCACGGGGGAGACTGGTGGTGCTTCGCGGCGGTGAGAACATGCACGTAGGCGAGCGTGCCGAGGACGCTCAGCAGCGTGGTGGTCTCGATGTCGATTCACGATTCGTGGTTAAATCCCGAGCGTATGATGGCGGGTCGTGTGTTTCCTCGCATGGTCATACTCCGACCGGCAACTGATAGATTCTAAAGAGTCACGCGCCTTCCCATAGTGCGACGTTTCTGAGACGGACTGACGCCCCAAAGTTTTCGTCGATGCATACGGACGATTCGGGCACAAAGACCCTCCATCCGCGCAAATCACGTGCGATACACGTGCGGCATAAGTTCGATTCTCGCTGGTAAATCTGACTTTATGTGTCCTGAGGCACTGGGATAACGGGTAGTGGACGACATAAAAGACTACAGGGTATCAAACACGTTGTGTAGTGGTAAAGGGTGTGAATTAGTATACCAGGCAGCCTTGAGTTCAATCCAGGCCTGCAGTATTTTTGAGGGAGGGCACAGCCCGACTTCTTTTGGCCGAAAGATCTTTGGAATTCCGATCAATCAATCGATCTTTTTCTCTCCCGCTCCCATGTCGGAGGTGATCGGTGAGTTCCCACTGTGGCATCCATTACTTATAATTCTTGACTCAATGCTCACAACAGAGGTTCGATGCTCTCGATGCAAGAAAACCAAGCCTCAGACTGAGTTCCCGATACTGACGAGAACCTGAAACGTTCTTTTGCTGCGATGCTCGAGACAGCCTCTGATCCTCAGGGAATGGCACCAAAATTGGCCGAAGCGATCACGCCCGCTGTCGAAGCTGTCGAGGATACCGGTGGGAGCATTGACAGGTATCAACGCCATCGGAAAACTCAACGCACGTATAAAGACTCGGATAAGTATACCATGTTTCTCCCTAACTAGATTACTTCCTCGGAAACATTGTTACTTTACTACAATAAATTGTTTCTTTGACTGTCATCGGCCAGGATTCGAACTTGTGCCGCACGTGTATCGCACGTGATTTGCGCGGATGGAGGGTCTTCGTGCACTTGTCCATACGGACAGTATTCGTAAATGAGCCCAAAAGAAAGAAGAGAACTGATGAGTTCTCACTCGTACGACGGGCCTTTGGAGGACTAGTTGCCGGTCCACACCCCCAAATTGGGGAATGGCTCTGCCTGCTTGGACTCACTGGGACGTTTTTCAAAGTACTTGTGAGTTTTGCAGGACGTTGTGATGGTGGACTCCGTGTCGGGGCTATCCGATGCTGATGGAGCACCCGACTTTCTCTTGTTCGGGATTCTCGTAACAAACACCATCGACATAGGGAAAATCGTATCCGAACACTTGGAGGAGACTCGGCTGAAACTTTCAAGGTGGAAGCGAGCCTGATAGCGTGACCGTCACAGAATGGCCAACTTTTCGATTCCACTTATACCGAATTTGAGTCGGTTGTTACTGAGAAAATATTTCACGGTGTATCAAGTCGCACTCGGCTCTTACGCGCCATGTCTTGTAAGTATACATCTCTGGTCTCAATGTTTCCATCAAATCCTCATTCAGCAACGCGGCCACGTGACCTTGCCAGCCACGCGTTTGATTGTCACGAGGATATGTTCGTTTTGAACAAGGAGCAAAACGAATGTCTCTGGATTAGAGCTTTCACATACAGACAACCCATTCATGAGGAGTACATTCATACAACATATGAACGATGCCAGACACTGGCCCTGTTCAATAAATAGCTGCGTCAAAGTCCTCGGTGCTCATCTATGTCGAATGGAATGGTAGAGGAGATGGAGGTGGGGCTGTTTTTCGGGGCCGACCGCGTTTCTTCTTCATCTGGGGAGGGCACGCGGATAGAGGCCTGAGTGCGTCCGTTCTGGGTTTTTTCCTCGCCCCTACTACGTCATCACTATCCTCGCCCTCGTCCTCGCCGTCGTCCTCACCCGCACCGGACACCGCTGGGTCGTCTCCGCGAGCGACCCACTCAGACTCCCACGCCTCGACCACGCGGTCGCCCGCATCGCCGCCGCCGACGGCCAAGCGCACGAGCGCCTTGAGCCCGGCGACCTCGCGCTCGTACCGCCTCTCGCGGCTCTTGAGCACGTGGATGTACTCCGTGGCCTTGAGCAGCACGGCCGCCTTCGAGTTCTTCCGCGCGACCTTGACGCCGTCCACCATCCCCTCAGCGTCGATCACGTCCGCGGCTTCGGCCGGCGCAGAGGAGGACGGGTCGGCGTGCGCACCGCCGCGGTGGTCCCGGGAACGTAGCGCCGGCACAGCGGCACGCAGGGCTAGGATCCGCGCATGCAGGTTCGAGCGGTACCGCCGCTCGTTTTTGGCCGCGCTGCCAGTGTGGCGGGGAGGGGCGCAGCGCGGGGAGCCTTGGTGGTCAGGCCGAAATTACTGGTGCGCGACGGCGGAGGCGCCGAGAAGACGCCGGCGGAAAGCAGGACTCGGGAGGCCAGTTCCGCAGAGTCATGTGCGGCGCTGGGGATGATGTCGGCTGGAGTTATTGAGGCGGGACTAGGCACGGATTTTTGTGGCGGCGGCAGCGGCGGAGAGCAGAATAGAGACGCTGTTTCGTCCAGGTCGAGCAGCGGAGACAGGTTGCACGATGGCGTGGACATAAGCGACGAGTGGCCACTTCCACTTTCCCAATCGGACAACGGGGACTCGGACACCGGATGGGGCTTCTCGAAGGGGAGATGTGGCGCGGTGGCGCACGAGGGGGAGGAGGGGTAACTTGGCGCACTGGGCTGCAGACACATGCCAGGTTCAAACAAGGTGGAACTATTGAGCATTGCGTCCATGAGACCAGTCCCGATCTCCAGCGGCAGCGACCACAGTCTATAAAGCGTACGCCAGTCCGGCGGGGGCGCGCAGTCCGTCATAGCGTCCGCGCTCCAGTCGGAAAAGGTGGGTGAAGGATGCAGGAAGCTCAGCGGGTCGCTGGCGGCGAAGGTGGGTGCAGCGGAGATCAGAAGAGCAGGGGGGCGGAGGACGGGGAGTATTTCCTGGACGCGCATGGCTGGTGGTTTTAACTGTTGCATTTCGAAAACGATCAAACCCAGTTAGATTGTGTGCGTCCGGTTCGAGGAGATAGCCGAGTGACTGACGTCCCTCGGAAGCCTAATTGTGACACCGCGTGGTGTCACAGTGCTTGCTTGAAACGGCGGTTATGGGTGTTCCTGCTGCCGATTTACGTTCTTGGGCGAGCCGTCGTTCTGGCACCCAGACGAAAGAGGCGACGAGGACTCCCGACGTCGCGAGAAGGATGTCCTGTCCTCCTTCTGAGTGCATCCTTTGCGCGCAGCATCGCCCCTGCAGCAAGTTCTTCAGCGAACCGACCCCGGGGTTTATGCCATGGCAGTCTCTGGACCCTGAATTTTCTGCGGATTGGTGACTGTGGCAATTGGTAGTTCGACTCTTGCCGTATAGATCTGTGCACTTCCTTCCAAGCTGCCTTGGCGAATATGTTCGCAAGCCTCCGAGTATAATCCCACATGCCAGTTCCTACCCTCCTCGACTCGGGATGTACGTTTGTGCGCAACTTTCGGTACCCGCGATTGCGCAGATCACTGGCAGCAAAGCGGGAGCAGCGCAGCTTCGGGGGCTGTCACCGCTGCATCGTTCGAATTGAGCACAAAGGAAGGCGCTCGAGCGCTGCCTAAACGAGCCGCGAGAAGGCTGCTCAGGGGATATCTCATCGCCGGATGGACAGATCAGCTGGGACCGGGTACTTGCACCGTCTCCCGGTCGTTTCACCGGCTACTGTCTCTCGAGGAAAAGACAAGACTCGTGGGATGTGGGATGTGGAATAGGCGCTCAGCGTCGGGACCACCTCCGTTCTGCGCGTCTTCAAGTGTCGTCTTGAGCTCCACGTCACTCCGCTTCCCCTACGTCTCTCTTTTCCACGTGGAGATGGTCCTCGGTCATCTGGCTACCAAGTACGACGTTGCTTTTGTTCTCGCACCTCTCGTTTCGCCGTCACATACTAATGTTTCGTGACAATGTCCCCCCCTGATCGCTCACCGCGCCGCAAGTGCCACTTGTCACATCGTCTTATCGTCTTTCGCGGGTGGAAGCCATCGAACATTGTCGTGGTGTGCGTCGCCGCGCTCGCTATCAAAATTGGCCCCAGCTTCATCTGGAAGCTCACTCGCCCACGCGTCCTTCGTGCGATCTAGCACCTGGTAAAAAAGGAGTCCGCCACCTCTCTTGGCTTCCGAATTTCGCTGATTGCCCTCCAGGTGTGGCTCATTTTTGCTCGTCTTCAATCACTGTTCCCTAGTCTCTTTGAACCATTGTTCTATTTTCCATTTTCTTGACATTGGGATTGCTTCATAAATTTCCTATGTATCCCTTTTCGCATATCAATCTCTGATCGTGTATGTACTTGCGATTGCCTTTCCGATTGATTGGACTTCCTTCCCTGAGGTCGCACTCAACCTGTCATCTCATTGATCGCGTCAGGGTCATGTGATCGCGTCTTGTTTGAATCCGCATTTGTATTCCGTGTTGAGCACTGGGGAGAGCGTCTAGCAACCCACCTGTGTGAGTTGAGAGCTTAGTGTGGGCACTATGCGGGAGTAGTCAAGAGACTTGTATTATAGGGTAATAGAGCCCTCCTTATATACAATACAGGGGGCTATTTGTGTCTATTTAGGACAAGTCAACATGACTCTAGATGACACATGATGGAGTCATAGATGTGTATCACGACATCCATCTGGCAGACGATAAGATCATCATTTGATCAATACTCCCCCACGCTGAAAACCACGGGATAGTGTTTGAAAGCGAAATCTTCATCGGCCATTCCTTCAGGACGAGTTGAACTCAAGTCCTAGTTGGGACCTGAACTTCTCGAACTTGACGCATCCTAGGTTCTTGGTGAACATATCTGCAGGATTCTCACTGCCCGGAATAAAGAACAGTTCAACCTCTTCTTCCTCGACCCGCTCACGAATGTAGTGATAGCGGATGTCTATGTGTTTCATCCTGCGGTCTCGGTAGGCATTGCTGCCACTGAAGAGTGCACCCTGATTGTCACCGCAAATGGGTACTGGGATGGTGAGTTTGAACTGGAGTTCCGAAAGGACGCTCTTCAGCCACATCACCTGGCGACTACAATCTGAAATTGCCATGTACTCTGCTTCAGTAGAAGACTGCGCAACTGTGCGCTGAAGTCTAGACTGCCAACAAATAATCCCATCTGCCAATTTCGTGAAGAAACCAGTGGTAG